TTTTATTTTATAATTTATTACAAAGTAAATAATAGTATACTATAAATATATTTAAAAATTGTATAATTTTAAATCAGCACAAATATGGTAGATATTAATCAACAAAATGTTCTTGGTAAATTATTTACATATCACTCAATCACTGGTAATTCATATATCATATGGAGATATAAGAAATTAAAACATCAATATAATAATAATAATAAGTGTTCAATAAATTTACTAAATTTTTTTATATTTTGTATTTTGAATTTATGTATGTTAGCCTTGATCATTTTTGCATTTTATGACAATCTACAATATTTTTTTATATCTTATAGTCATAATAGAAATAGAAATAATACTAAATATCTAACTAAGAAATCTAATTACAACCATAAAACTTATTTGCTTTATATTTTAAAAATATTTAGCATTTATTTATATATAATCGATGCACTAATTGTTTGGATGATAATGTTTTTCAAATCTGAAACTATTTTCCTATTAATTGAACAAATAATAAAATCAGTAAATATTAATTTAAATTATCAAAGTAAATTGGAAATTATTATTATCATATTACAATTGACAATTTCGATTATCATGGAAATGCTATTTACTATATTATTATCAATTAAAAATGGTTATTTAGACAATCAATTAATAAGGTACCTGTCACAAATTCAATATACGCTAATGTTTAATACAAAACTTACGGTATTATCGTTGATGACATACGCAAGTTGTTTGATAGCAAAACATATACAAAAAATTACCAAAAATTTAAATTCATTAAACAATTTACAGATTGTGTTCAAACAATTGTTAAAAATGTCTGTATTTATTAAAAAACTGGATTCACATGTTTGTTGGTATTGTTTTATTTTATTGGCAATTTGTACACTAAATTGTTTAACATGTTTGAGCATGCTGATTTTGAGACCAACTATTTATACTATTTTTGTGGCCATATTTATTGAAAATGCATTTTTATTAATGTCAATATGTTTTGTATCAAATATAGTTGCCGCAAGTTACCGTAAATTTCTCGATAAATTACAACTATTAGAATTAAATTTAGTAAATAACAAAAATATTGATTATGATTATTATTATGTTATTATTAGACGATTGTATCGCATGGAAAATGATTTTAACTATACAGCCGGCAACATATATCCGATTACTTTAAAAACTATTTTGTCAATAATGGCCATTACATTAAGTTATGCCGTTATTATTACGCAAACCTATTAAAAATATTTTTAAAAATTTTACTATTAAAGGAAATGAAATATAAATCTAATAATAATTTGAAACTAATTTAACAATTAATTGACATAATAACTATTAATTTAAATTATTATTGTAATTTACATATCATTATTCTTGTTTTACATTTGATTGTTAACATTTAAAAGTTGTATTACAAATAATTTTAATACATTAAACAATTTACAGATAGTATTTAAATAATTAATGAAAATACGTTTTTATTAAACTCAATATGTTTTTCTATCAATTATTATTGTCGTAAGTTTTTGAAAATTTCTCGATAAACTACAAGTATTAACAAACTATTATTTTGCCACAAAATTTGATAATTTTTATATTACAATTTGTCGATTGTATCGCATTCAAAATTATCTTAACTATATTACAGGCAATTTATATCTTATTAAATTGAAAACAAAATTTTTCAGTTATGGCCATCACATTAAGTTATGGGGTTATTATCACAGAAACTTATCAATAGTATTTTTTTATATAATAAATGCATAATTCATAAAAATAATATTATTACAACTATTATAGCTTACTATTATTATTATTATTATTTCTATACAATAATATATTATTAAGAAAATGATATCAATCAAAACATTTCTTGACAATATATTTTATGTACATATTTTATAGTTTATATTATTATTATTTATGTTATTGTTATTAATGATATTTTATTGATTAATTATTTGATATTTGATATTTGATATACCACTATATGAGAATTAAAGTAATATTTTAATAAAAAAAAACTAAATATGCACCTTAATATTAAATTTATTAAACTTTTATTAATATTATATTTAGCTTTTAAATGTTTATTTATTCATAATCAATATTAATACTTAGATCGTATGAAATAAAAAAAACATATTATTAAATAAAATTTTATACATTATTGATTTTAAATGTTACTTAAGTTTTAACAGATTTTAGTATATATAAAAAATTATCTATTTATTTATTTTTTTTAACAGAATTATATATTAATAATTAAAATTTAATTAAACAATTTAAAAATAAGTGTAATACATTATTAATTAAAATGATTAATGTAGAGAATAATCAATTATTGGGATACAAAATATTATATAATTATCACACCATAACATTAAATACATATATTTGGTGGAGATATCGACAAACAATTAAGCATTCATTCAAATCTATAATAAAATTATTAATACTATTCGTATGGAATCTGCTATTATTGGCAATAATTATAAATATTATCAACTATTTGATGATTAATACTATAGATGTCTACTATAAACATCAGAAGCAAACAAAAAAATCTAATTTATTTCTAGTATTAAAATGTTTTGCCATTTTAACACATGGATTGGAAAACCTAATAAATTGGCTTTTATTGGTTTTTAGGTGTAACCAAATGTTGATATTCATAGAAAAATTAATCAATAATTTACAAATTGATAGACAATTTGAACATAAAATTGGTATTATTATTGTATTGACACAAATATCAATAGCGATATTACTATCGACAGTATTTCTCATATTTGATTTTACAAAAAATGGTTATTGGAAATTTAACATGGACAGTTTTCTAGATGAGCTACTGTTTATCATAGTTATTAACACTAGATTAACATTGATATCGTTAATAGCATATGTAAGCAGTTGTATAGCTAGAAAACTACATGAGCTGACTATTGGTTTAACTTCGTTGAATGAATTGAATCAATTATTTAGACAACTGTTACAACTAAAAGTATGGATCAAACAATTTGATAAATATAGTTGCGATTACATATTGATAACACTGGCTATGGGTTTAATTAATTCTATAGCAAATATATGTATGACTTATGCCAAACCTGAATTGTATTACACTAACATACCGGTGCTATTTGAATGTATGACAACAGTACTAATGTTATGCTATGTTTGCAATATTATTGGTCGATATGTTGATAAATTACTCAATCAATTGCAAAATGTTGAATCAAAATATTTGACAAAAATTATTGAAGATAATACTAATATTTTTAAATATGATTACAATGTAATTAATAGATTGTATGAATTGCGAGATGAGTTTAATTTTACAGTATTTAATATCTATATTATTAAATCAAATATTGTTATGTCATTCATGGCTTTGGTTATCAGTTATTCTGTTATATTAATACAAACTTATTAATTTAAAATTATTTAATAGAAAATATCTTTTATTTTTTTAATCTATATTTATAAAATGTATTTATTTTTGTGTATTAATAATAATTAATAAATTATATTGTTAATTATGCATTATAATGTTAATTATAAGAAATACTAAAGTAATATCAAATCTACAGTATATTTGTATTTGTTATAAAATGTCCATAAAGTCATTGCTTTAAATAATTATAATATAAAATATTTTATTAATTTTATTTATAATTAATTTGTTAATTAAATAATATGAATTATTTTATAAACTTAATTTACACGATAAATCTAATGTTATGTTTAACCAGATTGTATGAGTATAATAGTATAGCTAACAGTTAATGCCATTAATGAGATAAATGTTTTTGTATTGATTTTATACAAATTCAATGCCGTGAACGACATGTCGTTACCGATTTCAATCATACGGTTCATTGCTATACTGTCGCCACCACTGCAAGCATAGCCATTATTTAGGACTGACTTTGCCTCCAATTCGTATAGTTTGGCCAAAAAATTTTGATATTTTTTGCTAATAATATCGGGTACATAGCACAGGGCAAACAGCATAAGTAAATTTTCGACTATAGGCCCCAAAACAAATGAATAGCTATTACCGGCATTTAAACACAGTATACTAAACTGTGCCGTAACGTTGACCGTAATGTTTATCAGCCCTATGAACAGGTAGTCAGTGATAAGGGTATCAAATTTGTGAACAATAACACTTGTTTCAAGAAATATGCCGACCATTTGACGACAGTCTCCTAATGATCTCAATCGATGGGTCATATCGTGAAATTTTGACGATACACACAAACACTGGTAGGCTAGCAATGATAACGGTGTCAATTTGGTTAGTATTACCAAGAAATCAAGTATTGATGAATAATAGATGGAATATAATTGATAGGACTCTGCAAATGCAATATTAAGTGATATAAATATGATTTCGATAGCACCGGCAGTAAGTAACTGATAGAATACTATACGGCGTCCTATTTGGCGCTCATGTATCTGATTCAATGATAGCCATTGCCTGTTACGGATCAATGCCATGATTATTGTAGGACATCTAATGTTCAACAATATCCATACATACAGGGCTTCCAGTATATAACACATAGATCCCACACAATATAATACATAGACGACATTTGATTTGTAAAAGTGTTTAAATTGATTTAGTTGGCCATACAATGTGATCATTTCTATTGTATAGTCGACAATCAAATATAATATAACACACAATGATATGATGTTTACAATTATACAAACAAACAATTGAATAATTGAATTGTGTTTAAATTGATTATTACGAAATCGCCATAAAATATATGACTGTCCATATAGTTTATGAAATCCAATCAATAGATCTAATCCTTTATAATTTGTAGACTCCATATGATATGATATAAAATATACGGTAAATGATAGAAATATTTTTAAACTGTTGAAAGTCTAAATTATAGCTATCTATATATCAATAAATTTATAAAAACTATTATAAAAATAATTATTTTATTTTTATTGGATTTTATATTTGATTTAGTCATTTACATGTACTATAATGTAGTATAATGTAAATAAATATGTTAAGTAAATAATATTTATTGTAAGTTGTTATAAGTTATAATAATTTTATATGTTATTAACTAATTAATTATTGATTTCTTTTCTTAAAATTTATTATTTAAAGATTATGTAATAAGAATAGTTAATAAGATAACTAAAATAATTTTTTAAAAAATAATAATAATTTTGAAAAATTTGTTAAAATAAATTTATCTAATGTAATTGTGTTTTTATTAATTATCATTTTAATAATAATTTGTTAATAATTGAAATAAATGTTTAGATTTTGAATTATCATTTATTATCATGAGACTTTTAAAAAATATTATACTAATTTAAAACTTAGTTGATAATATAAAAATGTTTATCTAATTTTCTATTTAGTTAAAAGAAAATATATAAATTTATATGAAAATAAATATTAATATTGTTACCCATTACCCACTAATCACTAAATAAAATTGTAATTGGTCATTTTTTAATTAATTGTATGATTTGGCAGATAATTGCAGTCGACTATCATTTATAAATTTTTATAAACAGTCGAGTGTAAATTATTTTGCATATAATACAATTAATTAAAAAATGACCAATTACAATTTTATTTAGTTTAAAATTATCTACAACATTGCCACTTGGTAATTTTTTAATTCAATGTATTGTTGACCAGATAATTGTAATTAATAGCATCGCCGCTTTAATAAACTTGCAAAAAAAATGTTTTACTTACCGTAAAACTATACTTAACTTATTTGGTCGCATAAGTTGTTTTAGTATTAGTAAATTAGTAAAAATAATAATTAAAATTTCAAATAATCTTATTTTTTGTTAATATTTTAATCATTTAAATGATAAAGCTATTTTTAAAATTCAATTTATTATTTACATATTTTAATAAATTAATAAATTAGATAATATATTATTTACTTTTAAATATTTTTTTAATTCTAAAATTCATTATTATTATTATTTTATAACTGTTTATATAATAGTTTTTTATATCAAAAAATATACACAAAATGTTCAATTAGTTTAAATATACACAAAACATATGTCAAACAAATTAGTAGATTATAATTTTTGTTGTTAATTATTGATATGGATTTTGAATAATGATTTGGCAATAAATCGTAAATTGGATTCAAAACTTTACGCGATTGAAGCAAATTATGAATGTATTTAGGATTATATTGACCCCTATTTCTCATATTTTCTATGTATGCATCAGTAAAACGATGCAAATGACTAAAGTATAAGTCAGTTAGTTTTTGGTCGGTATCGGCCCGTGTGATGAACGCATCCCAGGCCTCTTTGGACAGTTCTGACAATTGATACGACTGTTTTGCCGTATAGGCGATCTGCCATTTGGGCACAATTTGTTTGCCATCGATGTTGTCTTGTGTGATATTACTGTAATATGTGGTAAAATCCAATGGCTTTCCCTTTAAAAATATCGGTAATAAAAATTAATAGTAAAATCTCAAAAATAAAACAGTGCGCGCCTACCGTTTCATCCAATGTGAATATTCTATATCCCGGATTGACTGCTGGCCATGTAGTCACCGAAGATCCAATATAGCCATGTGATATGGGATACGTTTGATTAGTGGTACGATTTTTGTCGTAAAATACAACAATCTCATCCAAATGTGTATGTCCATAGTACTGGCCAACTATCAGGTGCTGGAAACGGACCATTATCCTAAAATAATTACTTGCCCAGGCTGTGTAGCAAACTTTTGTCTGGTATGGGGGTATATGTCCTGCAAAGAGAAATATTTATAATATTAAATAATAATTTTTTAAAATACTTTTTTCAAATATTATAATTACAAACCTATTATAATAGCTGTCTGTTTGTTGAGCTCCGCGGCGTACAGTTCATCGATAAGCCATTTGAGTTGTCCGTCGGGATCGACCGGATCGTAGGCTAACCACCAGTTTCTGTGTTGACAGATATTGTTGTTGAGAATAACAACTTTTATGCGATCGGTAGCCATTGCTGAGTAATATCCGCCTATTTTGAACGACTCTTTGGCCTTCGCTGTGTTGATCCATTGGGACCAGTAGTCGTCAGCCAATGTCTTGTAGAGCCAACTCATGGAGTGTTGACCACTGGATTTGACATCAATCTCATAGGGTATATATCTATAAATCGATATAATTATCACTTTTTTAGTTATGTGTTGTAAAATTATTATAAGGTTTCTAAGATTTACTGATTGAATGGATGTGTGTCGTGATTACCCAAACAGGGAAACACCCGTTTTTGGCCAAATGTCGACTTTACAACACTGGCTATCAATCGGTTATTTTCGAGATCCTGTTGTTGAGTACTATTGAATTCATCGTGCGGTACGTTATCACCCGTCCATATGACAAAATCTAAGTCTGGATGTTCGGCGCCCATGTGTCGGATGGCCTGTTCGGCAAACGGTAGTCCAACATCGCACAGGTATCTTGTTTCAGCCCAAACACCTGCCGAATGATTGTGACCATAGCTCGTAGGACGACAACAGGTGGATTCACCGCACACTGAACTGGCACCGGGTGTATAATACAGATCCATGTGTGTGTCGGTCAAGTGCAACATTTTCAATTGACCACCATTTTCGCTATTGTTGTAATAGGAATTGGGATCAACTGTTAAGGCAGGTATATGTAGCTCCCAATTGGTCTGTAATCCATAAATAAAAAAACTTATAGTTAGGAATTTTTATTTAATATTAAAAAAAAATTGGTTATGCACTAACTGCATGAGTTAATGGTAGGCCATAGTGTGTCATACAATCGGGATGTAAATAAGTGGCACATATTTCGGGTACTGTTATCTTCGAGAGCTGTAAGGCATAAATCAACGGTTCGACAAACCGTTCGATAGTACCCAAGCAGACACGTTCCGAATCAAATGGTTTGATTGCCCGACACAAAGATTTCGATGACTGTTTGATTTGGTCGGCAATATTGGCCACAGATTTAAAATACCGGAGCGTCTCATTACACTCGTGGCAACTCTGGTTGTCACGTTTGGCCGCATCGGCTGCTAATAAAATATTGACAAATAGCTGGAAATAAAAATTAATTAATTAATTATATTAATTTTAGCATGTTAAGTTTTTTGTTATTTGAAAAATGTTATAATTAATACTGTATATTACCTTAGCATCGTTAGCATTTTCGTCCAACTCTAGGCCAGTTAGCTCTAAGTTAGTCAATATTTGATTAAGTTTAACAAAATACAGATCATCATCGTTATCATTATTATCATGACTATTGTCGGCACATATAGTTGTAATATTAATTAATATAAATAATGTTATTATAAATAGCAGTAAATAGTTGTTAATTGAATTCAATATTTTATACATTTTTAAAAAAATATTTATTCTACAATACTACTGCTAAAAACATTAATTATATATATTTAATAATAAATTTAAAAAAAATAATATTTATAAAATATATTAAATAATCTATTATAACAATAATTTTTATTAATTGATAATTGCTATTTATATAATGAAATAATTTGTACATTTTATCTATAAAAAAAAATTATAGATACAATATTATTTACATGATAACAACAACAAAAATTATTGAAATTAAAATCTTATAAATTATTATAACTATTAATATTATAATTAATCAATTTATTGCTAATTAATTTATGAAAAGTGTGTGATAAATAAAATTATTTAATTTTAATTAATAAACAATAATTTTTATTTTATTTTTTAATAATTTAAATATAATAATTTAATAATAAAGTAATTTTGAAGGTCTAATTTGTTAACATATGATAAACTATTGCTTATTGTATTATAAATGTGACTTTAAGTACTGTACTTTAAGGCTTATCCTACAAAAAAAAATTTAGATAAAAAGTTCAATAACTATATCCTTATAACAATAATTATTATTACAGTATATTAATATATGAAATACTGTACATAATTATAAATACATTTATGTCAATAAAATGTGAGAAAATTATATATTTTTTTAAACGTTTACTTTTAGTTACTATTAATTATACGTTTATAAAAATTATGAAATTGTGTTTAATAGCTATCAAATAAAATAACTATACATTTTTTATCTGAACTACAATTACAATAAACAATTGAATAAAAAACATTTAATTATTTGATTTGTTAGACAAAATAAAATTATAACAAATAAATCAATTTTTTATTTAATAGTAAATCATTGTATAATAAATAATAATTATGAAGTTATGAAAATTACTTTTTATTTGGTTAACCATTAAATGTCTACTAATACCTGAAACCACACACACACTTAAGCACAGTTAGGTAGACATTATGGTTGGTTGATACCTTACCATATATGGGCAATACTACTACTTTATAATAATTATTTTTTGGACCATACGATAACAGTGCACACGTGTGACTGTACTATCCGTTTAGGTAATGTATACATTGTGTGTCTAGTATTGGATAAGCCATTACATCGACAACTACTGTCCCCTCATAGACACACATACACTAACTCACTGTCACTATAAACGTAACATACCGTTACGTATATATACAGTAGTCGTATGACTTCACACACACACACACGTGTCGTCTAATAATGTCAGACAGTATGTCGCCTACCGGTGCCCACAGTGGCGTACACACACACAATGTATGGACATTGATTTTTTTGGTCTTAATTTTGATAATATGATTATTATTATATATAATATTATTTGATAATACAATTAAAAGTTAAAATTAATTAAAAAATAACTTATTAGTAATTAAACCATTAAATCATAATTATATAGTTATTATAATAAAATAATTTTGTTTTTTTTTAACTACAATACTAATGGTTACGCCTCTAATAGATGTCATAATTTTTTTTTAAACATGACATCCACTCAAATATGATTGACTGATTGGTCAATAGAAAAAACAAACACAAAACTGACAGTTAAAGCACTGGTAGATGTCGTCTGTATTTGATAGCTAACCGTCCGTTTAAATGACCAAACGATTGATTTTTAATAAAAAATATATTTTTTAATTAAGTGTTTCACTCAAACAGTCAATACATTTAAATGTAATTTTTTTTTGAATGCAATACTATTTGACTTTCAATTGCTATCAAATTGTTTTAAACTTTTTTTTTTAAATATTTAACTAATAATTGATTTTCAATTAATTTATTATTATTTTTTTGATGTGTTATTTGTTATCAAAAAATCTAAATAAATTATTTTGTTATTAATATATAAATAGTTTGTTATTTTTTTTGTTAAACTTTTCTTAAATTTTTTTTTCATTAATTTAAAACATAATTTGTCTAAAACTTTATAAAAACCCGATAAAAATGACGACCAAAACCAGTGGACAAACAGCATTATTGGTCAACGATGTCGGCAACAAGTCTTTCGGCGACAACAATGGCCAGACAAAGATCGCCGCCACCGCCGCCGGCAAAGGCCAGCGATACTCACTGCGGCACCGATTGTCTGACCAGAAGTGGCGTCAAAACGTGAACAACGCGTTTACGGCTCTGAAAAAGGTGGTCACCAAACACGGTGTTGTTGTGAACAGCAAACAGGAGACGACGGCCGACAACGAAATGCCGCCGAAAGTTGTCTCGAAGTCGAATCGAATCCAAAAGCCGAAGCGTAAGATATCGAAAGGTATGTCCAAATTGAAGACATTGGAGACGACCGTTGATTTGACGGCCGCTCTGGAGTCCCGTTTCGAAAATGCGGTCAACGAAAAGCAAAATGAATTGATGGATGTCTTCATCAAGTCGTCCGCCAATACGGCTGCAGACAAACCGCCGTTGATTGCCGTAAACGCGTTGCAGAAACTGAAGGACACGTTCGCCGCATTTGAGAAGCGTTTTGAATTGGAAAACAAACAGCCGAAGAAACGTACCGTCGAGTTGACCAACGATAAGACAACCGCATCGGTGAACACTGTGATCGACAAAGCAGTGATCAATGATTTCATCGATGATACCACTGATGATTGCAAGCAAACGGCTTGTATTTCAGTAGACAACCAGTCGTTGTACACACTGTTGAGCGAAAATGTTGCCAACGAAGTGGTTATCAACGAAGTCAACGATTTTAACCAATTGGACATAAAGCCAAACATCATCGAGAGTACAACAACTACAACAACAACATCAAAGTGGTCACAGATTAAACAGATGACAAACACCGATACCGATAGTACTTATTTTGATTACAAGTATTTTCCGATTGATCTCTGGCCGCTGGACATCACCGACAGTTTGACTCCGCTGATGCCATGCGATCCATACAGTATGCCGTGGGGACCGTGGGATCCACTAGACTCTGATATCGACTATGATTTAACTACCGATCTGGTCGAACATTTGGCCGCAACAATGCCGGTACCGCTGACCACTGGGTTTGGCGGCGGAGGCGGCGGCGGTTCGTTCATCGATAGTATGTTTGATAATTCATATAATTTATGAAACATTTTTATTTTTATTTGATTTGATTTTTTGTGATAATAAATTTGTTTTGTTTGTAAAATACTAGAGAGAAAAAAATAGTTATGAAAACATAAGAAATAATTTTAATTTAATTTTTTTTGTTGAAAAATATAATTATTTTTCTTTTTTGTTTAATATAACATTTTTAAGGGGGATTTAATAAGTTTTTTTTGATTGATTTTTCAAAAATCTAATAATAATAATAATAATTTATCATTTGTTTCATTTGTATTATAATATCATTATTACATATTCATTGTTTACATCAAACATATTACTAATTGATTTTATTTCATATTTTATTGTAATTTTATTTTATTATTTTTTCATTAATCTTTTTTTTGTGTATAAAACTTAATTTATATTGTAGTTTATATAAAATAATATTGTTTATTATTATTATTATTATTAATTGTTGGGGAGTTTCTAAATTTTATAATCTAATTTGTAAAAAACTTGTAAATTTTATGTCATTGTCATTAATTTTAGTTAATTTATTACAAATAGTCTATTATAATAAAAATTGTTTTTTTATAAATATAATTTGTTTTTTTTATTAAAGTAATGTAAGTTAATAATGTAAAGTATATTAAACATTATTATAATAACTTAGAATAATTTTTTTAATTATTATATAATTTATTTATTAGTTTACCGACGGCGTCGATGATATGGCCGCACATTTTGCCGCATAAATAGTGGACTCGAGTGTCAATTCAATCATTTGTTTGGACTGACAATTGTCGTGCGTATTGACCGCCAGAAAACAGTGGCCAATATTATATCGTACCCGATGTTTGTCCATCTCGTAGACTGATATCCTTACGGGAAAGTTATCGCCCAATATATGAAACTTTTCTTTTTTGTTGAACTTAATTACCGATGATTTCTTGGATCTAATAAATGATGTCTCAAAATACTCTTGTGATTGACTGTTGATTGTCTGATCACTGTTTTCGGTCTGCGAGGCGTCCGATGTCTGGCTGAGCGTTCGCTGTCGTGGATAGAGTCGAGCAAACACTCCTTCGGCAACCAGTTTATCTTCAGGCGAGTGACCACTTCGGCGTAAATGTTTGCCTTTTACCAACCATACCGAAGCGCTGCGGCCGTCGCAAACAACCGACATTACAAGTGATGGCTTATTGGTCTCAATGTCTACCGATTCGACTGACGTTATCGATGTCTGCGATTGCAATGATAACTGTCTTTTGGGTTGAACTCTGTCGATAACGTAACGGCTGTTCCGATTGTAGAAGACATCGCCATCCGATGACTCAGAGTTATCACTTGAACCACCGCTTTCTTTAGCACTTTTTAGGTCACTGGAAGTGCTGTTCAATTACAAAAACAAAAACAAATTATTAATTATATCCACAAACCTATTGTTTTTAATATTATATTACATTATCTGTCTTTTTGTAGATAAAGGTATAACTCCGGCCTCAATGGTCTCATCGCAGATACTGTTCTTCTTTTTCTGGCTTTTTCGCTGACGATATCTAAACACAATAAAGACAACAACCATTGCTATGAAGACGAGACAACCGGTGGTCAACAATATTATCAACAAATTGGATCCTATTTTGAGTAGTGATGTAATGATTTGGAAAATTATTGTAATGACATTTACTTATTAATTAATTAATGAAAATTGCATATTCACTAATTCATAATATATTAAGAAAAAACTTTTTTTTTAATTTTAAGTTATTTTTCTGTATCTAAATTTGGCATTTTTTGTATGAGACACACAAAATATATGTATAATCATAAATGTTTTATCAAATAGTTAGTTGTTTTGTATTTCAAAAATATTATATTAAATTTAATACATATTTTTAGGTAGCATTGAAATCACACAATTTTAATTAAAAATACTTTATATTAATTATAGTTAAATCCTTGATGAGTATGTTTTTCAATATTATTATTATTGTTTTAGTATTTTTTGATATATTTATTTTTTCCTTTATTGAAAAATATGGTATGATGTGTTTTTATATAATTTTTTTTTTAAATATCATATTAAACAAAAAAAAAATTTATCATTTAATAAAATACTGTATTAATGTATTTTTAAAACACACACATATATAAAAAAAGCATCACTAAACACCTGCTTTACTTTTTATTATTTTTTAATATTATGTTTTCATAATTTTATTTAGATTTTTTTTATTATAAATTAGTTAATTTGTCTAAACTTTATTATCAATATAAAAACTTTATATAAATAAATTTGCAAAATGTTTATATTTTAGTTTGTTAAAATAATTGATTTTAAAATAATAAATGTAAAAACTGCTAATATTTTATATAGATAAATTAAAATAGATTATATTATCAACTGTTTAATTATATATATATATATAAAACTATAAAATATATTATTTATAATATATTACATTTATAAATTGTTTTATTATACAATACATTATTATGTATTACATTACATTTTGTATAATAATATTTATAACCTTATAGATAATACTTAAATATTTTTCATATTTATATTTTATACTTAAAAATCAGTATTATTTAATTCAATTATATACTATAAATATATTAAATTTAAAAAATTAACTTAACTTATATTAATTATATTAATGTATTTGAATTAAAATTGTTAAATTATAATTTTTTAACAAAATAAAAATAACATACCGCTACTAAATAATCCAAATAGTAGTTTATTATTAGTTTTTACATTATTATTATTATCAAACATTATTAATTTTAATTATCTTTAATTTAGTAATCAATACAAACAAGGTTAACCTTTTAATTTGTATTGCTATACAACTATTTTTTTATGTTGAACTTTTAAATACATTTATGTTTAATACTTGTCAACAAACATAATGTAATTAATTTACCTACAAATTGAGATAATACATTGTATTATGATTATACAGTAAAAATATATAACATACTGTATATATCTTACCAATTTGTAATGTAATATTATAAAATACTGATATCATTGTTTTAATATTTATATTCAATCTCTATTACATTACATTTTGGTTGTCACATATTTTTGTTAAATTGATTTATTACATTTAAAATCCTGTAAACTTAACAATTAATAAAAATTACAGTATAGGTACTTAAAATTTTTATAAGTAAGTTTTTTGTTGTTGATATCAATGTACTATAAAAAAAATAATAATTTATAATATTAAATAATTATTAAATGAATGGTTAAAATAATATTAGTACAAACAAAAATGTTAATTTGTAAAAATAATATACTAATAATATTGATGATAAAATATCACTTTTACTTAAACAAAACAAAAAATTATATTTAGTATATAATTTTGTATTATAAATATTGTATTCTCAATAGATAAATTTTAATTAATAATAAAAATTTATTTATAATTAATATACAAAATTGAGATTCAAACATGTCATACATATCACATACATTCACATTCATCATACATAACTAAAATTTCACAAATTAACAATTAAAATCACAATTAATTATTACATTACGCGCACAGTTTATGCTGTATTAATATTACTATTCATTTATTACTAATATAAACAATTATTAAAAATTTAATTAATGCTTAGAATAATTCAAAAATACTATTTTTTTGTAATTTAATCAATTAGTTTATTTGGTAACGAATAAAAGTTTTGCCAAAAATATGAATTTATTTATCACTAAATTTATTAACAAAAACTATTTATCTGCTGCGATATCGGCGGTAATATTGGCTACCAATTACTCGTATTATAGATACCGTTACCAAACATATACAGATTGCCAACCATTGTTGTCACCACCACTACCACCACCACAGCCGATGATAATTAGACGTACTTTGATGACATGGGCCGGAAGTAATCCACATATTGACGATTTATTCCAACAAAACCGATCATCGGTTGTCTACGTAGTACCGCAAAATCGTGACCAATTGGACTGCGATACATTCGGTACGGGATTCATTGTCCAATGTGACGACCCGGACAACTGTCTAGTGATAACCAATTATCATGTGTGTTACGACAGTCCAGTAGTGGGCGTCAAATTTGCGGTCAATTATACTAATGGAGATATACTACGTGATATAGACCCGCAATCTATGAATGAACCGCTAACATATTTGTGGTCTCAAGTGGTATACGTCGAACCGTACCGGGATCTGGTACTCGTACGTCTACCGCCGGTAAAACTGGACCTATTATGGGCCTTACGACTGGCTAACAATGAGCCAGAAATTGGTGATTGGTTTATATTGTTAGGTCATGGCGATATAGCCAATAGTTTTAAATACGGTATTGTTGCCCATCCTAACCATCCTATGGAGTATGAAAGAGGTCTATTAGGCCAAAGCAGCGAAATAGTATTTGCAATGAATTATTTGCAATTACAGATTGTCACACAAATAACTCCCGGCTATTCTGGCGGACCGGTGCTCAATATGAACGGAGAAGTGATTGGCGTATGTTTTGGTAGACGGATGCCGAAGATGTCACAGGCGATCAAATTGACAGATATTAAAGGTTTTTTAGACACCAATTATTTATTTATTTTGTTTGTTTTTCTAACTATTTTTTTTTGTTTCTTTAATGAATAGATTTTCTAGAATTAGCCGAATTATACGACATGTCTCTTAATAGTGAAAATCTGGTGAATCAACGGCGATACCGGTTTTCAAAGTCAATCGGTGTTGTCGTCAAATATGACAACCACTCGTATACAGTCAGAGGCTATGCGCCAAACGCTATACTAGTCAAGTATTATTTGTTTATTTTATTAATTTTTTTTTGTTTTTATTAACATTTTATTTGATAATAATTATTATTATTTGTTTAATCATTTAAGAAATCATTTGCTGCCAAATGACCGGATTATCGGTATTAACGATATGGCCATCCAATCAAAGTATCACTTAAGGCAAGCCGTCAAAGAGTGGGAAACAGTAGATTATGACAATTCTCCGGGTATTAAGCTTCGGGTGATGAGAAATAATCAGGGATTAGATGTATACGTTAAGCCAGAAATTTTAAGACATTTGTTTTATTGAATTATTTATTTATAGATCAATATTATATAATCTATACTAATATATATTATTTAGAATTTAATATTTTATAAATTAATATTTATAATTTTGAAATGTTTGTGTATATTTACAATTACTTTTAATGTGCCGCAAGATTAAACTATTAGACTGTTTAAACTATTATTAAAACAGGGATCTAACTAATATTAATAAAAAAATACTTTTTGTTTCTATGTTTTATTAACAAAAACATTAATATTAAAAATTTGAATACTTAATTGTGATAATTAAATTTGATTGAATGATTTTGTTAATTATTTTTAAAAAAACGTGCACAAAAATATAGATAAATATATCAATAACTGTTAAAAAACTGTTATATTTTTTAATTGCATAATTTTTTTAGTTAACACTATAATAAAAATCAAAAATACAATTTTGATTTCATTTGTATATATAAGTCATCAAAAAACAGTTATGATTTACAATATGTTTAGCTCAAGATATATACTGTTTATATCATTGTCAGCCACAACGTGTTACTTCCGGAATCGGTACCACAAAAGTCGATATCAACGAAAACAGCAACTGTCCAGCAAATTGTGGCCACAATTCAGGACAATATATAGGACAACATATCTTTCAAACGATCGCACTGTAGAGCCATTCACTCGGGAGTGGTTTATGCCATACGTTGCCATTAAACCGAACGTCAAGAATACATTTATCGACCGATATCCTGATGGATATACGGGTCCATTGTACACAACTGGTCCCGGTATGATTATCCATCCGTCGGGTCTGGTTATGGCCAGAAACCTACATTTTAAACTTCTAACTCACGTCAAAATATGTTTTTCCAATAATCTTGAAATTGATGGAACTGTTCTCTACAGAGACAATGGTATGGATGTTGCAATTCTTCAAATAGAAAGTACACGAACTGATTGGCCAGTAGTGTCCTTTCGCAACATAGTTGACGAACCCGTCAAACGCGGCGATCGTGTATACACTGTAAACACGTGTGCCATACGATTTTCATTGATGGACGGAACTGTTACAGATGTCGACAAAACTTCCCAATCGTTTACTACCGGACTATTACCGATAAACATACCGCCAGACGATCCACTCATACAGCACTCGTGTCCCGTTTCTAACAATCACCTCGAAGTGGCATTAGTGGACAGTGAGGGTCGGCTGATTGGTCTCAATATCGGTGCAGAATCGAGATGTGTAACTATTGCTTATTCATTGGATATTAAAAAAATTAAGTGTAAGTTTACTACTAATCAATTTAATAGATACATAATATATATAAATATATACTGTATATACTGTATATGATATTAATAGATAGGTATTGACTAAACTGTACAATACTTTATACAGTTTAACTTATTATCAAATTTCTATTATTGTTAGCCTTTTTGGATAAAAATGAATTTCCATTTCTGTCCTATCATTCATATGGACTGATGACTTACTGGTATGAACCGGCACTCAGAAATCAATTTGTTGAATGGGGCGTTCCCTATGATAGACTACCCGATTATAGCGGTCTACTTATCTATTGGGTATCTCGCGATGATCTATATCGGTAATAATTTATATATAACTTAAACAAACAAAAAACTATTATTATTTGTTATTATAAACTTATAAATAAATGTTTATAAATCAGGACCAGTACTATCAAAGATTACGAAGTGATAACACACGTAAACTCAATACCGTTGACATCAATGGACGATTGGTACGCCATAGTGGACGTGTCCACCGATATCTCTGTGACACTCAATAATAATACAAACAATACAATAACTATTAATAAAAAATCATTGGACACTGTGTTTCTTGTTTGATTATAATAGCAATCAACAAAACAACAACAAAAATGTCACCAAAAAAAACTTTTGTCTTATTTTATTCACAATTATAATATATTCAAATATCAAATTTATTACATAAAGTTTTATAACATTTTATAATTTGTTATAGTTTGTTGTACAGTATTTTATATTATACTCGTGTTAATTCATAACAATTAAAAATCAAAATTAAACACAAATTTTATTTGAATTAACAAATTTATTAGTCTAATGAAATTATTTTAAAAAAATCAGTTGTTTTTATTGTTTTTTATGAAATAAGTGTTACAATATGTTTCAAATTCACAAATATTTGTTTCAATTAAGATATTTACCTTTGATATCGCTGTCGACCACCTATTATTATCGGTACCATAGAGGCCAACATCATCAACGAATGTCCAGTAAATTGTGGTCACAATTTGCTGCATTGAGGACAACCCATCTTTCAAACGGACAGACAGTAGAGCCATTCACTCGGGACTGGTTTATGCCATACGTCGCCATTAAAGCCAATCTTTCTGATGCTATCACTGGCAGCCAAACTAATAGCACATCTGTAGACTTCTTGTGTTCGGGTTTTCTATACAATTCGATTGGTTTGATTTTAGCCGATAACGACAAATTCTCGTTTCAAACACTGGTTACGGTCTGCTTTGCCGACGGCAGCGAAGCTCCCGGTCGTGTTGTGACCCGACGGGACGACATTAGACTGGCCATCATTAAGCTGGACGGCCAACGAACAGATTGGCCGTGCGTTCGGTCTCGCAATATCGACATCGATCCATTACAACCGGCCGAAACTGTCTACACAGTGAGCTCAAGGATCGGAAATCCTAATCTAATGGAAGGTTATGTAGTGTCAGCCGAACGTTTAAGGACTGAACTACTTGGCGATCAGATCCCCTACAATATTGATCTCACACAAAAACTCATCCAACACACGGCATTTGTCCATAAATTGGATGTCGTAACGGCTTTAGTGGACACCGATGGCTTACTAGTCGGCATTAATATCATATATTTTCAGACCACTATCAACGTGGCTATGTCCATCACTAACATTATAAGTAAGCAGCACCTGTAGTTCTGCTCACACAAAAACACACACAAACACACATACATACATACATACATACATACATACATACATACATACATACATACATACATACATACATACATACATACATACATACATACATACATACATACATACATACATACATACATACATACATACATACATACATACATACATACATACATACATACATACATACATACATACATACATACATACATACATACATACATACATACATACATACATACATACATACATACATACATACATACATACATACATACATACATACATACATACATACATACATACATACATACATACATACATACATACATACATACATACATACATACATACATACATACATACATACATACATACATACATACATACATACATACATACATACATACATACATACATACATACATACATACATACATACATACATACATACATACATACATACATACATACATACATACATACATACATACATACATACATACATACATACATACATACATACATACATACATACATACATACATACATACATACATACATACATACATACATACATACATACATACATACATACATACATACATACATACATACATACATACATACATACATACATACATACATACATACATACATACATACATACATACATACATACATACATACATACATACATACATACATACATACATACATACATACATACATACATACATACATACATACATACATACATACATACATACATACACAATTATCTCAACTAATTTAACAAACAGTTTTACACCCACCCAACTACTAAACTCCTCTGTCTCTAATTATATCCCTTATATTAGAATTTGTGTTACACTTTGGCAACGCTGTCTCACTAAACGCATACGGAGTGCTAACCTATTGGTACGATCCGTCCAAATTGATTAAGTTTATTCAATGGGGTGTTCCCGTCAATAAACTACCCAATTATGCCGGTGTACTCGTCTATCGTGTCTTTTGTAATCCGTATGTATTGTTAAAATATTTTCTATTTTTTTAATAAATTGCTATAAATTCTATTATATCAACTAATTTATTACTTACTATATCCACCCCTTAATGACTACAATGATTGTCTAACCCTTTAGTGGTGCCATTGATGTGAAACAATACGATTTGATAACACATGCAAACTGTCACCGATTGAACTCATGGGACGACTGGTTAGCCGCTGTCGAGTGTGGCACCGATTTATTGGTTTCGGTCAATGAGGACAACTATCACAGTCAACAGTTACATCTATTGCCTAGAAGACCGCTAAACGATTTATTTGAACTAACGTTTGCCATCTAATTGTTTATTATTTTTTGTTTGAAAACACATATATTTATAGTTTAGCTAATTGTTTATTTCTTTTGTTTTATATATGTTTTTAATTATATTTATTAATCTAATTATTTGTTTAAATAATAAAATATTAATCTTAAAATAAGTATTTTTTTTAATTATTTATTTAAGTATCTAATGAACTATTTACAGTATTATTAATTTTCAAATAAAAATAGACTAAAATATTTTATTATAGAAAGTTATTAATTAATAATTTAGCTACTAGTTTGTATTAGTATAACACAATAGCTAAATATCAGAGCCATTAATGATATAAACGTTTTAATATTGATTTTATACAAATTATAAGCCGTAAAACATAAGTCATCTCTAATTTGATGTAATCGATTGGATATTATTGTGTAATGAGTAACATTATTACCAATATTTTTATTATTATATTTTAAATATTTAGTTTCAATAAATTCCAGTTTATCTAAAAACTTGTTATATGTTTGAGACATTAGTTGAGATATGAGACAAATTGTGAAAATTACCAAAAATGCTTCGGTTAGTGAATCCGTTGTAAAATAATAATTATTTTTTGGATCAATAAATAGCATACAAAAGTTTGCAATTAATATTAGTGTATTTAACGATAGTGTTATGAAAATATAATCATTGAAATATGTATCAAATTGTTTGCAAATTACTTGAATGTTTAACATTAGTTTGACAATATGACCTAGATTATCTATCGATTTTAATTGGCCAGTTATTTCGCGTAACTTTTGCGATACACAACAACTATGATAGGCCATCAACGAAATGGGAATATAATCCATATGTATTGGTAAAAGATAACCAAAAAAATCAATACAAGTAAAATAATTTTCATGAAAATAATAGTTTAGACAAATTATCAAATTGACAGTAATGGCAAATAAAGCGTGTATTATAACTATAATTATGGCAATCAATTGTTCAATTTTACAATCAATTGATAACCACTTACTGTTAGACACTAATGTTTTAACAATATGTTTGGATCGTATTAATAACATAAACCATATCATCAAAAATTCAATAATATAGGCAACAAATGAGCTAAAGTATAGAATATTTATCAAGGTGAATTTTTTGCGCAATATTTTCATCTTATCGTTATTAGACCAGTCCAGCAATTCATCGACATATCCATAGATAACATAACCGATTAATGCAAATAGTACCAGGTTAAATATTATTAATGATAATTTGATTATAGTACCATGGTTGTAATAATAAAATCTCCATCTAATATGTGTATTACCAGTTATAGCGTGATATGTCAACAATATTTTTAATCCACCAGTTAATTGTTTATTATTCATGGTCAATTATGTTTATTAATAATATTTTTTTTTTAATAATTATTGGTTTATAAACTTTAACTATACCATACTATATAAGTTACAACAAAATAATAAAATATATAAAAATGATTTTTTTTATTTATCATAAACTTATATGCATAAACATTTTTACAAATAAATTTTATATTTTTTAACACAATACTAAATATTAATGATTATCAAATGTGTATTATACAGTACATATATAATTTGTATTATTGTGTAACTATTATTGGTAATCAATATTGCTTAAAATATAAAAAGTTAATAAAATATATATTTTATATGAATATAATTATAGCTTTAATAAAGCTGCTTTATCATATGATAAATATAATTTTAATGTATCACGTGAACAATAGTAAATACTGTATAATATTTTTTTATCATATTATGACTAAAAAAGCTAATATTTATAAATAGATTAAAAATGATTTTATTGATTAAATTTTTATCCATGTTATTGTATGGTTATAAATTTTTTAATAATTAAAAATAAATTAAAAAATTATTATTTTCAGTTGTAATCACAATAAGATCTGGGTAACAAAATCGGTATTATATTTTTATAATATTGATAAATGCAATATAACATTGTATTTTATTTTACACAGTATATACAGTAATACATTGTTTTCATAAAGCATTCGCTGCAAGTATTTCTCTCAAAGTAAAGTATAAAATCGTTTTCATTAAGTTATACTTAGCATTACTTTTATAATTATTAATATTTATTAATCATTTAGATTTTGATATTTATATTGACATAAAATATTAATACAAAAATTGCAAATAATATAATAAATACAATATATGTGTAAAGCATGTGCTATACCTCATACTTTGTAAGTATGGTTTTTATTAAGTATTTGAAGTCTACTTTCTCTCAAAGTTTTGTGTTTTTGCTAACTTTAAAAGTCAAGTATAAGTAGTGTTTTTATTAAGAAATTTTGAAAATACTTTGAGAGATTGCTTTATGAAAACAGGGTATAAGACATACTATTAATATTAAATGCAAATAAAATAAATTTATATTATAATGAATTTAACAAATTTAATAAATCTATAAAATAAATAGTAATAATTAAATTAACTAGTTTGTATTAGTATTACACAATAACTAAATATAAGAGCCATTAATGATAAAAATGTTTTCAAATTGATTTTATATAAATTATAAGCAGTAAAACATAAATTGTCTTCAATTTGATGCAATCGGTAATCTATGATTATGTAATTAGTTTTGTTATCAAAAATCTGTTTAAAATATTTAGTTTCAATAAACTCCAGTTTATCTAAAAACTTGTTATATGTTTGAGACATTAGATGAGATATGAGACAAATAGTGAAAATCACCAAAAATGCTTCGGTTAGTGAATCCATTACTAAATAAAAGTTATTTTTCGGATCAATAAATAATATACAAAAGTTTGCTATCAATATCAGTGTATTCAACGATAGGGTTATGAAAACATAATCATTGAAATGTGTATCAAATTGTTTGCAAATTACTTGAATGTTTAACATTTGTTTGACAATATGACCTAGGTTATCTATCGATTTTAATTGGCCAGTTATTTCGCGTAACTTTTGTGATACACAACAACTATGATAGGCCATCAACGAAATCGGTACGAAATCAATATTCATAGGCAATAAATAACCGAAAAACTCGGTAAATGTAAAATATTGTTCATAATAATAATAATTCAAATAAGCTATTAAATCAACAATTATGGCAAACAAGGAGTGTATTATTACTATAGTTATGGCTATATTTCGTTCAGCTTTACAATCAATTGACAACCAATGACTGTTAGTTAGCAATGTTTTGATAATTTGTTTTGATCTAATTAATAGCATAAACCATATTATCAAAAATTCAATAATATAGGCAACAAATGAGCTAGAATATAATATGTTTATCATGGTAAATTTTTTGCGTGATATTTGTTGAATATAATCATTAGACCAGTCCAGTAATTCATCGACATATCCATAGATAACATAACCGATTAATGCAAATAGTACCAGGTTAAATATGATTAATGATAATTTGATTATAGTACCATGGTTGTAATAATAAAATCTCCATCTAATATGTGTATTACCAGTTATAGCGTGATATGATAACAATATTTTCAATCCTTTAGGTATTGGTCTATTCATTGTTAATTATGTTTGTATTTAATTATTAAAATTATAAATTTATAGTTGAAAAACTTAAATACTAAATACATTATTTATAAAATACCATATTTTAGACATATTATTATAATTACATTTAGTCTTTGCTGATTAAAACAATATTACTAAATACTTGTATTATTGATTAAACGTAAAATAAAGTTTTATTCTGTCATTATATTATTAATTATTATTATTTCATAAAAAGTTATAATTAACTCAATAATAATAAATTATTTTACAAATAACAATAATTTAAATTATAGGGTTGTCATAACTTTCATTTTAATTGTTTTACATGAAAAGACTATAGCAGTATAAAAGAAATATTTTACTTCAACTCTAAAAATAAAAAAAATAAAATAACAATAAATTTGATACACTCTACTATTTGTTGATAATATATAAATATAATAATAGTAATAATAGATAATATACTATTCAAATTATATAAAAAATATATATAATTTATAAAAAAAATTATTAATATTACTGTATGTTATTTTTTATTTGTATATTATAATAAAAAAACTAAATAATTATTTATTTCAAAAATAATCTATCTTATCAAATCTAATTTATTAAAATTTATTACAATTTATTAAAGTGTTTAATTAAAATCTTAATCATTAAAGTTTCTTTAGTTATATAAGTTGTAAATCTTAATTTTTGTGCAGATATTTCATTAACGTTTGTTTTGAAATAATCAAAATATTTAAGATTACATTATAACAAATATGTTGTAAAAATAAATCATATGATATAATTGAGATAAACTATTATATAAATTACAATATAAATCATTTATATGATAGTTATTGACAATTATTGCCGAAATACTTATCTAAATTTATAAAAATTTTATAATTAAATTATATTATATAATATCAATATTTGGTTTAAAATTAATATTCACAAAAATATAATAATTTTTTTCGTAATCTTTTCATATGAATATATTATTGTATTATTTGAAAAGTATTATATTATAGTATCTAATTTTTTTAAATGTTAGTAAATAAACTTAATAAATATATTGTAATGATAATATAGTAAATAAATAATGATTTCATAAAGCAATATATCAAGATAAATTATGATTAAAAATTATTATTATTATTATTACTATTACTATTTATAACAAAGACAAATATTTAAATAACATTGAAATTTTATAACACTTTTAATACAGTATGTATATATATAAATTATTTTTTGTAATTTTAAAAGTTGTACTTACTAATATTTATTTTTTTTATATAAAGAGAGTTATAATAACTATCATTAAAATAATTGATTGTAATATTGTTATAACTATAATTAAAATATTGTAAAAAATTAATAATTATAGTAATAAAGTTTATCTTGTATTTTATATTTTACAACAACAACAAAATTTAGTAAAATGTGCATAATTTTAGTTACAGTTTTAACAACTCTACTTTGTTGGACAGTCGTATTGGGTTATATGCCTCCCATATTACAACAACGACAAATAATACACAATCGGTGGGTTAATCAGTCGACTGAGCCAATCACTTACGATTACATTGTGGTCGGCGGCGGTACGGCCGGCTGTGCTGTGGCCTGTCGTTTGGCTGCCCGTCCAGAGAATAAGGTACTGCTTGTTGAGGCTGGAGGTGCACAACACGCACTGTTCAACGATATGCCCGGTGCCTATGCATACAATTTACGTATGAACAATGAACAATTTTGGCCATACACAAGTGAACCGCAACCCGAAATGAACTACCGTTCCCTGAAAGAAGTTCACGGTAAAGTACTGGGTGGCGATTCAACGGTCAACGCTATGGTTTACGGTCATGGATCACCCGTTTACTATGACAGTATACAGAAACATACAGGCGCCCGTGGTTGGAGCTATGCAGAGGTTTTGCCCTATTTTAGGAAAGCCGAAAACTATACGGATCCGAGTGTTCATAATAATAAATATCTGAATCCAAAAAATCCAATACGATTGACTCAACCGCACTCTACACCACCAATACTTTACAAGTATATGGAAGCGGTCAGAGAGATGGGTACAGTTAGTTTAGATTCAGATGTATACTCAGGACCTTTGGCCACTATAGGACCGGGAATGTTTGCCGATGGTGTTCGGTCGTCCAGTGCTAACGGGTATATCGAGTTTGGCCGACTGTGTCCTAAACTTCATGTTCAGGCCAACACAGTTGCAACCAAAGTGCTCATTGCTGGAGGTAGTGACAGACAATCTCCCAGAGCATATGGCGTCCAGGTTTTCAAAAATGGCACATTATCAACTGTTAACTGTTCCAGAGAGATTATCATATCTGCTGGTATTTTTTTAACAAAAATTATTGCACTCTATAAATAATAAACGTTAATAACTATTCACATTATTAGGTGGTTACGGTTCGCCACACCTGCTAATGCTATCGGGTATCGGACCGCGAAAACATTTAGTCCAACATAACATTAGACCCATTTGGGCAGATTTACCGGTTGGTAGTAGCTATCAAAATAGACCGGCCATTAGCTTACTATATGAGATCAACAATGTCAGTCTCATTGGACATACACCTAATCTGACTGATCAGCAGATTGACGAGTGTCTAACTAATGGCAAGGGTCCAATGTGTGACGCTCCCCGACTCTACATTACGGTTAACTCTAAGTTAAATAAACAAATAAATTATACAGATATCATCTATTTTGGTAACGTTGTACCCGACAGTACAAATAGCACGAAAATTGTGGGCAAAACATTTACATTCCTAACCCGATGTCAGAGTAAAGGCACAGTTAGACTCAGATCCAGCAATTGGCGCGATTTACCTGTCATTCAACCTAACTTATTGAGACACCCGCGGGACAGACTACGCTTACTGGACGCGATCGCACAGTTCTATTATACTGTAGAGAAAACATCATTCAAAAACTATGCCTCAGTGCCCGTAAAGCCACAGAACTCAAAGTGTTCGTATTGTAGACACCTTCCCGTATGGAAATGTACCAAATATCACAAGTGTTTGATCCGTACAGACGCCACCACTGAGTACCACCCGCTCGGAGCCGTACCCTTTGGCGCTGCCAATAGACCGGACTCTGTATTAGATGAAAGACTGCGCGTAAAAGGTATACACGGACTGCGTGTGGCTGACACTTCGGTAATGCCAGTCGGCAATACCTATACACCGAATACTGGTCCGGCCAGTGTGGCATTTATGGTGGCCGAAAAAGCAGCCGATATGATATTGCAAGATAATGTTGGGTTAAAATTATGAAAAATGAAAAAAATTGAACAAATATTAATTGATATAACTATTTGTGATAAAAAATATTGATACTATTTATATATTTGTGTAAAAATAAATATTTATTCATAAATTGAATATTATTATTAGATACTGTTATTTATATAAATATACTGGTACTGTTTTAATAAAATAATTAATAAAATAATAAATAAAATTTTATATATAATAAAAATAATAAATTCATATTTTATTAAAATAATTAGAATAATATTAGTCTATTTTAAAAAGCATTAAGTTTTAAATGTTTAATTCATTTATTAGTTTATAACTGTAATATATAACATAAAAATATCAAATTAACAATATTTCTAAACAGTAAATAGATAATTGTGTGCTAATTAATCATGAAATATTTAGATTAGCAAATAATAAATTTCCAATTCACATATATTTCAATTATTACACACGATAAATTTTATATAAATTAAGTTAATAAATAATAAGTCAAATTTAACATTTTGATTAAAAAAAATATAAAAATTTTAATTAATTTTATATAAAAAATTCATTATTCAGTTATTTCTAGTTTAAAATTCAACACAATTATTTTTAAAGTGCTTTAAATAAATTAATAAAATGCTAAATAATTACAGATTATTATTGAACATATATATTAGAAAATTATTCAAAAAATATTTGAATTTAAATAAATACAATATTAGCCAATTGCTTGAATTGATGGATCAATTTTTATCGGATAACTATTTAACATTATATCCAACAAGTAATGATTACTACTATTGTCAGCTATTGAATGCCAAACGAATTATACGATTAATACTGATTAGATTATTGACATTAATATTTATAATAAGATTTATGTTAATTGCTATTATCAATGACCCTGATCATCATAAAAATATTATACTATTTAATGTTAACTCATATTTGAGTGACAAATTAATTATATCAATAATAATATGTATATTTATAATAATGTCATTATTTATTCAAACTGTTAGTAATATACAGGAGTGGTATCGATGTTATTATTTATACAAAATTAGTTATCTAGTTAAGTGTATGCATTGTCAATATCAACTTGATAACTTAAGTAATCAATTTTTAACTAGACTATTAAATTTATACATGCAATTTGTTCATATAATATTTATCAAATATTTACCCAGAATAGTCAATTGTTGTCATATAGTAGTCAATACTGTATATTGTCTTGATCATTTATCTTTTATCTGTGTTATTTATTATATTATATGGAATATTATTGGCTATTTCATAATAAATCATATATTTTATTTTGTAACTTATCTGGAATTTAATTTTATATTTTTTACATTGTATTTGCGTCTAAAATTTAGCATGATCAAATTGAAAATAGAAAATTTCCTAAAATTTGATAACTATTTTCTACTGTCGATTGCAATTTGCGAACATAATTTTGTCGAAAAAATTTGTCACCAAATAAATCATACATTTAAATATTATGTATTAGTTGGTTATTATTTAGTACCAATTGCTAGTCTAGTAATGTTGTATAGTACATTTTACCGTAACACATTGTATCTGGCTCGTTTATTTACGGCAACAATGGTCATGGTAAATTTACTAAGTTATTCAATTTGTTGCTATAGTCTATGCCGGGTAGTTAATAGTGCCCGTAAACCGTACACTAATATGAATACAGTGTTATTGCGGTCCCGTTTAAAATCATTGACAATTAAATTGAAAATTATGGCATTTATGGAGAAACTGTTGGGTCCCGACATCGGAATCTATTGCTATAATATTTTTCCGATTAATACTTTCATATGTTTTGAGTTTTTGTTAAACTGTTGTATAAATTATATGCTATTGACTACATATTTTAATACTGTAACTATTTATTTATCAAAAAAATAAATTATAATTAAATAAATAATTATATTAATAAATATCAAAAATAAAATGCGTTTTTTTAACTATTATTTTAATTATATTTATGTTTATAATAAAAAAATAACTATAGTTTTGTAACCATAATTTTACTATTATATTATACCGGTATATATACATATGTAAATAATCTAAATATGCTTACGTGATATCTAAAATTAATAATATAATTATAGCGCAAACAAATAATAACTAAATTTTTATGAGCTTGCTAAATTAACTTAATTCTAATTAAATTAAAATATAGTACAAATTAATGCACTTATAAATTTAATACATATAAATATACAGTATATTAGTTTATTTGAATGTTTCTAAAAATAATATATTAAATTAAATTAATCGAAAAAATTATTAATATAATGAATATATGTGTGAAAAATTAAATAACAAATGTATTTAATTAATTTTTTAAATAATTAATTAACTAAATATTATTTTATTTGCTAAAAAATGTCAAAACATTTTCGAAACTTAAGGAATTAGCGATAGTTGACTGTAATATAGAATACAGTTTATTAACATAAAGATTCAGAAAAATCAATACTATTGACAAATGTCTGTACAGTCGACTTACTGTTTAATAAACACCATATGTTTATACATTAATACAATGACTGCTTATAATTAGCGCATCGCGTGTCCGACGCAGTCGTGTGTTTGTGTGTGTTGTCCGCCGTATTCAGTGGACATAAGCCGACGGGATCTCCGTTATAGGCGGTCAATAAGCTGTTGAATGTTTTCGTCAAAGACTAAGCCGCCGCCGCTGTCGTCACCGTCACGGGTCAGCATTGAAGAGGCCAATCATCATCTGAAGGCCGTCCACGAACGGGTCGACCAATTGGAGGCCATTATTGCCGGTCAGCGACACGAGTTGGCCGCCAACGAGGAAAGACATCGACATGAAGTGTTCGGTTTGCAACAGTCGCACAGCCAACGGGTCCAACTACTCGGCCAACAGATGAATCAGATGAGAGATAGGGTTTGTATTTTGAAAGATTGATGTCTTGATTATAATATATGGTAACCCTCTTCGTCCGTATCATTAGATCCAAGAGTTGGAACAAAAACTGGAAAAACAAAACATTCGACTAATAGAAGAAAATGCAAAACAAATGGAAAAATTATCGCAAATCTTGAAACTGACGCCAAATCTAGAGATACTGTTGAAGTTGTTGAACGATTTGATGGCCATTAACAACAACAACAACACTAATACCGCCAATAATAACAATAATTTTAGTATAGTTTATAATAATAACAACATCAACAACAAGAATCGTAGGACAAGTGTTAGCGATAGTTGTTTGGACACAAAGTTGTTGTCTGAGACCGATAATACCTGTAAACAACAAATAATGACAAACGGTTTTATGGTCGTCGCCAACGAACATCACCCGGAGGTCAACAACACAACAGCGGCAACAACAACAACAGTCATCGATATTGACAGCAATAATAGTACATCACTGTTGAAGACTACGAAAAAGTCGGTCAAATACAAGTGCGACGACATCGACAACAACGACCATCAATCGGTTCGCGAAGAGATGACTGCTGCGGCTTCCGAAGGGTCGTCGTCTGTGAATACAACGCCCGGTCAATCGTCGTCGTCGTCATCATCGTTGACCACTACCGGATCGTCCACTACAGGCAGCGGCATAGTTGTTGGCCACCACAGGAATCAGCGGTCCGGTAGTGGTAACTCTAAGCTGAGAATTGGTCGCAGTTTTAACATAACGGCCAACTTTTCCGATGACGAAGACTCGATGACTGCTGCCGTAGTGGCCGCGTCTTCCACGGCAACGACGACTGTCGGCGGTGATAATAGCGGCAGCTATTCGGCACCGATGAGACCACCGATGATAAACCGTAAAATGTCTACCGATATTTGAAAATAATACATACAATTTGAAAAATGAAATGAAAGATCGTAAATAATTATGTTTCAATTACTGGTAAAATTACCGGTAAATTACCTGTAATTTAAAAAATAAAACACAAAATGTTAAATGTTTTATATAAAATATAAACATTTTATGACATTTATCTAACAAAAACAAAAAATCAATTGTAATCTCATTTTGTGATTGTTTTCCAAAAAAATGTTTTCCATTTAATTTATTTAATTTTTTGTTTAATTTATTTATTACAATTTTATTACCTACCTGATTTATTTAATATTTATTTTTTAAAAAAAACTAGTCAATAAATGTTTTATCCATTACCTAATTTGTAAAAAAAATTCAATAAATAATTAAATAAAATATCCAAAATTATACATGCAAAAATATAAAAATTTTTATTGATTTTTTATAGTTTCAATATTAATGAAAGTTACATTAATTAGTTTATAGTAATAATTAGGAGACATTAATTAATTATAGTTTTTTTTAAAAAAAGTTATACTTTACATATTTAGAGATTACAGTTAAAAGTTGGAAAATCACATATAATTTTATTTTTGTTAAACTAATTATTAAGTACTACAGTATATCATTATAAATATCTACTAACTATTAGTATTAGTGATATTAGAGATTACAGTTATAAATATATATATATATAAATTTTTAAAAAGTGTATTTACATTTATCAATTAAATTTTGGTTTGTCTGCATATTTCAATCTATCTAAATATATACTACCGCGGTAATAATTTTCTATATATTGAATTTTTGTAATTTAGTAAATAATTTTTAAAAAACATGATTTTACATGATTTAGTAATTTGTAATACTGTATTTACCATATATATACTGTATATATATATATTATAGAATTAAAAAAAAATTAAAGATCTATATTATTATCATTAGTATAGTAATTCATTGTACAGTAGTATTAGTATTATTAGTAGTAATTTTGTTCATAATTATCATCATTAAAAAATAGACACATATTTATCAATTCATTTTTTTTAAAAACTCTTCCATAATAACAATTTTTTACTTTTTCATATGCATAGTCATAATTATATGTCAAACTAATTTTGATAAATAAATATATATATATATATAAAACTTATAAACATTTTTTTAATTAAAGAGATCTTTCATTAAAATTCATATATATTTTTTTTAAATCTACGTTTTCTTAAATAATATATTTATCTATTGTACAATATTGTAGTTATACTTATAATTAGTTCAGTTATAAAAAACTATATGTAAGACAATTAGCTGCATATATCATACAATTATCAATTAATTATTACTCTCTTTTGTGTTCAATTTATTGTTTCTTTTTTTTTTGGATTCAAATCTCACTCATAAAACTTGGCCACAATTTTTATTTTTTTTTTCAATGACATTCACTGACAATAAAAAAAACAAACATAAATAATAAACATAAAAAATACGGTAAATAACAAACCAAATGATTAGATTGTTTTTTTAAAAATAAAATATTCTTCAATTAAAAAAATAATAATAATAAATCAAACAACTATTGTGGCACAACTGTCTTCACATACATATCAACTCAAATAATTATAATAAAAAAACAATTTACAGGAAATTAAAATAAAATACAAAAAAAGTTAAGTATATTAACAAAATTATAGAAAAAAATAAATGATAAATTAAAAAGCGGATAATTAATATACAGTACAATAACAGACCTCAAATTAAAGCTTAAATAAAATTGGAGACTACGGTAACTAAATAGATGATAAAAAATAAAATTAGAAATTAATTAATTACATATACAAGTAATGTTAATAATATTAAAATTAAAATAACATTAAAAATAATAATATAAAATGAATGTCATATAAATTACAGTACATTTCATGCAAACGCATGGGTAAGTAGATGTGGATACAACTTATAGGAGAAAATAATGATTATTACGTTAATAAAATAATAATTATAATTAAATTACAAATTAATTAAATTAAATGACTATTTTTTTGTTGAGACTATTTGGTAGAGTTTTTTTCAGTGCGCCTCCGTTTCCAGTTCTCGTAAACACTGTGTATCTCTTCGGCACTAAACTGATGTTTGGCCGTACGTTTGTTGGCCACACCATTGTTGACCATCAACTTCACTGGTTTGACATTGTTGTCGTCATCAGACAGATTCGATAAATGTTTTGGTGGTCGACCTCTTCCTCTCTTGATTTTTAGCACTAAAAAAACATTGAAAACAAAATTAATACAAAAATTAATAAATTACTCAATAAAATAAAAATAAATATTTTGTTTTTGTTTACCACAATTGGATTTAATATTATTATTATTTGTGATAACATTCTCGTTATTGTTGCGCTGTTTAACCATTTGTTTTACATATACGTGACTACCATTTTGTCTGATCTTTGCATTGTTGAGTAACTTTCTGGTGATACCAATGTTGTTGTTGTTGTCATTTGTCTTATTATTATTATTACTATTTGTTAGCTTTTGTTGTACAGCAGCTGTCGCATAGTTCATCCGTCTACCAGATAATAACGACAATCCATTTCCATTAGCTCTTGATTGATGTCTTATAATTTCGGTGATTAGCCGAAACTTTGCCTTCATATCATGTTGTTGTCCATTGACTGTGTCTTTGTTATTGTCGTCCACTTTCTTGATTCCGTTAGTCGATAATTGACTCAGACTTCCATTTACTAACTTTTTCGGTCGTCCGACGGGTCTCTTCAGTGAATGACAACTCTTGAGTGACAACAACTTTTTCGGTCGACCTCTTTTGCCAACAGGACTTAACACAGTCGGCGACGACGACGACTTCGGTGATGTCATTAGTTTCGGTCGTCCTACAGATCTATTCTCACTTATTTTCGACTCAGCGTTTTGTTTGTTATGATCCAAACTTTTTGGACGACCGACTGACCGTTTAGCCAACAATAATGGCTTATAGTTACCATTACTGTTGTTGTTATTATTATTATTATTACTATTGTTATTATTACTGTGGTTTGGTTTGTGATCCAAACTCTTTGGCCGACCAACTGGTCGTTTAGATAATATTATCGGTCGATAATTGTGCGATAATTTTGGCGGACGACCTCTCTTTCGCTTTAAAATATCTGCTGATATATTGATATATTTTTTTTTAAAAATATTTTTTTCAAATCACAATTTGAAATAATCAAAATACCTGTTGAGTTATTGCTTGTCGTTATGTTTATGGCAAACAATGGATTGTACTTTACATCCTTTGCGTCCAAACTAATTGATCTGTAAGTTTGTAGTGGTTTAGTGGCAGTCAAAACATCGGTACCACCGCCGGCAAAGATTTGCTGGTTATAGACCATCGATGGCCGCGCTTTATGTACACTATTGATATGAATCTCGAGTTCCCGTTCAGACTCGAAACATTCGTAACACTCGACACATATGGGTATCACTTTGGGTTCATCTTTAAAAACTTCGGGCAAAGTCTTATTTTGGCTGTTCTGTTGATTATGACTACCATTGGCTGTCACTTTGTTGTCATTTGTTGTCACATTAGTCGTAAACTTTGGTTCGGGTATCAGTTCATCAATTGGTTCTTGTTTTATGTGAACTAGAAATAATCGGTAACCAGAATATGATTAGAGATGAAAAACACAACTTATCGGACGAATTATTAATAAACTTACCGTTCGGTAGTAATATTTCGCGTCCATTGACCACCACTTCGTGCTTAATCGTAGAGCTAGACCGACGCTGACCAGTGTTTGAAACACACGTCGACTGATTAGTTATCGATAGACTATTATCACTACTGTTTCCTGTGTTATAGTCAGTGCGGCAACAGTTGTCGGTAACTGATATCATCGATTGTCTGCTACTACTGAAGCGATCATTGTTACAATTGCAGCAATGATTGGCTGCAACTGTCTCAGTGGTGTGCGGTCGGGTGGCATACCCTCGGTAACCAAATACGTTATGACTGCGACTCCTGTTCATAGCATTATAGTTGTCGTTCAGTGCGACAATCTTTGGCCAGATATCCGTATTGACCGAACATTTGCATTGAGCTCTAACCAGAAGACAATAGTTCTTCATCTCAACCAACAGTCCGTTGAGTCGGCGCTCGTATGACAGCTCTTGAGTCAGTCGCTGATTCTCGTCGTTAAGTTCATCGTAGTTGTCATCGGCGGTAATCATTGTCGTCTGGTGGTCACACATTATCATTAAGTTTTTGTGATTTAAATAGTGGTCAGTAGTAGTCATTAATGGCGGCGTCGGCGGAAACAATTGGTGTCATCGGTCTTGTTGTTTGGTCCGCAAAAAAAACAAAAACAAACCAATCAATTGATTAATGTCTTCACTTAAGTGTCAAAATAAACGAAATGTCAGCGAAAATAATGTTTTAGTTTTTATTTTGTTTTTATTGTTGTTTTTGTTTATTAAATCGATTTTTTGTTTATTCATTCATTTAATTGATTTTTATTATTATTATTAAAACATTTGTTTTTTTTGAATTACTTAATAAACACGTGATTTAATGGAACAAACAATAGGTTTTCAGATAATAATATAGTATTTGGAAAACAATAAAAACATTTTCAAGACATACAGTCAACACATCATTCATATACAACGTTATGACAATACGTTATGTGTGTACACGAAATATACAGTATAACTTAGTTTAGATAACTTGTGTAAAATTGTTAATTATGTGATCTAATCTAACTAATTATGTCCAAACTATTTATAATATATGTATAATTTATCTAGACAAATATTGTTAGATTATTTACAATTATTTTATCGAAATAAATTCATCTAGTTCAATTAACATGATCATTGTAACTAGTGTTCTAGTTGTTTATAGTTGCCATGTCGACCAGGTTAGATTTTTTATAAACTAAAATAAACAATGTTCTTTGTTTGCGCTCTTATTCTATTAATATTAATAATAAATATACTGTATATGTATTATGTATACTGTAATAGAACTGTCAAATTATTTGATACATAAAGTATAGTACAAAATACTGTAGAATATAATATACAATAAAGTAGAGGAATATTACAATACTTTAAGCATGTACATTTTTTAAAAAATAATCATTATTATATACTATAGTAAAACTGTATGTTTATAAGTTACTACTAGTAATTAGTTAGTGTTGGACAGTTTATTTTAGTAATTAAAGAATGGTGAATAATTAACCTAGATCAGCAGCAGCAACAACAAAAATCTTTGGCAAGGGTGGGATTCGAACCCACGCCTCCGAAGAGACTGGTGCCTTAAACCAGCGCCTTAGACCGCTCGGCCACCTTACCAATGGTGCCATTGTTGACATTAATTGTCTAGTACATAAATAGCATGGTCCATTTTACACTTTATAAATATATTTAAAAAAAAAGATAGTTATCTAAGTATTTACTGTATTAACATTGATAATTTATGTATGCATTGCGTATACAGTACTGTAATAATATAGGTTCAATGTATGATAGTTTAAAAATACTTTTTTATTAATTTTTTAAATAATTTTTTGACATGCTTAATTTTTTATTATAAACAAATTAGTTTAAATAAATGGATCAATACAAATATTTAACTTTTTAGTTTATTTAGTTGATAGCAAATAAAAAATTATCAAATTGACTATTAAAAATATTTATACATTTAAATTGATACTATTATATTTTTTTTATAAATTAAAACTACTAATAATTTATATTATGTTTTAATATTATGTTATTAAGCAATTCTCTTAAATATACAATTTAGCTAAAAGTTATCTATGTTTATGATAAATAAACATAAATATTTATTATTATTTTTTTTTAAAAAATAAAAATACATAAAACATATTAAATTTTATTATAGTTCATAAAACTAAACAGTATTTTTAAATAATTATATTTTAATAATATTCTAATATTTGTAATAATATTCTATTTAAGAATATTCTGTTATTATATAAAAGACACTATACTATACAGTATTATTATTATTATTATTACTATAGTTAAAGCAAACGGTATGTATATAAACGCTAGAAATTAATTTTAAAAATTACTGTAAAAGTTATGAGATATACAAAAAAAAAAAATTATTAAAAAAAATAATACTCAAAAGTCACGTCATATCTTAGCAAATCAGATGATTTGAACATACAGTACCACTATTTACTTCATTAATATTATTGATAATCATATTAAAGAAACAGTACATGTTTTAATATAAATTTTTTCTATACTGTACTATATATAATATATACAGTAGTTTAAGTTTTCAATAATATATTTTTATATCAATATTCTTAAGTATATAAAAAATGCAAATTGTACTGAACTTGACATTCATTTTATATAAAATAAATTACTGTTTTTTAAAAAAAATAAATAGTCAGACAAATATATATATATAATATTCACTACATATACTAAATATTAAGTTTATATATATATACTTATTATTATTATTATTATTTTATGACTTATATAAGCAATTCCCAGAATTGTATTGCTTATATTTTATTATACACACAATGTTTTTAAAAATACAAAAATATATATAATTATCTATAAATTACTACTATTGTTTGATATCGTATTTTTCTAAATAATACGATACTCTACGATGATCTGTAATAATAATAATACCAGTGCTATAAACTGATAACTAAATGAGTGTAACAATACTAAGTTTGTGGTGTGAACTGAAAAACTTGTATAAAACCATTAGACGATTGAAAAGAATGGAACAGTTTATCGGCAAAGTTTCAAAGTTTGCCAAAAATAAAAGTGCAGAGTTTGGTCTATTCATTGGACTGGCACTGGTAGCTATAGGTGCCCTATTAATTCTAGTGTTTCCGGTGATGTTGGGTATTGGTTAGTGTATATAATTTGTTGTTAAATAAATTTAATTATACTTCTAATTATTTTCTTTAATTTTTTTATTTTTAATTATCACAAAAACTAATACTAATAATAATATCTGTTTCATAAGGATTGGATAATAATTTTAAGCTCACAGAAGGCAAGTATATATTTGACAAATGGTATGTATTATTGTGTATTATGTTATTAAAAAATAGATATTGAAAAAATATTGTAAAATTACTAATTATTTTATTTTCAAAAAAAACAAAGGCGTGAATTGCCGATCCCATTGACCACAAAAGTCTATTTATTTGATATCCAAAACCCGGATCAGTTTAGCAAAGGAGCCGTTCCCGTAGTTAAAGAGTTGGGTCCTTATGTTTACAAGTATTTTATTATTGATAAAACTCTCTCTCTCTCTCTCTCTCTCTCTCTCTTTCTAAATATATTTTTTCAATTCTAACAGACAGTATAAAATAAGAGATATTGTTGAATGGTATGTATAAATATTTTTTTAATTTATTTATATTTTTTGTAATTAAATGAGAAAAAAATCATAACAACAATTTTATTATTATATTTTTGCAAAATTAAATTATTAGGTCTAAAGACAATAATCGTGTAAAATATTACGAAACATTAAAATTTGTATTTGACCCTGAACTCAGCAATGGTAGACTCACTGATAAAGTGACCATGGTCAATGTACCACTACTAGTAGGTTTTTTTTAAAAAAAAGTTTTTATTATTAAACTAACATTTATTATATAATTAAATAAATTTATAATTATATTTTTTTTAATGACAATTGATTTATTGATATTATCTATTGAATTGATTAGATAATAATTGATTAGAGTATAACATAATTGCAATTTTTTTTAAAAATATTTCATTGATAATTTACACTAGAGTTACATTGTATTAGACAGTTACACATTTCTCGATAATCAAATGAAATTAATATAAAAATTATATTTAATCATTTAAATTTTTAAAGTATTTACACAATTTATAATATTTAAATTTTAATAAACACTAGTATACTATAAATTATTATAAAATATCATCTGACAGTATATGATTGATATTTGAGTTTATCATTATGTGTCATACGGTATACAGTAATACTATATTTAATATCTTAAATTTGTGCAAATTTGTACTGATATATTGTATACAACTTTTATATACATTAAATTTATATGTATTTAATGTTGTAGTGATTTATTTCTTATGCTTACTTTGCATAAGATTTGACATTGAAAATAATTATCACAACACATACACACATTTATATTATATAAGTAATTTATACTGTACTAAATATATATTTAAATATATTTCATACCTGTAATTATTATGAATTATTTCATAAAATATAAAATAAGATATTTATGAGTCATCTTTGAATAGTACAGATAGTTTAGTCTTATGTACCTTAAAAATATATATTAATATATTTATAAAGCTATTAAAATAAATTGTAATATATTTTATACTATTTTTTGTTGTTATTTATAAATTCCTTTTTATAATATATATATTAATATTTATATATATATTAATATATAATTTAATATATAGTATAATTTTATAATTAATATTAAGCTTTTCTATATATATATATATATATATGTGTGTGTAAATTTAATAACTTAAAAAATAAAATACTAAATAAGTTTAATAATAATTAACTGTATAAGTTTTAAAAAAAATTAAATTATAATATCATGATTAACATTATTATTTTCTAATAAATTTTAATATGAACAGGCACATTTTATATTATAAATAACTTTTTATTTATAAAAATAATAATATATTACTGTATTTACAGTTGATATTTTCGATAATAGATTCAGCGGTTGAAAAGTTCCCATTGACAGCTGTAGTGACTCCCATAGTTAATAATGTTGTCAATGCATTGTTGGCCACTCATAGGGAACGGCTTATCGAGACCCGTATGGTTGGCGAAGTAATTAATGGCAGACATTTGGCCGTATTGGATACCATTGACATTGTGGCCAAACCGTTGCGACTGATGGGTCTACCGATTCCCGAATATGGTATATCAATGTATAAGCTCAAAAATAATAGGTACGGGTTTCTTAGTATGCGCAACAATACACGTTTTGGACCGTTTGAACAGTTTACTGGTGAAACTCAAGCCAATCAGTTTAATAAGTTTGCCTCATATAAGGACAGTAGGTTTGTAGATATAGACATCAATGTTTAGATTAAATAAATAATAAAAATAATTTATAATATAAATCAGTCGTTTAGGAATTTATAGACACTCGACATGCGATGCCATCAATGGAAGTGACGGTTCATTTTTTGGCACTTTCCTCGACAATACCCATCCATTGTATTTGTTTAATTTGCACGCTTGCAGGTCATTCCGTATTGATTATGTCGGGTAAGTATTATATTTCTATATACAGTATATATACATACAATTGGGATGACCTAACATATTGTTAACATAATATTATAACAAATTTTCAGCGACTCATCAGTGGACGGTATTTCCACATATCGTTACGAGTTTCCCGATAATATATTCGACGGACCCGACTATCAAAAGGATAACTGGTGTTTCTGTCCAAAGGGTACCGACCCTTACAAATGTCACGGAATGTACGACATGTCACACTGTTTGTCGGGCATACCGTTTGCCATGACTTTCCCACATTTTCTGAACGCCGAACGTTTTCTGACGGCCGTACATGGACTCAGACCCGATCGGGACAAACATAAAGGATATTTCAATATTGAACCGGTATGTATAAATATAAAATTAATTAACTTTTACTGTACTACTACTACTAACCTCTAATTAATACATAGACATTGGGCACAACACTTGAAGGTAGCGGTAGGTTTCAGATAAATCTTAAACTGAAGCCATTTACATTTGTTCCCGGATTAAGTGACTTTAAGCCAACACTTTTACCTTATTTATGGATCGATGAGGTATATAAGAAAAAGAAAACATATAAGAAATATAGAAAAAAATATATGTATATAAGAAATCACATATTCAGCTCAGGAATACAAAAATAAACTAACATTTTTTAATTAAATAATTAACATAGGGTGCCCAACTAAATGGTTGGCTATTCACTTTTGTTAAGGTCGGTTCCTATACAATAAACGGAGCACACACTGCATCTATTATGGCAATAATGATGGGATTAGGTATGAGCCTAATGGCCGGGTTTATGAAATATAAACGCAAGAAAGTAAAGTCAATTGTATTTATAATTATTATTATTATTTTTTAATTTAATTAAATTTCTATTTATTTTATAGAAAATTAATGTCAAACCTGTTAATGATTATAACAATCCCACTATTAATATCATCACCACTCCAGACAAAGACAACAAAAACAACACGATTGGCAATTCAAGTGATAATAATAATATTGACAACAAATCGCTTAGAAGTTTCCAAAGTATGGATGATTTCAAAGAACTAAATGTTAGCGAACTGTCCGATCAAATGAGTCAAACTCCTGTTTCCATCAACACCAACAACACAGCTGCCCATTTGACCATCCATTCACCCGATGTAGAGGCAGATATGCAAACACTGGCCGGTCAGTTGTTTATAGACAACTCAGTACTGGCCACCTATTCCGACGGCCATAAAGAGCGTATATATCCGGAATTAGTACAAATCAATCGGGAAGTGCATACTCTAGTCAAGACAGTCGATATTGATATGGATATACCTATCAATGACATCCCTGACTACATAATAAACAAGTAATTTTTGTTATATAACTTTTTATTATAGTATATTTAAAAAAATACAAAAACAAAACAGCAGCTTAAATAACATTTTTTTGTTATAATTGACTTTTTTTTGTGTAATCAGTACTCAAAATAAACGCAAAATATCGGCGGACAGTCAAAAAAGTAATGTTTCCCATCACGGGGAACAACAACAGTCTGGCCACACGTCACGGAGTGAACTAACATTACCGCCCGTAGAGGACGAGGAGATACATACCACTGTTATTATGCAACGCAAACCGTACGGCAATGAAGTGATAGGACGTTAATAGGGATATAAATAATTTATCAAAAAATATAATATAAAAAATATATAAATACATTAAATTATTTTTATAAATTATTATTAATTATTATAATTTTTTAAGATTAGCTAATTTATTAATAATTTAGGTATTATTATTATTATTAAATTTTTGTTTGTTATTATAGATAAATTAATATAAAGTCAAATATATCAGTGTATTGAAATCTATTTAAATTAATTTTTTTGTAATATAATTTACTGCATTTGACTCTAAAATTTTATAAATGTATAATATCAATATAATTATTATAAATTAAGATTTTTAGTTTTTTTATTGAAAAAATTATGTTAAAAGTTTTACTAAAATTTTTTTTATAAAAAAAACAAAAGTTTATTTGAATAAAAATAAATTGTTATCCAATAGTGGATCGTATAAATTGGGTCAAAATTAAACAATAAAAACAATATCAAGTTTTCTGTGTTTGTGGTTAAGTGAAAGTATTAATTATTTTATAATAATACAGGTATCTATTTATTAATATCACATAAAATAATAATAAAAAATAATAATAATTTAAAGCTTATCATTGAATTAGACACTTAGGAGGGACAGTCAGGTTTTCATGTAAATTAGTTCACTCGATATACTATTAGATTGTATTCATACATTCAATATAATTATTTTCAATATTTTCAGATCAAATTATTTTGAGTAAAATAAATTTTGCATAAAAATTGTATATTCAAAAATATTGTTTTCTTCTACTGATTTTTAGTATTAAGTATTATTATTAATAATAAATTATTTAAGTTTTTTTGTTTAAAAAAATATTATAATTATTACATCTATATTAAATCATGAATTTTATAAATGTTATTTTTATTTCACTAATATATGTGTGTAAGTGAATTGTAGTAATGTTATTATAATAATAATAATTAATAATTATTTTTTATTTATAAGGCTCTGGTAATCCCAGTATCGATAATTATGGATCACTTAATACCGGTGCTCAATACCAACAACATTTGACTCCCTTACAGATCGATACACTAAACTATGGTCAAAGCGCCGGTGTTTTGCTCAGTCCCGTCGATCTTAAGCTAACACTAACCAGAAGTAAGCCATAGAAATAAGTGATTACCAAAAAAATAAGGCTAATTAACCTTTTGTTTAAAAAAAGCTACTGAAATACACAACATTGAAAACTATGACAAATGCCAGAGCACTGGTAAGCTAAATGTGGTAACTGTCGGCAGGGATGAGCTATTTTTCTTGAACATGAGTTGCCTAAACTACTATACAAGTAATCCGTTAGCCAGAGAAACGTTGAGCTTAACGCTGGGCGATAGGCTCGGTGTGTTGACTCCGATTGTCAACTTTACCATTACTAATGTCGTGAGGAATGGTATGTATATTTGAAATGTTAACAGCAAACAAACAGTTATTACTACTGTTTATTAAACTATTAACAAACAGGATATCACTATGAGATACACGAAGGTATTGTAGCCGACGGTGATCTGATCAACGCTACCGTTACCAAAGTCAAGATGTTTGCCGAATCAGACTTTCAAAAGGGTTGCGCTCAGGAACCGGGTCTACAGTATATACCAGTGTTGAGATCAGATATTTCCTTTAAAGCACCGTTTGGCGACTATGCCATTGCCTGCGAAACCGTACAAAATCCAGGAAACAATTATTATAGGCCTGGTATTGTGGCACCGGAAGTGTTGGCTACTCAGAGAGCATCTACTGGACAGCACTTTGTGGGACATGTGCTTAAAAAATAAAATCAAGTTTATAATAATAAAAATAATAATAATAAAGACAAAATTATCAATTTATAAATTATTAACTAAGACAAGCTTTTGCTATTAAAATAAACATATCAAATAAAAAATTAAATTAATATAATAATTGAAATTAAAATTATTATAATGTTATATATAAGTTATATTGTAGTTTAGATTAGTAAAAATAATTGTAAACAGTATAGATTAATGAAATATATATTTATAATGATTTTATCATTTATTTAATAAATTTTTATTATTATAAATAAACTCATCAAATTTTATTTTACTGTATGTTTAATTGAAATGAAAAATAATATGCTATATATTCAAAATAAATATTTTTTTTTATAATGAAACTTAAAAAATACTTATTTTCTTATATTTTAATTATGATTAGACATGCAATAAATATATAATTATTTTACATTAAATTTTGTAAACTTTATAAATTATAAGTTATATTAAATATATATCGTTCAATATCTCCATGGATTCATAATAAATAATAAGTAGACAAAACTAAACTTATGTTTTTTGTGTGTCTAAATTGCAAGAAAATATAAGAAAATATTTTATATAAATATAGATATTAATATCAATAATAGTAAAATAAAAAAAATTAATGAAATATAATTTTATTAGTGATTATTGATTTTCAATCTCTGTTTACTTTCATAAAAAGATATATATATCTTGTATTTACATTTTATAATATAAGCCAACTAATTAATTTGCAATATTTTTATTAAACTAACAATTTGATGTACATCTAAGTGTTTATCTATTTATTCAAAACAGTTAATCATTTAGTGCATATCATATATTTATTTATTAAAAAAAAATAGTTGACAAAAATTATTGTTATTTTTTTGTTGTTAACTATGCGCGCATTGATTATGATAATGATAATTGCATTCATTGCTTACTTGTTTTTCATTAAATTAAACCGATGGCAACCAAAAGGGCTCAACTTGAAGAAGACTCGTGTCATCGATGGTGTCAATAGCTAATAGTCAACAACAATACACAACAACATCACTGATGAATATAATAATAATAATAGTAATAATTAATAGTTGAATTTATTCACTAAAAGGTATGTATTATTTAGTATTAAATTTTAGTATTTAACCCAAAAATTAAATGTAAAATTTTATTTTATCAAAATAATTTTTACAGATATCATTTGAAATCATTTTTCTAAAACATCTAAATATTTGGCAAAATAATTTTAATAATAATAATAATTTTTTCAGTATTTATATATATATATAATCTATGGATATTAAAAATATATGGATCAACTTTTGCTATATTGTGTGTTCACTCAATTATACAGTATTTGCTATTAAATATCATTTTCACTATTCAATGTTTTCAGTGAATATAAAATAATTAATATTTATATTATATTTATATTTAATTTTTAGAAAATTATTTTGAAGTTTAAACACTTTTTTTTATTAATTTATATCTATTAAACTTATAATTATATTCAATACATAATACATTTTAATTAACTTATGAATTAATTTTTAAAAATATTTATTTAATTAAGTATTTATTTCAGCAATGTCTCTATATTAAACTTATAACACATTTATTTTAATTTCACAAAATAAATACAAATTAATAATAATAAAAACTATTTTTAAGATTACATTTGATTATTGTTTTTAAGCATACATTTTAATAATTAAACGTTTGTATAATGTGATAATTATTTTTATTTTATTTTATTAGCATTATTATCCACTTCAGTGATTAATCTATATTTTTATAGTTTACTATTATTATAATATAACTATTTCACTGTTAATCTATTATTTTATAGATGACTAAACTTTAAATTAAGATTATGTTAATATTCATTATTTTAAATATCAATATATATTATGTCTACATTTTGTGTATATATAATATATATATATATATATTGTATTTATAAAAATATGTTATATTATTTTATAGTATATTGTTTTAAAAATCAGAAATTTTATAAACTATATAAAAATCTATTAATATTTGTATTTAGATATTTTTAACTTATATCATGTATCATATTATAAATAATTAGCAATTAAAGTTTTTAAAAATTGATATTAATATACTGTTGTATTGTTTTGTTTATTATAGTATTAGTAAACCAATCTCTCTCTCTCTTCTCTCTCTCTCTCTCTCTCTCTCTCTCTCTCTCTCTTTAATTATGTATTTTTATGTTAGTGTATCTAATAATTACACAAAATGATAGTTTGTGACAAAAAATAATAATTGTCAAACAAAAAAAAGTCATAAATATAAGTAAAGATAATGTTGGTGTGAGAAACTTATATAACATATATTTATATACTAATAATGATAATAATAATAAATTTTTAGGATTATAGTATCTTTTACAACTAGAATAATAGAAATAATAATAATATAAATTATATCATATGATTTACAATTTATTGATTGATCAGTATTTTTGTGGTGTCTGTCAAACATCACATAAACTATAATCAATGTGTCGTATCCCTCATACATACCGTCCAATTGTTTTTATTTATTTTTTTGTAGAGCAAAAGTGTCATTAGTTTCAGTTTAAAACTTATTTAATTGCTTAGTCTATTGTTAATGAACAGTTATTTTATCATTTTAAAATTTGATCCCATAATACACTCAAACTTATTGATAAATCCCAGTCATATCATACTTTGTCTCATCAAAACTATAAGTTTTCTAATATAATAAAAATATATTTAATTTTAATTTTATCATTTAAAATTATTTTCAAATTTGATACATGTTTTTTTTTGTTTGAATGAATTGCAAAAAAATATTTATTTTTCTCATATTATTACTAAAGTATAAAAATTATATATTGATCTTTGAATATTATCATTAGATATAAAATTTTATTTCAAAAAAAAAATATATATATATATAGCATTCACTAACACAATTGATGATCTTAATAATGTCATTATATACGGTATATGTCTAATTAATTACTAACTAACAATTGCTAAAATTAAAATCATAATTAAATTTGTTCAATAAATTATAATTATTATATAAATAATATCGACAGCACTATCAATAGTTGACAGCTAAAAATCAAATTAAATATAACTTAATTAAATTTTCTTTATTATAATGATCCAAATTAATGATTAATTAATACTTAATATAATAATTATTAAGTTATTTTTATATGTCACTTAAAATTTATTTATTGTGTTGAGAATTAGATATTAAAAATAAACTTTTGTTTACTTTTGAAATAATAAATAATCTATAATTAAACATAAATTTAAAAAATTAAATTAATAATGGGTTGAATGTCATTAAAATAAAAATAGATAATATACAGTATTTTAATTGTTACAATACTATAGTCTATCGCTAGATAATAATTATTTTATAAAATAATTTGTAAAATAAATTAGTATACATGTATTTTTTGTTAAATTTTATTATTAAAAAAAATTTTAGTGAAAAAAATTAAATATTATGAGTAAAATTATTTTCACTTATGTATGATATTCTTATTCATAATAAATATATTTATTATATGAAATTTACTCATTAACTCAGAGAGTGATAGTAAGCAATTGAGAGAAAAAAAAATAAATAACAATAAGTAGTAGTAATAATAATTATTATTTAAAAACAAAAATATTTGAAGACAACAACATTTAAATGGAAAATAAATTATTAAAATTTTTAAAGTAAAGCACGAAATTTTCAAATTATCAAAACATGTTATTATGAAATTAATGTCACATAAATGGTGAATATTTTATGAATTTTATGTAAATTTTGTGCTAAAATTATCAAACAAATTCACCGACAATTAGACATTATTCAAAACCATAGAAAATACAATACTAAACGTAAATATATTATATTATTTACAAACAATTTACTAAAACATCTAAATACTAATAATAAGTTTTTGTTAATTTTTAAAATAAAAACAATCAATTGATATTAATTTATAAATTATATACTATTATTATAAATTATACAAAATTACAAATTTTTACAATTATTGCATGAAATCACTCAATCAATCTATCAGTCAATTGTCATAATAACTGAATACCAATATTTTCTTCATTGTATTAATAATTAAATGCTTTTTTTAAATTTTCGTATAATTAATATGTTATTTTGACTATTTTAAGGAGAAAAAATTTAATTATTTTAGATAATTAAATACTTATTTCTTGTTAAAGTTAATAAATATTAAATGGGTTTGTATAACAGTGAGTAAATTATTTATTAATGATAAGTAAATTTTGTTTGTTTGTAAAAATATCAAACTATGTTAATAATTAATAGTTATTCATATATATATAAACAAATTAATAACTTATTATTGATTTTTAAATTTAGTTTGTTAAATAATATTAGATATTTTACAAATAGTTTTTTTAAATAGTTTAGTTTTTATGTTTTATTTAAAAATAAATTCTTAATATTAATACTTTTTACTGAAAAATATAATTTATTTGTTTTTTATACCAGTATTAGGATTATAGTAAATTATAATAAATATTTAAAAATTAACCTGATGAAAAAATTACTAATATTTTATACTTATATCAATACTTTAAAAATTGTTTTTTGATAAATAATGTTTAAATATTTAATTATTTAGATAAACTTGTCTAATGGTTTACCAAATGTTAAACAAATGTTACTTAAAATCATTTAAAATTTTTATCTATATCTACCATCACATATGAAAGTCAATGTCAAAAAATATATAATTTAATCTAATAATAATAGTAATAACAATAATATACTGTTTATTGATTGTTGTTAAAAATTGTTATTTAGTTGACAACAAATTTATTTATTTTCAAAAGTTTTATTACATCTCTCTCTTTCTTTTTCTCTCTCTCTCTCTCTCTCTCTCTCTCTCTCTCTCACTCACACACACACACTCATTGACTAACTCTATCTATCTATGACTATAATGACAACCCTATTGACAGATTGAAGAGTAAGACATTTAAAAACTGTGTTTTTAGAGCACATGTATCCCAGTATTAGAATTAACATCCAGTGCTCTACTCTTTCTCTAAAACTCTTAAAACTAATGTCACTGTTTTAAGTAAGTGTGAGAAACGATATCAAACTATAGTATAATAATAAAAAAATAATAATCAAATTTATTTTATATGTTTTTATCATTTAAAGGCATTTAATTTGTTTTGTTTTTTCTCAAAAAAAAAAAATTTTTCTCCTATCGGATGATATTAATTACAATAATAATATTTTTTTATATAGTTTTATTTCCAAATGTACAGTAGTTGTACTAAAATAATACAAAATTTTAATTGTTTTACTATAATAAGACTTTTTTTTAAATTAAGTTGATTTATATATAAGTATATTAATACTTCAATATATTTATATCTAAGTGATGTGTTGTGTGAAAATAAAACAAAATTGTGAAACGATTTTTCAATGAATTAACAATATTATTGTTTTTTTTTGTTTTAAAAATATTAGTTTAAATGTATGAGAAATAAAACAAAACAAACAACAAATAGTTTACTTGAATAAATATATAATGTATTTAAGTATTTGTTGTTGACTTTTATATACAGTGTATTTGTAAACATTTTGTTACAAAAAATAAAAAATATTTCAGTGTCAATTGTCAGCGAAAAAACTATTACAAAAAAAATTATTATTTCAATTGAGTTAAATAAATAAAATGATAATAAAATGATAATTTTGAAAGTTTATTAAACTTTTTCTAACAATATTATGTATTTAAATACTATTAATATTATGTACGAGTAATGTAAATATAAAAAGTATCATAAAATTTTAATGATGTTCTCATTAGAAAAGTTTTATAAAATTCAATTCAATACAAAAACTTTACTAATCATTGCTGTAATATTTGTCCATCACTTTGTGATCGCACAAACAGCTAATACCAGTGATTCCGATGATAAACAAAATATGTCCGTACCATACATACAGCTATCATCGACATTGACAACACCATCAGATAGTCCGCCAGTCCAGAGACGCGGCTCATCTGTTAGCGACCAGTTTAAGGGTGTGCTCAACAATATACTGAAGCCATTGAATCTGGAAGTGCCAAAAGTCAAACAAATGTCACAATTGTTTTCCCAACTGTTTCCTACAATCACTATTGAGACGGCACCCACCTATCATCGTAGCAACAGGTCATCTTCATTATTAGATAACTACCAGATGGCCGGTAGTGTCAATCGGCACCGGTATCCGTCATCATCATCATCGACAGCTTATAGTCGACATAAAGGGATGAATGATTTTGGCTATACATTCAACGAACCGTTAAGATTCATCACACACTTGGAGAGTGTTAGACACACCGACTCCGGTATTGTTGCTCCGTATGATGACTATACTAATACTAAATCAATTGATACGGGAATGGGATCTGAATCAATGGCTGCTCATCCTATGGCTGACAATCCTATTAGTGGCGATGAGATGAGTATGTCGTCAAACACATTGAAAAACATTGTAAACTTAGACGACCGACAAAAATCCAACACTGATTTGTTTGTCCAATCAAACTATAGTAAACTACCAGATTATATAACAAAAAGTGGTCGTATTAAGCATCTGTCCATACCTACCGAAACCGTTTATGGACAGCATGGGTCAGGTTCTGTTGTTAATGATTACTATCCTACATATGAGGGCGAAACACCCATCATAACTGCCGAACCTAACGATGATTTAGAACTGGATCCACAAAAATCATTGGTCGTTAAGTATAACAATTTTCAACTGACTGGTGGTCTACAGAAATCACCGAAAAGTCTTATCTATAATAATAATAATAATGACAATCTCACTGATGGTAATGATAATAGTATGATGATGTCTACTACTGGTGATAGAGATAATAATAATAATAATAATTTACTGAAAACTGCTTCCGAGTTAAAAGTTGTTCACTATTTGCAAGATTTCTATAATAATACACACGAAGAGTTCAATACAATGGCCGACAAACTCTATGGAAAGTCGTCTCAAAATAATGATAATAATAATACCAATAATCTATCACTCATGGAGTTTCACTCGATAGGACCTACAGTAGAAAGTTTGCAACAAACGTTTGGCTTAAGTCCCAACAAAAAACACAAAATGAAATCTTATATTGAAAACAATAATTCTGATAATAATAATACTAATAATAATAATGCCATAAATGTTACCTATGATGATGGCAATAATAATGATAAGATTATTATTGATAATATTAATGATAATAATAATGACAATACTAATAATACTATTATAAAACTTTCTAATAATAATAATAATCGTAATAAAAATAATTATAATGATATCAAAAACAATGGTAAGTCTTCATTATCTTTAGGTGCGGAACGACCTAAATATAGACAACAAAAATATAGTCTTAAAATGGAATCTGGATTCGATTGGAGGCCTATGTTAGGACCCAAACCAATGGTCGGCCGAACCTATGGATGGGAATCCTCTCAATTGAAACCACAAATTGTGGACCCATTGGCCGACCAAACCATTGAAAATGAAAAAGAAAATCATCTGAAGACTCAACTGAACGGCAATATTAAAAGTTATGGAAAACATAATCACGAAGACATTGATGACGAGTTCAAAGGTAATCTATTGCCCGACCATCACATGACAACCATATTGAGTGGTAATATGCTTAGCCGTCCGCGTAATGCAAAGTACGGTTTTGTCAACAGTCCGCACCACAGCATCCGTATGCTGTCGGCGCCGTCGGCTTTATATGAAACACAAATGTTGGATTCACACGGAGAAGCCTCTGTTGAAGAGTCGCCTATTATTTATAATATACCTTCAATAGCAAAACCAATGGTGCATCGCATCAGAGATTTTTTACGTAATATACTGTTTCCTAAATAGGATTCAACAGACAAATTGAGATTTATGTTATTAAGTAAATTAACAATTGTATGCTTAAGACTAAATCCATTGAAGAGAGAGAGAGAAAGAGAGAGAGAGAGAGAGAGAAAGAGAGAGAGAGAGAGACTACTTATAGGTTTATTTTCATAGTCTATTAATAATGTACTGTATATATACTAATATTAGTTATGAATGACAAACTATTGTTTTAATTATTGTTAAAATCATAAATATCTACTAAATAAAATATAAAATGAAAAACAATATTAAATATATTAATATTTTGAAAATATTTAATACAATTTAAAGATAATATTTCTATAAATAAATATATTTTGTTATAAAATTAATTTTGTTATAACTAACATTTTAAAAATTTATAAAATTATTACACTTTATATTACGGTAATATTTATACATAATTTATGTATTATAAGTTATTTTAGAATATTTTATCAAATTTTAATTATAAAACATTAATAAAATGTAATGAAACTGTGCATATGTTTGACTATAAATATGAAGTAATTACAAATTAAAGCACTTTCAAGTACTTAAATAATATATTTGATAATTATCAATTATTTAATATATATTTAATAAAATATGTGAAAATATATTTAATTTTTTAAAAATTCAATTATGAGTTAACCAAATTTGTACATATTTTAGTAGCATATTATTGGACACTGATATAGCCGATTGCAAATACAAATGCAACAGCACTGGACTTATGTAATAAACAACAATTGGATCAATTGATGACAAATTATGGTATCAATTGTAACAATAGTGTCAATCGTTTTAAGGATGTCTACAATGAGTTGAATCTCATTGATGTATATAAGCGTTACGAAGATATGATTTATAATTCATTGTTAAATCAAATTGAAAATCTGGATATAAATGTTGATATTTTTTGAGTTTATTTTATCAACAATTTATAGTTAGGAAAACATTAAAATTGTCTATTTATGAAATATTTTATCATACAATATATTTTTTTTATATTACAATATGTTTTTTAACGTAATTAAAATTTTAATTATGTAACATGTGTGACAAATAATTATAAATTTTCATTTTATAATAATTATGTTTATAACATACTTTGATTTATTTATTTATTTTTTTTATTATTTTTTTTATTATTTTGTATATATATTATTGTAAAACTAAATTCTATTTTTAATACATTATTACCAAACTTTTTATTAAAAATTTACTTAATTATCAAATATTTTATATAATAAATAATCAAATAATATTCTTTATAGTATATATATATATATATATTAGATACCAGTGCAAAACAGGCTATTATACATTGATAATAAATTGTGTGTCATATCTTAGTGATGACAAACCCATTATCTTCTATCTATGACATCATTATTGAGGCCATAGGTCGAGACATAGGCAGCGATGATGAGTTGTCTTTCGTAAAGCAACGGTTTGAGAGGATATTAGCATATAATGTACCTAAAGGTAAGGGCAATCGGGCATTGTTTGTGAACAAGTCGTTCAAATTGATGGCACAGTATATGAACCGTACGGTTACCGACAAAGAGATAGAGTTGTCAATGATTATGGGGGCCGTACTTGAAATATTGCATACATCTGCGCTTATGTATGATGACTATATGGACAAATCAATAACTAGAAGAGGGAATCTATGTTGGTATAGACAGGTATTTATTCAAAATATGATCAGTCAGTCCCTTATATAAAAAACAAACAATAAAAATATACGTTTTTTATTACTAAATAAAGATTTTTTATTAAAGATATATTTAACAAATTTACTGTTTTAAAACTATTTAAAATATAAATCTATTGAAGTATATTTATAATTTTTTTTAAGTTATAGATTAAGATATTTTTATGAAATTTTTTATATTTTAGTATATCTATTTAAGTTAATAATTTAATAATTTTACTAATGTAGTATATTTAAGTTTATAGTATAATTTAGATATAATAATATATATATATATGAATAATATTTTACTTCATTGACCAGTTGTTTGTTTCTGATTGACTATAAATTATTTGTTAAACCATTTAAGGATTCTACCGGAGCTCAAGTGTTGAATGACACCAAAATATTGATGAATGGGTGTATGTATATAATCAAGTTATATTTTGGCACTAAATCATATTATACGCAGATTATAGACTTATTTCATGAGGTAACCGTACAAATATCAATATAGTGTCAGCAATACCTAATTTATAAATATAAATAACTTGATTTATTATATGGTTTTTATTTATATTTAATATAAATATATAGATAATGAGACAATCGACTTATGGTCAGTGTATGGATATGTTATCCAAACCGCCAAATATGTTAAGACCACAGTTTCATTTGTTCACAAAATCACGTTATGAAACAATTGTCAAATTTAAGACATCCTATTATACATTTGTTTTGCCGGTTAGATTAGGTAAATGTATTCATATACAGTATATACTGGTTTAAAATTCAGTTAAAAAAATTACATTAATTCAATATAATACTACTGTATATAGTATTGGCAAAAAAAGAGAAATTTATAAAATAATAGAGAAATTTCTAGAAAGTTTCTAAAATAAATTTCTATCTATGGGATCCCCATGGTTAATTTTGTTTTTTCTCGATATTTGTTATCTTGTGTAACAATACATTGTTTTTACAAGAAATAACTAAAAATTATAAATAGTATTTTAATTAATTAATTAAAGTAAATAATTAATTAATTTAATTATATTAAACTATGATATATATAATAAAATGTTGAGTCAAATTTTACAAAATTGATTATTATTAAATAATTATAATTATTTTATATATAGGTATCCTATTTAGTAGTGTACTACAGTATATATGATAGTATAATATTATATGTATAGTCTCATTAATATAGTACATTATTACAATAGCTTTAAATATGGGGATCCCATAGTATAACAATAAAGTTACATTTCTATAGAAATTTATTCATGAGAAATTTTCTAGAAACTTTCTATTTGCCCATCTCTAACTTTATATGTTTTTAAAAAAAATATAAACAGGGATGTATATGATGGACATGACTGATCAAACAGTTCATCAACAAACTGAACAATTGTTGCTTAAGATTGGATATTTGTTTCAAATACAGGACGACTTTATAGACTGTTTTGGCGATCCTGTAGTCACCGGCAAAATAGGCACTGATATAGCCGATGGCAAATGCTGTTGGCTTATAGTGACAGCACTGGAATTATGTAATAAACAACAATTGGATCAATTGATGGCCAATTATGGTATTAATTGTAACAATAGTGTCAATCGTTGTAAGGATGTCTACAATGAGTTGAATATCATTGATGTGTATAAGCGTTACGAAGATATGATTTATAATTCATTGTTAAAGGAAATTGAAAATCTGGATATAAATGTTGATATTTTTAAGTTTATTTTATCAATAATTTATAAACGAAAACATTAATAATGTTTTAATTATATAATATAAAATATTTAAACAATATATCAATATATAAATTTATATTACAATATGTTTTCTAATTTTTTTGAATCATGTGATTAAGCTTTTCATTATATGTAAAAAATAAAAATTTCATATATTTAAAACATTAATTTTTTATGTATACTTATACATTTACTATACATATGTATATTATAATAATAATAAATAATTTTATTTAGCATTAAAATTTACTTGATATTTTAAAATTTATTTTATCAACAATTTATAAACGAAAACATTAAATAAGATAAACCTTAAGATAATTAAAAGCACACATTTTAGTTAATATTTGTTTTAAAAATGTATATTTAAATTAAAATGATAAAATATAATTTATAATATTACTTATTTAATATGCGAGAAATTTTTAATAATCTTCTATTAATATATAATAAATACTATTATTTTCTTTTAATTAAATTAATTGAAATTTAGATCATTTATTTTAATGTTTATAATAAACAATACATACAAGTTATTGTTTATCTAACAATTTAGTATAAAATTATCTCTTTTTTAATTTTTAAAACAATTTTTTTTATTAAAAATTGTTTTTATAAATATTTCAGTATATATATATATGTATTTTATATATTCAATATTAAATTAAAATAATTTAGTAAAAGTTTTCTTTTATCAATAAAAAATTTAACATTTATATTTGGTTTTTTATTAACTAATTGTTTGTCAATTAAACATTATTTGGGAAAATATTTTTATAGATTTTATAATAAACAGTAGATATTAAAAGTGAGTTATAATCATAAATTTATATTAATAGTTAAGATAGAAATATTTGAAATAAATATTAAAAATAACAAACATTTACATGAAATATTCATTCATCAATAACTTCATCGATAGTAGTAATTTTATATCTCTCTTTATCAATACAATCACTATTGAATGTGTTAACACTGGACGTGTCGTAGCCATCGATATTCCCAATGACACCCCAGTGCTGGGGTTCAGCCGATGCTAACATCTCGAAGCCGACGGCACCGATCAAATAGATGGCTATTGTTATGTAAAAGACAACATTCCAGCGACTTCTCTCACCGGGCTATCATCCATTCAAATCGATTAATTTAAAAAAAACTGTTTATCTATACATATGATGAATACCTACTTACAGTGTCGCCTAAAATAACGCCCACAGCGTACGGCCCGATAAATGCGGGTATGGAGGCCAAAGTGGCCGCAATGCCAAATATTGTACCCGAAAAGTCGGGCGCAAACTCGCCATAAATGGAGAACTCACCGCCCGTTACAAACCCGTAGAAGAACAGTGCGGTCATCAGTAGACTGACTACTGCTGCAGAGTTACAGCCCATGACTGTTATGATAGCCAAACAAATAGCTGGTCCTATCAGTGCTGTCGACTCGAATAGTTTGCGAACACGGGTTTTGGTCAAACGGTGGCCAAACTTTTTGATAACCAGTGCCGACAGCGGACCACCTAAAACCATAGTCACACCGGTAGACAGGGATAGACCGGCATTGAACAGTCCGTTGCTTAGCAATGACATACCGAAAACCTTAGATAAAAAATGTTATTAAATAATGTATGGGAACTGACTGTCACATCTCTGGGGACTTTACTTTGTCGAGATATGATGGCATTTTGGTCTGGTATAGATAATAGCCCCAACTGGCGCACACTTTGCATATAATAGTGGCCCACACGCACCGGGATGTGAAAATGTGACGCCACGGAGCCGATGATGATTTCTAAATATAATACAATCACATAATAAATTACAATATTGTTTTGTATATTATTGATTAGTGATTTAAAGTAGTTATACATTTGGCGATCCAAACGAGCCTTTATTATAATAAATATATTTCAATTCACTGTCCGTGCATTTAATGAAACCGCAAGTATTGCTTAGGAGTGGTGTGTCCTCAACGCACAGTAACCACATGACAATCCAAGGTATGTGTGCCGCACTTATTACATAGAAAACTGATGGCCAGCCACCGGCAAAACCGTTGTCACATAGATAACCGGCTAACGGAAAAGTAAACAAATTGCCAAAGTTTTGACCGGCGGCCAGTGCGGCCACGGCTATTGTCCGTTCGGCCGGTGTAAACCAATTGGCCAACAACGGGAACAGTGATGCAAATATACAGCCGTGAAAAAAGCCCATAATTACCAGCAGTGCAATTAACAGGTAGACACTGGTTCGCGCCACAGTCGGTATCAGTGAGTATAGTACGGCCGGAGCCGTTAGTGACACCAGTGTCACCCATTTGGAGCCGAATCGTTCGGTAATACGACCAGAAAGTGTTGGCGTTACCAAATACATATAGAAACTGGAACCTAGTATTATACCCTATTATCATATAATAATACAGTTTTATTAAATAATAAATTAATAATAAATGTATTTATATATATTAAATATATAAATTAATTAAACATAAGTTATATGTATAAATCATTAATCATTATATTAAATATAATGAGAAAAAATTGAAATATTAACTAAAAAAATCAAAAAATATACTGTGTCGTGACCAGGATTCGAACCTGGGTTATTGCGGCCACAACGCAAGGTACTAACCACTATACGATCACGACTCGATATTATTAGAGTGCAAATAACTAAATGTCAGTCAATACTACAAGTATTGATAGATTAGATTATATTAGTATAAACTTTATATACTTTATATACCTGTGGTCTATAAATAATCTAACCAGGGTGCATATGATTATTTATAACTTTTGATATGTGTGTCACATATTATTATAAAATCAAATTTAATGATTAAATACACACACTTTACGACTACATTAATGAAAATAATAATTTTATCACAATTTGATTTACAAACATGTTTTGTAAATACTAACAACTAAAATAATAGCCGTTTATATTCTATATTTATGATTAGTATAAAATTAATTATTTAGATATTAATAGTTTTATTTATATACATGTTATTTTTATTTGCATAAACCAATAGCATATTGCAAAAGTATTTTTTTTAAACGATAAAGATTTATAGAAATTAATTGAATTATTTTGTAATCATTTATATTAAATTTAGTTATGTTATAATTTACAAAATACACATTTAATTTAAATTTAATTGATAATTACCTGCAATGATTCACTCCAATCAAATTCGCCTCTAATTATGACTGCGTCGACACTACTGTCGTTACCCTGTGAGCTACCAGTGCTGTCTGGTTGCCAGCACTGGCCATCCGAGTCATGTTTATGTGCACTACTATTATACTTAGCCATCGATACGATAGCTACCGATAGGCCGGACCGGTGGCTGGAGAACAATGCCGTTGCCATTGCACCCAACAGTCCAATATATAATCGCATTGTTTTTTTATTTATTTAATTTATTTTATAATTTATACAAAAAAATATATTTTTTTATTTCACATATTTAAAAAATATATATAATTTAAATTAGTTTATTTAGTAATTAGTATAAGTTTGTTGATAATAATATACTGTTAAATAATTTAGATGTTATTATTTTTATTAAATAAATTAGTTTTAAAATAATTATACAATATATTAATCAAATAAAATGTTAATTTAAAAAAATATATTTTTTAATTTATAAATAATTGTAAACATAAAATTTTTACTAGTTATAAATATTTTAACTTAATATTAATAACAGTAAAATAAAATAATTAACTGTTTAATTACAGTTTGATGACTAGTATAATAAAGATAACATAAGTTTAATTACAATACAATGTACTATATATTAAATAATTAATACTGTATTATAAACAAAAGTTTTTTAAAGTAAATTATTTAATAAATTTTATTATTATTTTTTTTAATTATTATTATTATTAATTACTGTACAGATTAATAAAAGTAAAATTATTATGCATGTTTTTCATTATTATTATCATCATTATTGTGTTTTTCATTACTTTTAGGTGTTTCCTTATCGTGAATGACACCCCAGTGCTGGGGTTCGGCCGATGCAAATAACAAAAAACCTAACGCACCGAATATATACAAACCAATTGTTATATAAAATGCAATATTCCAGCGATCAATGTGACCTGGCTAATTATTTTTGAAAAATATATTCAACGATTTTATACTGTATTAAAGTAAACAAAAAAAATGAAAGTACTGTACCTGATCGCCCAAAATGACGCCCACAGCATAGGGCGCCACAAAACCAGGAATAGCGCCCAGAGTACCGGCTATACCGAACACTGTACCAGAAAAGTCTGGCGCTATCTCGCCATAGACGGCAAACTCGCCGCCAGTGAATAGTCCGTATAGAAACAGTGCTACGATTAACAGTGCGACCACTGATTGCGAGTGACAACCGATTTGTGTGATAGCCAACAGACATACGGCCGGTCCTATCAGTGCTACCGATTCAAACAGTTTTCTGATATTTGTTTTTGATATGCGATTTTTGTATCGTTTGATGATTAGAGCAGATAACGGACCTCCCAGTGCCATTGTAATGCCAGTGGCCAGCGATAGCATGGAGTTAAACATACCATTTTGCATTAATGGCATACCAAATACTTTGTCCAAATAGGATGGCATTTTGCTCAGGTATAGATAATAACCCCATCCGGCGCACAATTTGGCATTGACGGCTGTCCAAAGTGGACGAGAGGTGAATATATTTAGCCATGGTGCTTTTGAATTTTTCTAATAAAATATACTAATTATAATATTTTTAAAAAAATACTTATACTTAATATAATTAAACACTAACTTTTGGCGCACCAAATGAACACTTATGAGTTGTTATATACTTGAGCTCACTGTCCGAGCATTTAACGAAACCGCGAGTATTGCTAATAAGTGGTGTGTCCTCAATGCACAACAACCACATCACTATCCACGGTATGTGTGCCGCACTGATCACGTAGAACACTGACGGCCAGCCACCAGCAAATCCATTATCACACAAATAACTGGCCAACGGATAGGTAACAACATTGCCAAAGTTGTGAACCGCTGCGACCGCGGCTAACGCTATAGATCGTTCAGTAGCAGTGAACCAATGGGCGAACAGAGAGAACAGGGATGTAAAGATACAGCCGTGAAATAAGCCCATTGCTGCCAATAAGGTTATCAATAGGTAAACATTATATCTGGCGGCTACGGGAATCAGCGCTAATAGTACGCCCGGTGCGGTTACTGCTGTCAATGTAACCCATTTGCTGCCGAATCGTTCGGTGATACGGCCGGCTATTGTCGGTGTTATCAAATAAGCATAAAAACTGGCGCCTAGTATAATGCCCTTTAAAAATAATTGCATACATTTTTAAATATTAATAAATATATATATAACGTTATATATTTGTTAACTATATTACTGATTTACCTGTAGTTTCTCATCCCAATCAAACTCTCCTCTAATAACATCAACCACACTATCATCATATTGTGTGCCATCACCTGTGCTATCAGTTATACTAAAACATTGACCGGAATCGGTACTGTTTTGTGCACCGATGGTGTGGTATTTGGTCATCGATACTATCGACACACTGAGACTGGACCGATGGCTGGACAGGAAACCAGCGGCTATTGCACCTAACAGTGCGATACAAAGTCTCATAGTTTTGTTTAGTTTAATAATATTTGTGATAATATTTTCAAAAAAAACTTGAAAAGTTTTGTTTTCTGAAATCTATACGAGCCTTTTTTGTGTGTGTGTGTGTAGCATTTTTTTTGCGAATTTTGAAATTCTGACTTCAGATTCGGTTAGAGGACTACTAATAATGTATTGAAAAGTTGCATTAAAATTTTGATATCTCTTCGGGAACATATAGAAAATGGCGGCCAAAGTAAAGAAAATTTTAAGAAAAAATATTTTAAGTATAAATTTGAATAGAGCATCAAAAGCAAGCATAAAAATATGCATTAAAATTTTGATATCTCTTCGGGAACATAGAGAAAATGGCGGCCAAAATAAAAAAAAATTTAGGTAAAATTTTTAACGTTTAGAATTGTATAGAGCATCAAAAATAAGATATAATAAATTAAAATTATTTTTTTTATTTTTTTAAAAATGGCGGCCAAAGTAAAAAAATTTAGGTAAAAATTTTAACGTTTAGAATTGTATAGAGCATCAAAAATAAGATATAATAAATTAAAATTATTTTTTTAAAAAAAATGGTGACAAATGTATAAAAAATTAAGGTAAATTTTAGCGCTTAGAATTGTATATAGTATTAAAAATAAGATATAATAGATTAAAATTATATTAATTTTTAAAAAAATGGCAGCAAAAGTATGATTTTAACTGTTTATTTTGTTATACTAAATCATTTAATACCAAACATGATTATATTTGTTTATTTCATTATATTAATCATCTGATACCCTACATGACTATAGTTGTTTTGTTTGTCATTCCGAGTCATTAGATACCCTACATGACTATGGTTGTTTATTTTGTCATACCGAATCATTTGATACCATACATGACTATAGTTGTTTATTTTGTCATACCGAATCATTTGATACCATACATGACTATGGTTGTTTATTTTGTCATACCGAATCATTTGATACCATACATGACTATAGTTGAGTTTATTTTGTCATTCCGAGTCATTTGATGCCCTACATGACTATAGTTGAGTTTTGTTTGTCATTCCGAGTCATTTGATATTTGTTACATGACTATGGTTGAGTTTATTTTGTCATACCGAGTCATTTGATACCCTGCATGACTATAGTTGAGTTTTGTTTGTCATTCCGAGTCATTTGATATCCTACATGACTATGGTTGTTTATTTTGTCATACCGAATCATTTGATACCATACATGACTATAGTTGAGTTTATTTTGTCATTCCGAGTCATTTGATGCCCTACATGACTATAGTTGAGTTTTGTTTGTCATTCCGAGTCATTTGATACCCTACATGACTATGGTTGAGTTTATTTTGTCATACCGAATCATTTGATACCATACATGACTATAGTTGAGTTTATTTTGTCATTCCGAGTCATTTGATGCCCTACATGACTATAGTTGAGTTTTGTTTGTCATTCCGAGTCATTTGATACCCTACATGACTATGGTTGAGTTTATTTTGTCATACCGAGTCATTTGATACCCTGCATGACTATAGTTGAGTTTATTTTGTCATTCCGAGTCATTTGATGCCCTACATGACTATAGTTGAGTTTTGTTTGTCATACCGAATCATTTGATACCATACATGACTATGGTTGTTTATTTTGTCATACCGAATCATTTGATACCATACATGACTATAGTTGAGTTTATTTTGTCATACCGAATCATTTGATACCATACATGATTATAGTTGAGTTTATTTTGTCATTCCGAGTCATTTGATACCCTACATGACTATGGTTGAGTTTATTTTGTCATACCGAGTCATTAGATAACCTACATAACATTATTTAAATTATGTATATTTTACCAGTTTTTTATTTTTGTTACTATATAAATTAATACTATATAATTATACCAACTATTTGGTTTCAACATATTTATGATATTCAAGTTTTTTTTTCTAATAATGCTTTCTAGCATTCTTAACTGGTTTTTATTGTTGATATTATATTTATTTAATATTATATTATTATTTTTTATAGTGTTAAATGAATTTTATTTTTATTACATTATATTTTCTAATTATCTGAGTTTATAGTTCATAATTAATATTTATTATTATATGCCATTTAAATTATCTATTATAAAAAATGATAAAGTATAATATGTAGTTATTTTTAATAAATTAAGTTAATTATAAATATTATTTATTTATAGTTATAAAACAATTAGTAAATTATTAAAAAGTTATTATAATATTTTTAAAGTTTATAATTAAGATAAAGTGTTTTAGATTTTTTTAGTTAACTTGGTTTAAGTTTATATAATTTATTTACTAATTTTAATACATAAACAAAAAACTAATTAAATATTTATTTTTGAAAATTTTTATATTAAATTTTTAAAAATTCATGACTTAACCAGTTGAGAATGCTAGAAAGCATTTAAATAATTCCTAATTAAAAATTAAATTCAATATGACAAAATAAAATCAACTATAGTAATGTGAATTATAAATATTTCAGAATACCAAAATAACTCAACTATTGTCATACAATGTATCAAATGATTCAGTATTACAAAATAAACTCAACTATAGACATGTTGGATAACAAATGCTTCAGAATAAAAAAAATTATCAACTATAATCATGTGGGGTATCAAATGATTCAGTATGACAAAATTAAAAATTTAGTTGTGATTTTCTCGTAGTTCTTGAAGAGATAAAAATTTAAATGCAGATTTCTTATACTTAATTTTTGATGCTTTACACAAATCTAAATTTAAAAATCAAAAAATATATTTTTTAAATTTTTAGACGCCATTTTCTCTATGTTCCTGATGAAATATCAAAATTTCAATACTTATCCCATAGCTCATTTTTGATGCTTTATCAAAAAATAAAATTAAAAAAATCAAAAAAAATTTTGTAGCAGAGTCTGGATTCGAACCACTAACCTATGTGGGACAGACAGACCGACAGACAGACAGACAGACAGACAGACAGACAGACAGACAGACAGACAGACAGACAGACAGACAGACAGACAGACAGACAGACAGACAGACAGACAGACAGACAGACAGACAGACAGACAGACAGACAGACAGACAGACAGACAGACAGACAGACAGACAGACAGACAGACAGACAGACAGACAGACAGACAGACAGACAGACAGACAGACAGACAGACAGACAGACAGACAGACAGACAGACAGACAGACAGACAGACAGACAGACAGACAGACAGACAGACAGACAGACAGACAGACAGACAGACAGACAGACAGACAGACAGACAGACAGACAGACAGACAGACAGACAGACAGACAGACAGACAGACAGACAGACAGACAGACAGACAGACAGACAGACAGACAGACAGACAGACAGACAGACAGACAGACAGACAGACAGACAGACAGACAGACAGACAGACAGACAGACAGACAGACAGACAGACAGACAGACAGACAGACAGACAGACAGACAGACAGACAGACAGACAGACTTTTAGAATGCATATACGGACTCCTTTCAGGAGTTCGTGAAAATATACTGTATTTATAAATTATATATAATGAACATTGATTTAAGTTATAATTAAATTTTTCAAATTAATTAATAAATAAGATTTAATATTCACAAATTATTAATACAATTTGTTTTAAACTTTAATAATGAATTTTCGCAATAAAAATAATACATTCATAAGTTATTGAATAATAAATTATTGAATAGTTGTTTGTATGACAACCACAGAATATGATACGATTAATGCCAAACACGATAGTAATGTACTTCTATTGACTTTAAACAAACCCATCGCCGATAGAGACATCCGGTGCTCAAAGTCGCATAATTGTGAGACAACTGTCCGCCCGTCGGACGACAACCGAACGCAATCTAAGTCCTCTAATTTGTCGACCAGTCGTCGGAAACTGTTTGGTATAATATCGCCGATAGTCATCAAAGAGATCAACAGTATGGACGAGTAGACCAATGAGCTGATCGGGTGTAGCATAAAGTCAATCATTTTGAGTGTTAGAGTACACACTGAGGACATACAGACAATAGAGTTGACAAACAGTGTGACCAATAGATAGGGTGATATCAATGCATCAAATTGTTGAACTTGTTTGAGTATTTTGAATACCTGTTGATAGATAATATTGAGATCCAGACAATGGTTTCGATCAATATTAATGGTGGCAAAAATATTGTCAAATTGATGGGAAATTATCAAACATTTATAGGCTACCAGTGCTGGCATCATAAAAGTGTTCATAGCCGATAGATAGAACATTGAAAAATAAAATACCGATATTAGTCGGTCGAAAAAGTTGACAATTGACAGAGCCGTGGCTACTGATACTACAAATAGGGTCGACACTGAAAACAATGTCAAACAAATATAAATACCAATTTTACGTTCATATTGACCCCTAATTAGCATTTGATTTAGATATTGGTTGTGATCATCGATAAGGTTACTTAGGATAGGCCGTCCCCACAGTAATAGATACCAATAGACAAACAGTCCCTGGGAAACGTAGAAAATCCAACCCACTCTAAACACTGTAACCACTAAACCGGACGCTTTTGATGAGTGCTTAAAATTGTAGTCTGACTTATAGACCATAATCTCTAGTGTGTTGTACACATAGACGGCCACTAATGTCGATACCAATAGGTTCCATACTATTTCAATTAGCTTGGTTAATTTGATAAAATTTCTATTTTGTTTAATAGATGTGTTAATTTTGTTGCTATTATTATTATTATTGATTCCCCAATAGGTATTGCCAATTAGTTTGTTAAAAATTATCAAATAGTTTAAACCACATAAATTGTTGTTATTGTTTGTATGTTTCAACATTTCTAAAAAATTAATTTTGTATTCAATTAGTAATAATAATAATGTTAAATATCAATAAGTTATTAATAATAATTAATTTATGATATTATTTCTTATGCATTTCTTATGCATTGTAAAAAAAATCTCAAATTATAATAAGTGATTATTATTATTATATATTGTTTAGTTGATTAAAATAGTAAAACAATATACTAAATAATGTAGAAAAAAAACAGTATTAAGCAATATAATTATTTATGCTAAATGCTTACCAGTAGTATAACAATAACGATATGTAAATAATAATTTTTATGTGACAACAAATAAAATATTTATATTTTATAGATAATTTTTTGCATTTTATTTTCAATATACAGTATATCTCAGTATTATACTTTTTTTAATATTTAAATATTTACATGTAATTGTTTATGAATATATAATACAAATGGTAATAAATTGTCAAAATCTATTTACAAAATACTGTATAAATAATCGATTTATTTAGTCTTATAAATCATACTTTATATGACATTTACTTTACAGTATATTTCAAAAATAATAATTAAAAATGATTTATCAGTTTAATATTTTTTATTATTATTGATTAAAATAATCTTTTTAATAAAAATTATAATTTGTCGATATTTAGATTGCCAATTCTATTTACAGTAATTTAATATATTTATGAATATATTATAATTTTATGAATATATTTTAATTAAAAATATTATAAAAGTTAATTAATATTATATTATTAAATCTTTATTTATAAATATTTAATAATATTATAAATAATATTTTATTAATATAATAATTATTTTATTGAATATATAGAGTTTTTATGCATTTTAGAATTAATTAATAATAATTAAAAATATTCTGATAAGTTAATAATTTAAATTCTACTATAATATATTTAAAAATAAATATTATGTAATAATTAACGTTATTATCAACAATTTTTGTATTAATTAATTAATTTACAGTAAATACTTTGGCACATATGTATTAATAATTAATTATTAATATATACTGTATATATCTATTATATATAGAATATCAATAAAATTAATTTTACAGATAATTGTACTGTATATATAAAGGTATTTTATTGTACTATTATTTAATAAATTGATTTTTTTAAATCTAACATTTAATGTTTTAATGAATACAAATGTATAATAAACTTCACTTTAATTAATTTTATTGCAATTATTGTAGTTATTAGTATTGTAGATTAATTTGAAGTACCAATAATTATCTAAGTCTATAATTTTATTAATTGCATTAAGATTAAAATACAAAATAATTATTTAAAATTGTAAAGTATTACAGTAGATAATACTGTATAATTCAATTTTATTTATTTATTAAGAAAAAAATTGATAATATTTTTTATATATAAATTGAATTTTATTATAAGGTTATTTTCTAAAAATATTTATTTTATTTATTTACACTTTTTAGTATTAATAACTGTCAATTATATTTAAAAATAAAATATACTTAATTATATGCCAGTGTGATTCTTTATCCAATCTCTATATTGACCTACAGCTGTATACACAGTGGGATAGCCAGGTATAGCACAATGTTTGCCCCATGAGGTTAAACCAATTAACATATTATTAAATTTTAGTGGCGATCCAGAATCATGCTAAATATTATATTACATAAAATAAAAAAAAGTAAAAGAATATTCACCAAAAAACAAAATATTTAAAATACATATTATAATACATACATCGCACACATTATGACCTCCATGTCCACCGGCGCATACAGTTCTCACATCAATAGTATAATTTTGTCCGATTTCTTTGAAAAAATCTTGATAAACCTCAAGACATACATCCCGGTCCACAACAGGCATATCGACTGTTTGTAATGTTTGTGGAAATTCATGTTTAGTTATATTAATATTATACTCAGTGTAACCCCAGCCAACTGAAGTCACATTAACACCGGCCGGTTGATCATAGCCCTGGACAGGCAGTGCTATCTTATTGATATATTTATTATCCATGTCAAATTTGCCTTTAATTTCAATCAGGCCAATATCATTGACCAAATCGACCTTATAGTCAAAGTGTTCATGCCAAATGACCCTGGACACATTATTATAATCCCGGCCCTGTTTTGTGCGATCAGTTGTACCACAATGTAGTGATAAATATGGTGGCGTTAAACTATGAAAAATACAAAATTTAAATATAATTATTATTACTATTATTGCTAATAATACTAACAATGTATGTAAGTATTACTAACCCAACGATACAATGTGCTGCTGTGACGGCCCAACTGTCCCCTATAATAGATGCACCGCAATAATGATTGCCATTGATTCTCATTGAGCACATGTGTGGGTTATCTCCCGGTCGGGCATCGTGTCCACCAATTATACCAACTCTTTCGTCATCAAAATCTATGGATTTGCCAATCGATAGATGACTTACAATACAAATACAAAGTATAGTTAATAGTATTTCAATTGAATACATTTTTTTACACAATAATTGTTTATTTAATAATAATATTAGTAATAAATAAAACTAATTGTTTTTTATAATAAATATTTTTTTATTAATTATAGTTTTATATTTATTTATATACTGTTTTCATAGGTTATCTGCTAATCTGTTGTATCTATTGATAACTGTTTTTTAGTACATTGTGTGTAATGTTAACATTTTATTAATATAAAAATATATAGATTATTATAATTAATTTACTAATCAATTATATTGTTGTAATTAGTTCAATTAAGTATTATCAAGTTTATTTATTAGCAAATTACATACTTTTTATCAGTATGTAAAACATCTGTTGAATTTTACAGGTAATGTTTATTAGGCGCATCAATATAGTTTTAAAATAGATTTTATTATTTATAATTAGCATTTTATTTGAATTGTTTTAATCAGTTTAATTAAGTATTAAATTTATTTTTAGAAATTATTTTTAATTCATTTAAATCTTAAAAATTAGATAACATTAATTGTTTGACGAAATTAATACTTTATTTCAATTTAATTTATTTTAAACTATTTTTTTAATTAGTTTGATTATTTATTTATTTAACAATTTAAATATTGAATTATATTATTAATGATATATAATGCATTTGTAAAGTGCATTTTTATTGTTTTATATAATCACAATTTAGTTTCTTATTTACAATTTGTAATACTATAAGTATAATATAAATACTGTATTTTAACTTATATATGTAACATACCGGTATAATATGTTATAGATATATTAAATAAATGTTTTATAAAAAAGTTAGAAAGTTATAGCAAAATGTAACACATTTTAAAAATTGGTAAATTAAAAACATAAAAATTATACTTAAAGTAAATTTAATAAACTTAGTATAATTTTATTGTATTTAAAAATGATCTTATTAATTTTAATATTAGTCAAATTAAATTTTTAAAAATCTAACATTATTATTAAAAATGTATTTTATTTTCAATAAGTTTCGCTATTCATTTATATTAAATATATTTTATTTATTTGTATAATTAATGGTATCATCATTTGTTTTTAAGTCAATCATTTCTTCAAAATTATCCGACAATTGATCCGTTTTGGTTACCGAAATGACACCCCAGTGCTGGGGTTCAGCCGAAGCAAACAACAAGAAACCAATGGCACCCAACATATACAAACCAATTGTTATATAAAACACTAGATTCCAACGGTATAGATCACCCGGCTATAAAAGTATACATAATTTATATAATAACTATCATCTAATACAGTGTCTAATAATTAATTATACAGTACATAGTCTTCTAATACAACACCGACAATATATGGTGCGGCAAAACCGGGTACAACACCCAATGTGGCCGCTATGCCGAACAATGTAGCGGAATAGTCGGGTGCCATCTCGCCATAGATAACAAACTCGCCGCCAGTGAAAAGTCCGTACAGAAACAGTGCTATAATTAACAGTGCAATCACTGATTGCGAGTGACAACCGATTTGTGTGATAGCCAACAAACAAATGGCCGGTCCTACCAATGCCACCGATTCAAACAGTTTTCGGACATTTGTTTTTGATATGCGATTTTTGTATCGTTTGATGATTAGAGCAGATAAGGGACCTCCCAGTGCCATTGTAATACCGGTGGCCAGCGATATCATGGCGTTATACATACCGTTTTGCATTAACGACATACCAAATACCTGATCATAATTTTGTTAATTATTTTGTTATATAATTAATATTTTTTAACTAAATTACCTTGTCTAAATAAGCAGGAATCTTACACAAAAACAAATAGTATCCCCAAACAGCACACACCTTGGCATTGATGGCCGCCCACAGAGGACGGGATGTAAATATGTGTCTCCATGGAGCTGATGAACTCTATAATTAGTTTTTTTATGATAATTAAATTTATTAATAGATAATAAACTGTTTCAAACAAACTATTGGCATCGCGGATGACTTTTTATTTGTCATAATATATTTCAACTCCATTTCCGTGCATTTAATTAGACCTTTAGTATTGCTAATTAACGGTGTGTCCTCCACATAGATAAACCATAACACGATCCAAGGTATGTGTGCCGCACTCAGCACATAAAATACTGATGGCCAACCACCTGTCCACTCGTTATCGCACAGATAACCAGTTAACAGAAAAGCCAAAACGTTGCCAAAGTTGAATGCGGCGGCCAATGCGGCCACCGCTATCGGCAGTTCCGCTGTTGTGAACCAATGGGCAAACAACGAGAACAGGGATGTAAAGATACAGCCGTGAAACAAGCCTTTGATGAAAAGCAAAACAATAAACAGATTAACACTGTAATGAACAGTAACCGGCATAACTGCCAATAGTATGGTCGGCACTGTTATCGATGCCAATGTAACCCATTTTGAACCAAACTGTTCGGTAATCCGACCGGAAATGGTAGGTGTTATCAAATAGGAATAGTAGCTGGCACCTAATATTATGCCCTGGCAAGGTTAGATCATTTTCGTTGATGTTGTAAACTATATTTATTTTATTATTATTTATTTTTAATTTATGAAATACCTGAAATCGTTCATCCCAATCAAAGTCACCTCTAATAGTATTGGTTATCGCACTCGCACTGGTATTTAACATACCAGTGCTTATATCGACAACCTCATCAGCCCCACTATGTACACTGCAATCCCCTATTGGAATTCTATCACTATTAGATTGAGTTGCACTGTTATTGTATTTGGCCATGGCCACTACGGCTACACTTAGACTAGACCGGTGACTGGCAAATAGGGCAGTGGCCACTGAGCCCAATATTGCTATTAATAATCTCATTTAGAAATAATATTATATATATATATATATTATTTTTCTATAAAGTTATAAATAACTAAAAAAATACCTAAAATAAATATAACATCTAAGTTTATATAGATATTGAAATTTAAATGAATTCATTATCAAATTGTTAATATTTTTATACAATATAAAACATTTATACAGTAAATTACATTTATTTCAGTTACTGTACGGTATTATCAAAATATCAACTCAATATAAATAAATAAATAGCAAAATTATTATCAACTAATGTGAATTACATGTATACTCTAAAACATTTTAAAATTTATCAAATTAGTGTTAAAATGTATTTTATTTGACTAAAAAAATTATAAATACCATAATATAAGTGAAATTTATTAAATAATTTTACTAATATGCCAAATATTATTTTTATCAATAAATTTAAGTATACTACACAATAAACACATAAAATACATAAAAAAAACACAAACTATCATTATTTTTACAGTAGTATTATTATTAGTAGTAGTAGTATAGTAAAAAAATTAAAGTATCGTAGAGTGTGTATAAAAATTGTAAAATTAGTAGAAAAATTAAAAAAAAATATGAAAATGAAAAATATTACAGAGATTTTTTTTTTAAATAATAATAAAAGAGTTAATATAAATGTAAAATACAGTAAAAATTTGTTTAATTAAAAAAATTGTAAAATATGAACCAAAAAAAATCATAAATCTTAATTATATATAAATCAATAGTATTATAGGCGACGTTTGCAAACATCCATACCGTTGAGGTCGGGACCGATAAACTCGACACATGCCGTACGACATCGTCGGGACAAAACGGCTGTCTTACTGTTGCCGCCGGCCATATAGCCGCACAGGTAGAGACTATTTGGCTCACAATCGCCTACCAGTTCATCCTTACGACTGCCGCAAAACAAGTGTTCGCTTTTGTACTCTTTGATGCACCGACACTGGCCACGGCCAGTATCCATACCTTGACTTGTAGAGCCGCCACCGATAATCGGTCTCGACGGTGGTCGCTCGGGTAGTAGCTCGACTACTGGTTTGACTATAGCACCGGGTGTATTGCAGTCACAATAACAGGTCTCATCGCGGACACCATTGACCACTACAAGTGTTGAGATTAGACATAATATTATATAGTAATTCATAATTTTTTGTTACTTTATTATGATAATCACAAATTATAGATTTACAAATAAAAATTAAGTACTGTATTAAAACTAATAATAAAAATAAAAATAATTTTGAGGTTTATATATATTTGAAATATATAAAAATTTATGGGTCATCATTGTTTTTTTATGATCAATTAATACATATTGTACAATATTTAATCTATATTTTATTATTATAATAAATTTAAAAAACTATTTTTTATTTTTGTAAATTGGGATATCCTTTTGACTTAAAAATTTTTTTAAAAATAAATTAGTACCCTTTAATACTGTACATGTTAGTTATTATGCTATTATTAATATGATATTTACATTTTAATAATTTTACACATTTTAGTCAATGTCTGATAATAAATTTAATATTTGTTACAATAATAAAATAGTTTAAATATATATTAGTTGTGAAATATTTATCTTTTTTGTTGGTTTATTTTATAATCCTTTAATATTATACCAATAAATTTTTATAATAGTACTGTATATTTCTCTATTTTCAAGTTTATATCCTAAATACTTTATTATTATTAAATGCTATGTTTTAATATTTTAATATTTTTATGAATTTATTACTACAGTATATTATTAACTATTAAACTATATATTTGTAATAACTTTATATAACAATAATCATTTGCAACGCAAAATAGTTTAGTTAAAAAATAATTATTTGAATTAAAAACTATAATATAATAATATCTATTTATAAGTTATACTATTACCAAATAATGCGTTTTTTAAAACTAACACATCATTAAAACACATCACTAACTAATTATTTTTAATTTATAAGGAAATTTGTAGACATAATATTATCGTATATTATTACAAAAATAATAATTGTTAAATACAACAAAAAATAACCACATTTAATAAATGCAATTTCAAAATTTATTAGTCATCACTTAATTATTGACAATTAATCTATTTTTTGGCTTAAAATGCAAAAAAATTACCGTAATTTCAATAACAATAAAACATAAAACGTAATATTCAATTATTTTTTGACATTATAATTAAAAAAAAAATAATTATCATATTTTATATGATTAAGAAAAACAATTATTTAAATATATATATATACAGTATATATAAAATATTAATACTATAATTAATTGATTTATAACAAATAGGTTATCTTATATTATTTACAATAACATTAGTTGATTAATTTTTTCAGATATAAAAATAATGTTATTATATTAAAATATTATTATTAGCATATTTAATAAATTATTTTTTTTTAAAAATAATTTTCATTTAATCATTTATTAATAAAATTTAACAACAACTAACTCTCAATTAGTTAATTTAATAATAATAATAACAATTTACGTTATATGGTTTGAGTGTGAGATATGGAGAACAATGCAAAACAAAAATAATAAAAACATATATTTTTTAATAATAATTAATATACAGAATATATAAATATAACTATAGTTACGATAATCTTAATCTACTTTCTGATCTACTTTAAGATACTGATCCAACTCATCCAGTGGCAGATCAGGTAGATCAGCAAAATCGTCACCAAGTAAGTCATGCGGTAACGGTGTAGGCGTAGACGGCACAGCAGCAGCTGCTGGTGTAACAAAGTTTGGTCGCTGATCACCATCATTACCGTCGATATCAGTATCGATAAGATTTTGATAACAATCGGCACCTTTAGTGTCGGTACACTTGAGAAACTGTTCTATACCTTGGATGAAATTGTCGTTAATGGCCTGATTGTATACTTCTTCGGCCTGAGGCAGCTCATTGGCTAAATTCGGATCGTTAATGTCATCGCAGGTCTCATCTAACTCAGAGTCACTAGTATTAAGTATATCGCCGACACCGTTGACCGCTTGGTCGAGATGTTTGGGTAGCGATTGATTGTCGTCGAGTCGGCTACACATCTGATAGAAGGCTAGTGTCAGCTCATCTACTTCGCACTCATTGACACAATTGCAGTGTCTATAGAGTAGTTCGTTGGCCAAAAAGTCTTCGCCTAAATAACGAAAGACTTCGTCGTCGTTGAATCGCTTTCGCTGTGGTTTATGTTTCTTGTAATTATGATTTGACTTAAGCTTTGGTCTTTTGCTGACACTATTCGTACTATTATTTCCATTGACTTTGTTTCCGTTGACAAAGCTTATGAACTGATGGTTAAAATTGTTGTGGCCATCAATTGGTTGTCGATTGTTGTTATTGATACTTACAGGTTGTAATTGCTTAAGAGGTTTGATAGCCGTCTTTTTGTTGTTGAACGAAGACTTGTTTGCCATCAGCGCTGACTTAAGCATTGATTTCTTGTTTGTCTTGTTATTGATGAGATCGTCGTCGTCGTCGTCGATGTTGTTCTTTGGTGGCGACGACAACAGTGTCGGATCGGGTTTATGTCGTTTGCTATTGCGGTTGGTCTTCAGTTTGGATCTCTTGTTGTTTTTACTCACAGGAATGTCGTCGTCAATGTCTAAATAGTCGGTCGCCGCCGACGTTAATGCCGTCTTCTTCGTCGGCGTCTTCTTCTTCTTCGATGACTTTTTTGTCGGCGACGATGACAACAATTTCTTGGAAACCTTGAGATTCATGAGCTTCTTGTCGGGTCTTATGTTGTAGTCGTGGACCAGATGTTCATATCGGATGCCGTAATTGACTAATGTGTCCATCAGTGACAGTCGGGGCACTGCAACCGTACAGTCCATGTCCACTATCGTCAGCTCTTCCAATGACATCAAGTCGTCACTTATGGTGTCGATGTTGTTGTTATTGTTGGCCATTGTGTGGAACCGACGACAACAACAACAACACAATTATAATGTTATTAATGTTATAATAATTATTATTATTATTTAATTAAATTTATTAAAAATAATTGTTTTTATTTCATTTACAATATTATTATTATTATTATTATTACTTGAATTAAAAATATATATATTTTTAAAAAACTTGTTATTCATATTGCAATGCATTTGGAAAGTGTGTATTAATATATGTTTTGTGTGTATCAATAAATATCGTTAACTGTACTAAACTTCAAACATTGTACCACAAGTTTACAGATTATTGTACAGTAAATGCAATATAATATTCGAGTTTAAAAAAAAACTAATATCGAAATGTTTGAAAATAATAATTATTATTATTTCGATTTAATTCTATCAACAAATTACAGTATTTATGCAAACTTGATAGACAAACATTAAATAATAATTATATTAAATTTTTTATTTTTTTACTAGAATTTTATACCGGTATATATTTTATATTATTGTTAAATACTTTAGATAAAATCTATTTTATTTGAAAAATGTTAATAAATTTTAGTATTGTATATATAATATATTATATACAGAAAGAGAGGGGGCGTATATTTGGTAACTTTATATATGAACAAAACACTGTACTGTATATAATAGTATTGTCAATACTGTACTGTATTTGATGCTCACATAGTATAGTGCGTCGAATCCGACTCTCAGTTAAAATTAATATCAATACTTATATACTGTACTTAAAAGTAGTTATAATAATAATAATACCTTTACTTTTGGTATTGCCTTTAATAAACATACAGTTAATACAGTAATACTCCGTATATACAGCAGTGTATACACACAGTGTGTATATATATATAATATAAAAGAGCAAATTAAGTGACAATTGATTGTATTGTATATACATTTGTGTTATTTATTATTATTATTAATATTATAAATAATAGTAATGTATAAGTGTTCAGATTGTTAATCGGTGTCTGTCCGTCATCCCACGTATACCGGAGCCGTGCCATCCATCCCGGATCCACACAAACACATAGACACATACATATATATATATATATAAAGGACACACACGTGCGTATGTCGTCGCCCGAGTGCGACCACCACACGACGATGCCTACCGTAAACAATACGGTGATGTTGGACACGGCCGCCACCACCACCACTACTGCTAGCCCAGTGCCCAGCGTTATGAGTGACACTGAAGTGTCGCCGCCGTCGACCCCGACTCTACTGTGCAACGGCTGTAATGGTCAACACCATTCGCCGACGTCGATAACAATGACAACCATTCGCCAAGCGGTGTCCCATTTGACCCGTTTGGACGACTTTAATGCCATCAAACTGTCCCAAGGCTTCTTCAGCCAAGTGTTTAAAGTGACGCACAGGACTACCAGGAAAGTCATGGTACTCAAGATGAACAAACAGGCAGCCAATCGAGGTATGTGTCTGTCTGTCAATCAATTGTGGTCACACTAGTTGGCCATTGTTTATATATCAATACCGTATTACTATATAATTGTGATCACAATAATCATAATTAGTGAGAGTGTTATTTTGGGGATATTAATGGTTAAATTGATTTTGATTTTTTTTAAACATGACTTTAATCATGTTTTTAAATTATCGCTACTATTAGTGTGTTTTATACGGTATCTATACGTGATTATATCATATGGTTATCGATAATATCATTGATATCACATATTTATCATTAGAAAAATTATAGTTCAAGAAAATTTAGTTTATTAAATATATTATATGATTATAGACAACACACACCAAATGCGCTAATTATAGACATATTTACTTAATATTTGTGTTTATATTTGGTTTTCGTTGTGACAATTGGTATGACATTTATATTACTTACCAGAAAAAAATAAATATAATAATAAATTTATGATAATATTAATAATAGTAATGTTTGCTATATTATTTGTAGCATAAAAATTGGGTTAATATTTAATTTAATAATTATGATAAGTTTGTTGAACACTGACTACATTTAAGGGTGAGATATACGGTATATTTATAAGTGATGTTACGGTATATTGAAATTGAAATAAATGTTTTGTAATAATGACCTTAATTTGCATTTTAAAACATTTGACTAAAATTGAATGTTTTAGTTATATATATATTTAAATTTATTTTCTTTTTTGAAGGTTTATTGCTTTCATTTAAATAATAATTAACAAGTTTATTAGTTGACGACAATTTTTTATTTTTAAAAATAATATATAAATATATTTGATGCATGGATAATTTATCAATTAATATGATTTTTATAATATATTTTATTTTTTGAATTGAATTTGGCATAAATGTTTATTTATTTTTTATTTGATTAAATTAGTTGTATTTGACTTTTATGAGTTTAAAATTTTTGCTTTAATTTTTTAGTAAAATAAATATAATTTAGTAAAAATAAAAATAACTAATAAAAGTTCAAATTATCTGTTCATACAATTTATAATTGAATGCACTTTAGTTGTTGTTATCTCTTTTAAACTTTTTCAGTCGATTTAAATGTCAATACATTTTATTTTTATCAACATTTGATAATAGTTTTATTATTAATAATCTATTGGTTAACAATCAATTTAGAGTAATTTTTTAAATAAATTATTATCATATGATTTATTACTATTGTTTTTTATTTATTTATTTAGCATTTAACTAAACAGTATAACTTAGTAATGTTATTTTAGTTTATCATTATTATTTTTATTATTAACTTGCAATGAATTTGTTATAATGAAATTTTATATTATTATTATTTTTTACAGGTAGTTTATACATACATTTTATTTAATTAAAATTTTTTGGTTAAATAATAGCATCGTGTTTAACAACATGATATGGCTAATAATAATAATATTTTGTTGTTTATATTAATTTGTATCGATATAAAAATTTATTTAGATAAATAGCCAAATAATTTTTTGATATTATTTGTGATAAAATATATTGTGAAGCAAAATAAAAAACACTTTAATTGAAATAAAAATTTCAATTTCGATATTTTGTTGTTTTTTGTTTGTTTCAGCAATATATAGGTATATATTATTAATATTATAGATTGTCTGGTATTTTTTAATATATTACATATTTTTCAAGCATTCATTCAAATGAATAATTTATCGATTTTTCTAACAAAAAAAATAATATGATTTTTGAAAGGTTTAGAAACAAGTGGTTTGTGAAATGATTTAATAATAATAATATTATTATTAGTTTTTTTTTTTGAAGAGAAAAGCAATTTTTCGACACAAATATAAATGATTGCTTTAACATTAATATATTATATGCAATCATATTTTATGACAAAATAGCGAAAAAATAGCAATATTAAAAGGAAAATTGGTTAAAATTATTAACTTTATTATGTGTACAAAAGTATTAGTTATTATTATTATTATTACATAAGTTTTAAATATAATAATAAATATTTGCAGAAAATAACCCAAAGTCACGAAATGGTAATGAATGTCAACATAAGATAGAAAAAAAAGTTTGAAATATTATAGTTATTATATATAGATGTCTTCACACAATTGGCAAAATTGAATTTTTTCTCTCTCATTATCATTATTATTATTATTTCAATGGTGTGTTTTATAATGCATATAATTATTATTTTAAATTTTTTTGTTTGTTTGTTTTAAAAAAAATTCAATTGCAATAAATATTGCAAAAAAGTATTTGTTTTTTATTCTAACGTCAAATGATATTGATATTATCAGCCAATTATTTTGTATTACTATAGTATTATTTGACGGGTTTTATAATATAGATTATTATCATTAGTTATATTTTTTATATTATTTAAAAAAATATTTTTGGGAATAAAATTGATATTTTTTTATTATTAAATTTCTCTTTCAAATAGTAAGTATATAATAATGAATTAACTTAATGACAAGGTTTTTAATGTTGTGTTAATTGTTATGAAATAATATCAATAGTATTACTAACATTTTATAATCCTTTTTTTTACTAACACAAAAAAATATTTGTATAAATGAATTAATGAAAATTAACATAAAATAATTGGAGATTTAAAAAGCAAACATAAAGTAAAATTGTAATACAAATATATTTAATTTTTTTGAGAAATTTTCTAATGCCATCGATTAGTTAACAATAAACGGTTTGTATATACAGGTAGATATCTGTAAATATATAATCCCAACACAATATTGTAATCTTGTGTGTCAGGGTCGGGCTCATGTATGTAGATAATACAAATTGTGACAATATAACAAAAAATAAGTATTATTTTGTTAGTCTAAGTTAAATGCTTTAACATATTTATATAATTTCATTTGCCAGGTATTTATTACATGTATGTAATTTTGTATATACAGTACATACTGCACTATGTATTATAAATAAAAATGTATTATATATTTTAAATCTATGAATATATAGGTATGCGTGTATTTATAATACAGTATATACTGTATGTATATAATATAAAATATATAATATATATGCAATGTGTGCAATGAGTACATACTTAATAGATATAATAAAAATATTAGGGTTTTTAACCACATTTACGTAATCAAACCACAATGACGTTAATTAGTTGGTAATAATAATAATAATGTTTTATTTATTTATTTAAAAATATTAATAAATTATTATCATCATAACCAAGTGGTTAATATTATTATTATTGATAATTTATTAATGTAAATGTACTACTGTATTTAATGATTTTTAAATTTTGATAATAGTTATTTTTTATACATAATATAATAAATCTATATTGCTAGTATTTAATATATATAATAAATAAATTTCATAAATCATAAAGTACAATTAATTTGCACTAATATTTATACTAAGTTGTATAAACGTTTTATTACATTTTTAAAATTATAGTTTTAATTATTACAGTATATTTAATATTTAGTTAACTATGCTTAGCTATGAAAATATTTTCTAGATTTTGTGACAATATAATTAATATTATTTTTAATTCACACAACTTTAATACTATAATATTTCTAGTAATTGATTAGTATATATATATCTGATAGTATAATCGTAATAGTGATGAACTTATTTTTATTAAATGCCAATAATTATATTAGACATTTGGCTAACATGTGATAATTTTCAAATAACTTGATTGCTATGATTTTTTGGTATGAAGTTTAGATTTTTTTGATAGTTTTTTTATATTACTATTCAAGTGATTAGTTGGCATTTTTTATTTATTTATTTATTAAAATATTACTTATTTATTAAGTAAAAGTGTGATATCATTGAATATTTATTTATTATTTAATTATTTCATTGCATGAATTTGCTGTTTATTTTTTATTTATTTATACAATAACACCAATTGATAAGACAAATAAGTGAAATATTTAACATTTTTTATTATTATTCGCTGATTGCTGTGATATATAGGCTTATGATATTTCTGAAAGCTATGAAATTTTATTATTATTATTTTTTTTTTATTAAATACATTAACAAAAAAATGTTTTTAATTATGATTATTACGATAATATTGCTATTTATTAGTATGCAAAACAAATTATAATAGTTATTAGCCTATTTAGGAAAAATATTTTCCATTTAGTTTATTAAAGTAAATTATTTTAAATAGTGTTTTAAATATCAGTATAAGCACACACATACACACACACACACACACACCTGCACATAAAATATTTGTTGAGTAAATTATACAGAAAATAATAATAAAAAAATATGTTATATTTTTTGACGAAAAAAAATTTAATAATAAAAAATAATTTTAGGAGTACTTGACAATTATAAAATATATTTAATGTAAGTGAAAAAATAATAATAAAAGCAAAAATTTATTTTAACATTAATGAAATATAACAATACATTTAAGGTTATATTAAGACCATTACATATTTGCAGACATATCAGCGCATAATTAGTAATTATTACATAACATTCAAAATAAAATGTTTCTCATCTCATAATGTTTACATATTATAAAAATATATATAATGTTTTTATGCAATTATGTGTTTAGAAACACACAAAAAAACAAATTGAAATATTTGTTTCATTAGGTAACTCATGAGTGAATAATGTGAGACTTATAACACTGTATATATTAAAATTAAACTTTTATATAAATTATAATAAGTGTAAATATATTATTAATATTTTGTTTTGATAACTTTATGTTTTGTTTCAATTTATTATATAATATAATAATAAGTTTAACTCATTACAATTGTATATATTAACTGTATAAATAACAAATAAATTTTAATAATATATGCATATAATGAGTAAATTTTTTGTTTCTACACTGATTTTAATCATATAATAAACAGGCATTACTATTGTTATTGTCGTATATTTGGTTAATATAAATAAACAAACTTATGGATATATTTTCACCAAATAATAAGTTATATATGTATATATAAATCCTAATATTTATTTATTTATCTATACTAGTGATCTAAGCGTGAGATAAAACGCCTGATTTTTTTGTTTTTTTTATTTATTTGCTTTATGTTAATATATATTTATAAATAAAATACAGTACTATATATATATAATTTTATTTGTATTTCTCGGTATTAATTATAAAATAACTTTTATTTTTCTTAATATTATTATCAAGTAATATATTACATATTTGAATTTGATATAGATTTATGTAATTATTTTAGTGATTAGGAAAAATATACCAAACATTTATAGGGTATATTTTAATAACATAGTATCTATATAGTATCTAAATATATAAACACAATATAAAGATAAAATTTATATTAATTACAGTTATAATTCATTTTTGGTGTTTATATTTAATTTGAATAAATATTTTAATTAGAAAAATATTTTTTATGTAACATTTTGTTGCTTTTAATTAATATATCAATAGTTGTTTTTTTCACTGTGTTTTAATTAATTATCGGCAAATGTGAATATACATAATCTATTAATATACTGTATATATATTATATTTATTTAATATATATATAGATTTTACAAATAAAATGAATGTTTAATTATATAGTGTTGTTGTTGATGATGTTATTTTTTGTGACTATGATTATTATAATTAGACAAAAATCAAGCACATTATCTAAGATAAATTACATAATTAAGTCGATTAAAATTAATAAACAATTTTTTTAGCTTAAAATGTCTATATTTAATGCTCTTATAATTATTGATTATTAATATATTTAATTAAAATTAACAAATAAAAAATTATTAACTTTGTTTTTTTCTTCTTTATTTTGTTTTTCTATGAAAAATATAGGAAATGCCTTAAAAGAGATTGAATTATTAAACAAATTAAATCACGAAAATATCGTACAATTTATGGGTACTGTCGTTCATGAAGGTATGTACAATCTATTTATATATTATTAATATAAGTATTATTACTAATCTAACTGTCCGCACATATATATACCATATATATAAATGTCTTATTTGATATCATTATGAATTTGCATTTAAACAGTTGATTCATTTGTGTATATATATATTATAATATATGAAAATAAGTTTGAAAAATATCAAAAAACAAATGTCTCCAAAATAAAAATATTTTTTATCATAAATGTTTTTTTAAGTTTATTTTCACAGACACTGTGTGTCTGAAAAAGTTATTATAATTTGTTTTCAGGAAATATTTGTTATTATTATTATTTAGTTTTGTGAGAAATTTTTATATGATATTAAGAAAAAATATAATTAAAAAGTTAATAATAAAATATTTTTATAAATAAAACACATGTGTTTGAGGTTTGTTGACTAACTGTCTGAGTAGTGACAGGTCTACAAACTCCCGGTGTTCACATACCTGTCCATCTGATAGACACTATTTTTTGTGTGTATAATATTTTTGTCAATAATAAGTTGTTAGTTTAAAAATAATAATAAAACAGTTTACTTAAATAACATTATAAGGATCTGTGTCTAATAATAATTATAATAATAGTTATTATTTTATTACGATATATTGTAAATGTTATTTTATACAGTATATACTGTATATATTTTAAAATGCAAATTAAATCAGTACTGTATAAAACACAATATTATACATACACACACTTACAGTATACAGTACTTAATGTATATAAGGTGCACATGTAGTTAGATTTAGAGCGCCGGTAGTTAAAATATGTTTTAGGAGGCCCTCAGAGAATTTATAAATAATAAATAATAATAGCGCAATAATAATAATAATAAAACTCATAAATAATAATAAATATTCATTGAGCTTATTGTTATTTAATATATTATTTATATATAATATATATTTATTTAGTGTCAGAAAATAGTGGTAAAACTATAAATATATATTTTTAACTGTTGTGTTTAGCTATTAAGTATTGGATTTAGTTTTTTATTTCATATTTTACACGTTTTCTAATGAATTATTTTATTATATAATAATTATTCAGTTTGTTAAACACAATGTATTTAATATTTGTTTATGTCATTGAAAACACAAAAAACACCAATAAATCAATAGGAGGTTTGCACCCATTGCTTGAGTACATCAATGGAGGCACTCTGGAGAAGCTGATCCGCCAATACTATAAGATTGATACCTATTTTGATGAAAACAAAAAACTGATAACAAGGACACCGCAGACAAACGGCACAACAATTGACAACAATATAAATAATACGATAAACTATTACAACAATAACAATAATAATAATCACAATAACAACTATACCTACTGTCCGCAACTGTATCGGCTCAACGATGTTGACCAGACATTTGTCCGAATAGCCGAGGATGTGGCCCGCGGTATGGACTACTTACACTCGTTGCACTATCTGCACCGGGATCTGACCTCTAAAAACGTATTCATACGGGTATCGCCGCCAATTACCGACGATACAGACGAGTACGACGCCGAACCCTATTTGCAAGCAGTTATCGGTGACTTCGGTTTTGCCACAGTAGACCCCCATAAGGACCAGAAGCTGCCAACTGTTGGGTCGCCCTATTGGTTGGCACCCGAGTGTATTAAAGGCCAATGGTATGTCCTAATTTTGATTTTTACTTTTTTTAATATATATTTTATATATATATTTTTACAATATTTGTGCTTTTAAGTAGTGACATAATATTGATGTGTGATTTCACATAAAAATGTTTAATTTATTTTTTATTACTATATGATTACTATTGTTATTTATTTTTAAAGTGAAGTTTGTTTTTTTAGTATTGCAAAAAAAAGTTATTCAAACCATTTTTTCTAGCGTTTAGTTATTATACAGAACTTGACTTGTATTTTTTGGGTGCAATAAAAATATTTATGTATTTTTTCACAGTTATTATTATTATATTATTGTATAATAAATAAGTAGTGGTTTTTTTTGTTACTTAAATCGCTCGCGAAAGTTATGGTTTTATTTTGTTTTATAATGAGGTTTATAGATATTTATTTCTATATTGAGGTTTAGTTTTTTATTTAATTTTAAAGTAATATCACGAAATATATTTTTAATACAATAATTTTTGATTTTGTTTTTTAGCTTATTTTTATGCTTTACTTTGTGATTATTATGATTATTGTGAATAATAATAACAACAATATTATGTTTTATTGAGATTATTATTGGATTATATTATATTATTATTTATTTATAAACTGATATTATATAACTTATGCATATATATATATATATATATTCGCCCAAAAATTTATATACTATAATAAGTTTGAATTTTTTATTATTATTATGAATAATAATGAATTTTAAATTTTTGTTTGAAAAATAATTTTTGGTGGAAAAATATATCACGAATTTTTAGGCCTTTATTTTTTCTCTTATAATTTATTCATTGCCTAAAGTCTTGGCTGAAAATAAGGTCTCAATATATATATATTTTTGATTTTGTTTTTACAGTATTTTTAAGTGTTTGCACAAAAGTTTGAATAATATTAATGCAATATATATTTATATTTAGGAAATCCTAGATTTTAAATATTTATTAAAAAATATTTTTTTTTTAAATCTAAGTGTGTTTTGTAATATGTATTTAATAATTAAAAAATGTATTTATATATATATTTATCTAAATGTAATTTAACGATTTAGGATGAATTGGTAGATTATTTATGAAAATTGTATTTCAAAAAATACAGTACAGGTATATAACAAATACATTATTTGCATAATATTTTTGTTGATTTTGCAATTTATTTCTGTAAAATTAACAACAAAAATAAACATTTTTCACTTTTTATTTGATAGAGATTTACAGTATAGGAAAAACTTTTTTATTTTATTTGTATTGTTTTGTCACTTAATATATTAGTTAATATGTAATTTACTTTCTAATTATATTTTTTGTTTTTGTTAATATAATATTGTTAGCATAATATAATTATTTAAATGGGTTTTATTTATATTTTAATTGTATTTAGTTAGTTAGTAAAACTATTATTTAATATTAACTTTAATATCTATGGATTATATGTTTGTTTAAAGTGTATGTTATATTATTTTTTGTATTGTTTTGTATCTGTTTTTTAAATAACAACTTATTATAAAGTATTTTGATATTAAAACAAATTTTTTAAAAAGTATTTTATTTTTAGCCACTAGAAAACAAAGTAAATAGATTTTGATAATTACTTAAATAATATTAATTTAAACATAATTTTTATAAAATTAAATTGCTTTTACTAACAATGTGTTGGCGTAAATGGAGAGGAGAGGGGGTTAATACTATAGGGGGAAAGCGTCTTTTAAGCATTTTATAAAATGCTAAAAATGTTATTTGATAAATATTTACCACCAGATTAAATCACCATATTATATATACTGTATATTTTATGCAATAACACATACTGTAAAAATTATTGCCAGCTATTTTTTTCTATATATTTATTTTGTTTACCACAAAATGGTAAAAATGTGTGCAATAATCATATAATCAAATAACACACACACACGCATACATACATACATTTTGTCTAACAATTTACATAACCCTAACCTAACAATAATAATAATATAAAATGTAACAAACATTTTTAACTCACACCTGTGACAAAAATAACACATACATACTCATTGGTTTTACCGGTGCTTGTATTTGTTTGTGACATTGGCTACCCACCCGATCCTCTCAAATATTTCACTCTACCTATATACTGTATATATAGTAATATATATTCAATATATATTATTCATCAGGGCAAACCTACACACCAATAGATATTGCTGTCAAATATAATGACTGTGTGTATAATGAAATGTATTTATATATAGAAAACATATATTGGTATTTGGAAATTTTCCACTAAATTTTTTTGACGAGAAATTTGTTAACAAAAAAATAAATAAAAGTCTACTAAAAGAACTTTTCATTTTAATTTCAAGGAAACTAATTTTGTTTTAAACAACTCTCTCTATCTATCTCTCTCTCTCTCTTTCCCAAAATAAGTGAACAATTTTTTTATTGTCAAATTCAGTGATTAATATCTCTCTTCTCATCTATTCCTGTCCTCTCTCTCTCTCTCTCTCTCTCTCTCTCTCTCTCTCTCTCTCTCCATACTATTGACTATATGGCTGTAATCCAAATGCAAAAAACAAGACAACCCATTACATTGGCAGTGTGTATGTCTCACTCTCACAATAGTTTATTTTTGTTTGTATGAGAGTTAGAGACCAGTCAACCTGACGGTTCTTTGCTATGATCAGTGAGATAGTCATATACATGTAGATAACACACCCTTTTTAAAGCTACTTCTGGTACTAACTTGTCTATTAACTAATCACTCGATGCGTTATATAATTTATGGCATTTATAACCATTTTAAAAATAGTAGTTTAATATTTTTTGAAAAATATTGAATAAATAAGCATATATGCACTAATTAGCTATAATTTTGTGTCTAGGTTATATAATATATATATTAGGTATTTTTTTTATTATATTTTTGTAACAGTTTTTAACGATTCATAAATTTAATTATATTTTTATATTGTAAATTTAAATACTACAAAAAAATAATATTTATCTGATTTTAAATTGGTTGATAATTTGTTTTTTCATGAATGAAATATCAATGACTTTTAAAATAATAACAATATATAAAAACAGTACAGTAGTTATGAATTTTTCAAAAAAAAAACAATTACATACATTTATGGAGTTATGTAATAATTGTAATTTGAACATAAAATTAGCCGTAATTTGAGTGAAATTATTATTATTAAATGTGTTTGTAATACAAATATTTTTATACAGTAAATAATAGCAAAAAACATGTTTACTATTTATTTGTTAGTATTATTATTATTAAATAATAGTTCTCTTATTATAAAAAACACGGTTTTATTATTTAATGTTTTTTGTTTGTTTTGCTTTCAATTTTATAACTGAATTAAATACCCAAATATAGATCAAAAAATAATTTTACATTTTTATGTTATAATATAAGTTTATACTTTATATATGTTGTCTCCTCAACAATGAGTTCAAAACAGTTGTTTTAAATTAATTACCGCTTTTTTATTATAATTATTGTAAAAAGTCTTATTTTGTTCTTAGTTTTGTTATATAAAAAATTAAATATATAATTTTATTTTGTTTGCACACTAGTAGTAGAAATGTTTTATTTTGTTTTGTTTATTATATATGTACAATAAAATCAGACAACAAAATGTTAGACAAAAATTTGTATAATAATTACGAAAACTGTTTTGAACTCCAAAGTTGTTTGTTTTTGTTTTCATTATAATTTTATAAAAGAGTTCATCATTTTTTGATAAAACGGAAAAAAGTTTTTAAATATATATATATATATATATATATATATATATATAATATTTATAAATATGTCTTATAAATTGAAACGATTATTATTTTTTGACAATTAATTATTAACTAAATTAGGAATATGTTTTAGTTAGTTTGTTAGTTAGTCAATGATATCATTTTGATATGTGTGTCTGTGTCTGACACTTGTATCTAATCATTGTTTTTGTTTTTTTTTATAAATTTTTTGTTTTTTTAAAAATCTAAACTTATTTGACTCCAATTTATTTAATAAATGTGCATTTAATTAAAAACTTTGTAAAAGTATTTAACATTTTGTAGATTTAAGAGCAAAAAATTACATCATATTTTTCCAAAACACCTGATTAATAGTGATATTTAAATTTTATTTTTTTGTTATTTATTTTATTCATATATTTATTTTTACATTATTTAAGTTATTTAATTGAAAATGAATTTACGTTATGAATAAAATGTCACATTAATTAGCATTTTTCCTATTAAACTAAAAAAATAATTTTTTAAAAAATATTAACTTAAATACTAATTAATTGTTTAGAGAGATTAAAATAATTTTTTAAAACTGTGTATATTTTATAATTTCTAGTGCATTGTGTGATTAATGTTAATATATATTTTTTATTCAGAAATATTTATAATCCCTAAATAAATCTTATTATAATTAGTATTATCTATTGATTTTTTGTTACATAATCTCTTAGGCATATCGATTACATTTGATTGTTATCTTGTAATAAATCTCATCTACAGTATAATAGTAATAATATTAAGCGCAAAATGATATACATAAGCATTAGTAATACTATACAATATATATATATTTAATTTTATAATATTTTAATTAATCAATTTCGGGAGGAAATGATCTTTATATTAGTTAAGTTAAAAAGATATTAGTTATTGTATAAAGTTATTAATAAAAATTATTTTGAAAATTTTGTTTCAATAAATTAACTTATTGTTTATCTATTATATTTGCAAAAATATAGTTAATATTAATTATTATAAATGTAGTGGCAATTTGTCACTTATGAATCGTTATGATAGCGGTTTTTTGTTGTTGATATTTTTATTATAATAATAATAATTTTTTTATACTAATTTTATTTACTATAAATACATTGATCAGGATATGTAATATATATATATATAAGTTATTGAAAATATTATTTATCAAAAACCTCTTTAATTATATGTTATATTTAGAATTCAATTAATTTGTATTATTATTAGAGATTTAGATTAAATTTTATTAATTTTGATATTATTATTGTTTTATTATTAATTGTATTATTATTATTATTTATTAGATTATTTATATTTAACTATAACATAATTAAATAGTTTATATATTTATAGAGTTAGATATAAAATATATTATTTTTATTATTTGAACAAATTAATTATTTATAACTATAATAATTTTTGCAACAATTTATAATTTATTTATTTTTTCATTTATCTTATCATGGGTATTTTAATTTATATACAACTATTATTAATATATATAATATGACATTTAACTGTTTTTTATTACCGTATATTTAAAGTGTTTATCTTAAAGTTTATTACCGGTGGTTAAAATGATTAATATAATTAAGGGCTTATTTCTAATGTTAAATTGATACGAAAATAATAGCCTTAATGTATCAATTATATATTTATATTTTATTATATATGTGTATATGATATCAGTGATGATGAGTGCAATTAAATATATTTATCATTTGGTTCAATAATAAAAATTTTGTACTGAAAGGCATAATAATAAATTTAATACATAAATATAATAAATTAAATTATTGTTTCGGCTCTCTGTGTGTATAGCAATGCATAGCAAAGCAAAATAAAATATTTGATAACAAATGACATAAAAAACATTTAATATTAATGCCAAACACACACTGAGTTTATATTATTTAATATTATTATCATAAAGAGAAAACCTATATATATTTTTTAGTGATAAACTTATTATTTGTATATTAATATATATTTTTGTTTTTATGAATCATTTCATTGTACTCCCATTTTTGGCTTTTAGCGAAAAAATTCAGTACAAAATATAAATTATAATTTAGATCTAAATTCAGATATAAATTAGTTGTTTGTGTTCAAGGATTTTGAATTTTATAAATAATAAAATAGTAATATATTTATGAATTAAAAAATGAGAATTTATAATAATTTTTCAGCAGTAGTTTTATTATTATTATTATTACTGTATAATAATTTATTATTAATTATGGCATTTTTCAATGCATTTTTATTAGAAATAATTAGTTTACTGATAGAAAATAATAATTGGTAATTATTATAATAATTAAAATATTGTTATAAAATTGAAATTTTTAATTAGAAAAACAAGCATTTTAGTTGGCACACATAAAAAAAATATTGTATTGATTTTATAATTTTTAAATCGAAATAAAAACAAAATGATTGATTGATATTATGTCTTATTAATAAATATTTTATTTGTAACACATTTTTATTATAAATAGGTATAACCATAAATGTGATATATTTTCCTACGGTGTCATATGCTGTGAACTTAATTGGCGGATACCATCCGATCCCGACTACCTGTGCCGGGACGACAGCTTTTTGATTAACTTTGACAAACTGCCCGACGGTTCTAAAGAGACACTGTTGGCCCGTTTGGCGAGACTAACAACTCAGGTATTATATAAATATATTATATTAGAAATTAAAAGACTATTAATTTATAAATATTATTATTATTATCAAACAGAAAAACCCGTCAATTCGTCCCGAATTTAGCGAAGTTCTGGAGTTTTTCGAGACGGAGCTAATGTCCGACAAAAGTCCGTTAAATAACGCCAATCGTATGCGATATATATTGAAACGAGAGATGAGCTTACCGTCCAGTGATTCGAGTCTAGAGTCGGTCACACTTAACGGCGCCGGAGATATATGTAAGGGATAGACATAGCATTAAAATTAATTGATTTATTTTTTTAAGTATCAGTTTATGAGGTTTGTTAGATGACAGTAGGGTTGTGACCAATTGTTAGCATAAAAAAAATGATAAATTAATTTTTATTTGTCATATATTTTTTTTTGATTTTTTTTGTAACAATTATTTGTCGAAAGACTTTTATGGGGAAAAGTATTTTTTTATATGATTTATAGTTTGAATTACTTTTTATTTAAGCATTTCGTTAAGATTTCAAACTTGTTTTTTTGTTTCTCTCAAAAAAATAAAGTTTTTTTTTCTAAGTTATTATAAAAGTTTTTCCCATATTTTCCGCTTAATTTTGTTTTAACACTCGGTTTTTACACTCGATGTGTGATTTAAACAATAAATCATTTTTATGAGCGTCTAATTTATAAAATTTACTTTAATTTTATTGTTTTTTTACATTTATTTTTAATAAACAGTTGATCAGCATTTAATCCGACGGCGGAACTCACAGATAGAGCGCAAATATTTCAACACAAACGGCTGGCATAGATAGCCATTGCCTACATCTCCTACCTTATCGGGACAGTTATGTCATTACAATTTGTGTCAATCATCCGCTAATTTCATCTCAATTCATCCCCAAATAAATTTATTACAAAAAAAAACATATTTAACAAACTAAAAGACAATTAAATTTTATGTTTTTTTCTCTGTATAGCCAGTCATACCATTTGATATATCAATAGTTTTTATCTTAGAATATATCGTATATATTGTAGATTTTAATCAATTTGTTTGTCCGGATATTTTTGTTGTTGATATACAGTATATATTTATACACTATACTATTGTTTGTTGTTTATAAAAAAAATTATTAGATATTTTATGATTAAACGAGAAAATATGATGATTAAAAAAAATCAAACAACAATTATATATATGTGTGTAGATATATAACTATAAATTTTTGTTTCTCTTTAAACAAAATATATGGCAAACAAATCAAAATTCAATTTTTTTTTCTTATTATTATTGTTGACAAATTGAACTCAAAGTGCAATTAATTTAATTATTTTTTTATTATATATATATATTGTTCTCTTTATTTGTTACCCATTAAGACAACTAAAAACCTCTATATAACTGTCGGCTCTTATATAATATTTTTGTGTTCATGAAAAAGCACTGATTTAAAGAAAAATATTTATATACTGTATAAAAATTATTAGTCAACAAAATTAAATGCCTGACACTGACTGTACATATAGCTGTGTATTATAGAGAAAGAGAGAGAGAGAGAGAGAGAGAGAGTGGGTGTTTTAGTGGTTGTCCTCTCAATTATTATATATGGATGGATATTGTAGGCGCCGTTAGCTTAAAAAAATTATATTACCGGCGCTTTCCTATTGAGTGAATGAGAGATTAAACAGAGACACTCATATACCAAGAGAATTGTTTTCATCAAATTTTTTTTAGATAAATTTGAGAAATAATTTAAAAACATAATTTAACAAATAATAAAAAATTATATATAAATATATTAAAACAATTTGAAAACAATTTAAAATTCTAGTCTATATGTAATTATGTTATTATTGATTATTGTAATTATATATTATTTCTATTATATATTTAATTAATAAAAAAGAAAATTACTAATAATAATTATTGATCTAATTTTTATTTAAAAAATAAAAAAATTGATTAATTGCTGTATTTAAAAATTAATAATAATAAAAAATGATAATTATTTATAATAATAATTAAAAAAAACAATTTAATAGTAATTATTTTTCTATTGTACAATTTATTATTAAAATAATATCTATTGATTAATGTTAAAAATAACAACAAGGACATTGTATTGTTAATTATTTTAATTTTAAAATTATCTATTTGTTTATTTATTTATTAAACTTTGAATATTTTATTTTTAAACAAAAAAACTGTTAAAATATTGCCGGTAAGTCTATTATACTGTATGTATATTAATAATTCAATTTTCAATTTAATTTCCTGTATTTTTGAGGGTTTTTACAATTATTTACTTTTTGGTTTCTTTTGTTTTCTTAATGTCGCTATTTTTTTCTCCCATAACTTTCTCGACCCTAAACTTTGAGGCTATAGATATGGTAATTGAAAATAAAAATAAATATTTATATTTAATTCAACAATATTATTAAAAAGTTATTTGAAAAAAATAAAACTAACAATAATAATAATTAGAGCCAAGTTTAATACAATCATTAATTAAAACAATTAAAAACTTTTTTATTTAAATATTGTATTTTTAGAGTAATTAAAACACAATAATATGTGCATATATTTAGCTACTAATAAAATTGAATTTTGTTTGCATTTTTATAAATAAATAAATACCAGAAATATTTTTTGAAAAGTTTGCTAATTATACTGTATATTTGAATATTAAAATTTTTTATGTATATATTATACTGTATTTTTTGTTTGTTTATATTTAAACTAAAACATCTAAAACTATATTATGAACCACCCATACAATTAACTGCCTGTTTCTTGAATATTATTATTAATCTCCTGTAATATCTATTCCTTAAGTGAGAGAGAAAAAGAGAGTCATATATCAACTACCGTTCCCATCAATTATATTGTGGAAGTCCGTGGAAATACATATACACACAAAAAACTGCAAGTTTTAATTTAACAGATGTTTCATATTGTCTTAATTTTTTCTTTCGTAATAATATTAATAATAATATAAAGAAAATATATAAATAATTAATTATTTAGCGAAATTTTAGAGCAGATTACTCCTCTATTTAATAATTATAAAACAATTATTTGGTAATCAAATTAGCGATTATAATGTATTTACTTAATTAAAGTTTCCATATTTTTATTTATTTATTTAGTTATTTATACAAATCTGTCATTAATTTTACATAAAAAAGATTATATGATATATAAATATATATATATATATATATATATATATATATATATATATATAATTTATATGAAATATAATAATATATTTCACCGTATATTGCCTTCAAAATTATTAATCATACTGTTTGTATGATTCATAACCTAAACAAACAAAAATACAAAATTGCAATTACATAATATTAATATCATAATATACCTACAAGGCTCATACACCCACCCACACACACACACATCTAAACATTGTAGACAAGGATTTCATCTCCCGGTGCTTATTAGACATCAAAGTGTGACTAATAATAAAAGTATATTTCAGTATTTCATAATTTGAGATTTAATTTAAGATTTATTTTATTAATTTAAAAACAACTTAATTAAACATAAAAACATTGATAAATACTAAAATAGTAGTAAAAATAAAATATACAATAAATTTAATTAAAATTTATTTATACAATATAATAAATAAATAAATATATAATAATTTAGACTATAACTGGCCATTATTTTCCGAGTGCCTCCATAAGCACCCGATGGACAAACACGTACTGATCGTAGGCCTCAACCATATTCATACGTTGGTGTCGTAATCGGTGAAAATGTTGTAAAATATCTACTTGTTTCTCCTGTTTGGCCATTTCGAGCATCGAATCGATAAGTATAAAACTACCGGTGCGACCGACACCCGCTGAACAATGAACAACAATAGGTTTGTCTTTAGAGTAGTACTGTTCAGCTAATCGGATCTCTTTTATGAACGTCATAAATGAGTGACAATCCTCAGGAACGCCCCAATCAGGCCAAGCAGTGTACTGATAATGTCCGACCTGTCGGTGTTCGCCATCACATTCCAGACCAAACGTCCTGACGGTATAGTCACCAAACGATTCAATCTTAATAATCCATACTTTAATGTTGGCATATGTGCGGACAGTACGGGACCAATATTTGGCGCAATACCAGTCGTCTTCATTGGTCGCATTGGTCAACAAAACCACTTGTGCGACATTCAAGTGCCAAATCAGGCGCCACATGTCGTCGATTGTTGATTTCATCGGTCCCTGAGCTGCAACATAGCGGGCGGAGCATAGATGGCCGGACACATAGCTGGCATTGACGTAGTCATCATATTGTCTATCAATAGCTGGCAATACAACACGATTGTAATTATACGGTACGGCATATCCATAGTACCGGTTCCGGCGATTGTTAACCCTTTGTATGGCATACTCGTAGCAAACGTCTTCAATATGATTGGCGGCCCATTCAAACTGTTTTCTCAGTTGACCATTGCTGATAAGCTCCGGTATTACCCGATTAAGTTGATTACAGTCTATGGGATACGATTCTAGTGTATCTGTTTTGTCATTGTTCGGCACCGGGCGATGTTCATAGTCGTCACAATTAGCTTCTGTAGTGGACATAAAAAATGTTTGTGTTATTAACAATTCAAAAAAATAAGTGTCGATATACAGTATATTAATAAATATATGATAATTATTGTAATCTTTTAATAATTAACAAATATTTTTTATATGAGTACACCTAAAGTAATACTGATTCTTTGTGAACAAAAAATGTTTATTATATTATTTACTAATATATAGTATATCGTCAAGAATTCGTTACATTTAAAAGCAATATATTTATGTAATAGATTTTTATTGGAAATTCCGTTAACTGTTTAGATAATTATTATAACAACTAAAATAAATAAAATGTTTGCATTACATAATAATCATGAAATACTAGTATATAATTGGTTCATATGATAATATTGATAAAATAACACATTATGTAATTAATAACTTACGTATCATAGTTATAAATTACCGGTATGTTATGTTTATTAATTTTTTTGCTAATTAATTTATAAACAAAGAATATTAATTTTAATATAACAATATTAAATAAAAAATATATACAAACTTGTAGTGTTTTTTTAAAGTTAAAACTGTTTAATTAATAAAAGTTACTAAAATAATAGTTAAATTAATTTAAGTGCAGAATATTCTATCAAAATATATATATATAAACGTTATATATGTTTTGGTAATAAAAAATAATGACATAAAAACATATAATGCATATTAATTTAATTTATTTTTTAATAAAATAAGTTTTTTAATTACTATAAAACTGTATAATAAATTGTTTTCAAAAGTTGTATTCATAAAATTTAATAAATGTACTAAAATTTTATGAATAATATATTAATTATTATAATAACATTATATACAATATTATTGAACACGTAATGTATGAAACAATCAATTGTTTGTAAACTAAATGTTTTTTTTCAAATAGATTTTGATTTTTCAATTGAATTGTAAATTTAAAATTCATTCACAAAAATGTAAAAACTATTTGTTATTTAATAAATAATTGATTTAATTGTTTGAAAAGATAAAAATGTGTGAAATAGTTGTCAACGATTTGTTTGATGAGATTATCAATGAAAACAATAGACTTTGCAATCAATTGGTGTTTGCAATGAAATGTTTGGATGTTTTGCAAACATTTGAGACATTTATTAGAAAAGTGATGACATTTAAGACAATTATCATTAATGAACAACAATTGTCATCACAAGACATACAAACATTGGATCAATTGGACAATCAATTACAGAAAGTATTGAAACAATTTCAAGAGATAAAGATCGCCGCCATCCGCGACAAGTCATTGAAATGTTTGGTTTGTAATCACAAATGTCTTAAAGTCAGTGATTTGGTCAGACATTTGAAGACAAGACATCAAATCAGACCAATTGGTTGCAAACTTAACGGCTGTTACGAGTTGTTTGTTACCAAAGATCAACTAAAACAACATGTCTTTCAGCGACATTGTCTGACAACTGAAGACTTAATGAATGAGTTGTTTGAAACGAAAACTGAAGAAAACCGTCGACTCGTTAGTGAAATCAAATCTGCGACAAGACTTTTGCAATTTTTTGAGACATCCGCCGATTTTATCGTAAAAGTTGTAGATTTGAAGACAATTTTACGCCAAACAAACTGTTTGTCGGCCAAAGAGGCGAAAGAAGTTAATAAATTAGATATTAAGTTGAAGGATGTGCTCAAAGAGTTGACCGACAATAAGAGGTTCACTATTAAGACATTAAACAAAGATATCGACGATATTGAAGATCACAAAATTTTACAGAAGAAAAAGCTTAGTCGCAGTCATAAACATATTAAACAACAAAATGAAGACAAAGACGGCGAAGATCTTAAAGCAAAATATAAGTGTCAGCACAAGTCGTGCGGTAAAGTGTTTAGTAAATTAAGTTATTTGAATAAACACGTGCTTTACATACACGTGAATCGCAATTTAAAGTGTGATTATAACGGATGTGATCTAATATTCAAGAATCCGACACTTTTACGCCGTCATAAACAGCGTCAACACAATGATGGTGTAGATGTTGACAACACGTGCGACAACAACAAGTCATTCGCGTGCAAAATATGCGATAAAGTGTTTAACAAACAAAATCTACTATCACTACACGTTCGTCGACAACACGTGAATCGCAATTTAAAGTGTGAACATATCGGATGTGATCTGATCTTTAAAAATAGGGAAACATTAATCCATCACCAAAAGAAACACAATGGTATCAAATATAATTGTCCGGAACAGGGATGCGATAAAGTGTATAATACAAAACATGGTCTTAGATATCACTGTAATATTAACCACAAACTGTCCACTACTGGCAACTCAAAGCCATACAGATGTACGCTGACCGACACGTGCGTCAAGTCATTCACGTGCCAACAATTACTTAATAGACACATAAGTAATATGCATTCCGGTCAGACATTTTCGTGCGATTATCTCGGATGTGATAAAACTTTTCGATCCGAGAAGTTATTGAAAATACACAAAAATAAACACAAAGATATTGAGTCTGGCCAACAGTTTCCATGTTTAGCACCGGGATGTGGTAAAGTGTGCAAAACACAGTACAGCCTAAAGTGTCACTTGTATACTAATCATACCGATAAAGTCTACCGTTGCGATTGGTCGGACTGTAATTTCACGGCCAGTACTTCCAATTTACTATACAAACACAAACTTACGCATAAAACACAAGTACTGCAATATAAATGTCCGGAACCGGGATGTGGTCGAGTGTTTCAACAACTGTTCCGATTAACCTTTCACCGCAAACACCATACAACTGTCTACCGGTGCTCGTGGCCCGAGTGTACATATATTGGAAAATCGTATCAATGTCTGTACTTTCACCGGACACAAGTACACCAGAAAAAAATCTACCGATGCGTTTGGCCCGGCTGTGAATGGCAGTCCATACATCCAAGTGCTTATTATATTCATCGACGACAGCACGTCGCCAATAGTTGTGACGACAAGATTGTGAAAACCTATCGATGCGATTGGCCCGGTTGTGATAAAGTAATGACTAACCGTATCTCTCTATATCAACATAAGTTGATACATACGGGAAAACAGTATCCGTGCGATTGGCCGGGTTGTAAATATGTTACCATACGTAAGACACAGTTGAAACTACACTGTCAAACACATTTGCCTAAAGATAAACGAGAAACTAAATACCAGTGCTCGTGGCCACAGTGCGATAAAATATTGTCAACCAATAAGACACTTAGGGAACACATGAGAATTCATACGGGAAAGCCGTTTGAGTGTCATTTTGATGGCTGTTATCATAGGACAGTGTCGAGGAGTGCACTCAATCAACACATTAAACTTAGACATAATTTATAGTAAAATATTTAATGATTTAAAAATGTTTACACATAACTACTAATAATTTTGTTTATTCAAAATTACCGCTTTATTGAAAAGTAATATATTATACAACTGTTATGAGATATTTATTGTTTTTAAAAAAAAAAGATTGTGATTTTTTAAAGAGTTTATATACTGTATTTAAATTTTATTGTAATTTTTTTTTTAATTTTTAAATAATATATTTAATAAAAAACACTATATATTTTGAAATGATGTAAAGTATTTGAAACTTTATTAACAAAATATTTCTAATACAATATTATTTGAAAATTTATACGTAATGTATTGACAAAGTTTACAATTATTGATAAATTGATGAATGAATTTAAAGTTTGTAAACAAACATATGATTTGAAATAATTTTTTTATGAATTGAATAGAGATTTGAATGAATTGTTTGTTGTTTTGAATGATTGAATTGTTTGAAAAAAATGTGTGAAATAGTTGTCAACGATTTGTTTGATGAGATTATCAATGAAAACAATAGACTTTGCAATCAATTGGTGTTTGCAATGAAATGTTTGGATGTTTTGCAAACATTTGAGACATTTATTAGAAAAGTGATGACATTTAAGACAATTATCATTAATGAACAACAATTGTCATCACAAGACATACAAACATTGGATCAATTGGACAATCAATTGACAGATGTGTTGACACAATTAAAGAAAAAATCGGCGCAAAGTATAAAACCATATGAAAAACAACTGATTACTGGAAATGTGGATCAATTGAGTGGTAAAGAGTTGATTAAGAATTCAGGAGTTAATATCAATAAACGATTAACAGTTAATCCAATTCGTGTCAAAACATTTAAATTAACGACAATTGATAACAATTGTAGTCAACAATCACATGAAAATGATAGACAAACACAACAAATGACTGATAATTTACATGAAAAGCAATTTCCGTGTTTTGAAATTAATTGTGATTATAAAAGTTGTGATATTTCCGGACTCATCAGTCATCTGAAGACATGTCATTCGATTATTCGTTTTCAGTGCACTCACGAGGAATGTAATCAACTGTTTGCTGACCAATACTTTCTTAACAAACATTTACAGACAAAACATAACATATTTATTAATAAAGTTAACAAACAGTTAGAGAAAAAACTCAATACAATGACTGAGAAAAGTCAAGAAAATCAAATACAAGTCAAACAAATACCGATTGAATGTACTAATGAAGGATTCAAATGCTGTCGTTGTCCACACATTAGCAATACTTTAGATAATTTGGTTAAACATTTGAAGACAAAACACTCAATCAATTGTATTAAATGTATGGACAAAGAATGTAATCAATTGATTGTTTGTTATCCTAATGTCCAGAAACATCTCTGTAATAAACATAAGGATAATAAAGGAGTCAATATATCTAAAGGAAAGAGAAAACAATCAAAAATGACGACAAAAGCTGTCACTGGAGATGATGTGCAACAAAACAGAGACGTCGTCGAAGAGTTGCATATAAGAGATGTGGATCAACCTATTGATTGGGAACTACAGACTCTGAGACCACAATTGATAAAAACAACAAAAACCTATAGTAAAGTTGTTAAAACTATTGTTAAATTACCAGTGATGAACAATGGATCAGTTGATAACAATGTTTTAGCAGACAATTGTCATAATCAGACACCAAAAGTTAAGAAATATAACTATGAAAATCAGTTTAAATGTTTTCGTTGTTTTCATAGTTTCGGTAATATTAACAAATTTATTAGTCATCTGAAAACACAACATTCAATTAGTCTTATAAAGTGTACGAATAAAGACTGTTATCGTCTATTAAATGATGAAAATGAACTTCAAAAGCATTTATTGACACACATTGAGACAGTTATTCAAAATGAACCACAAATACCAGTATCGGTACCATTAGTTAACAAACAGACTGTCGATAATCAGAAAAGATTTAAATGTTATTATATAGACTGTGGCCAACAGTTTCTAAGTAAAGTAAGTTTGAGTCAACACCTCTTCAGTAGTCACGTGCGAGATGATGATGATTGCAATAATATTGCTGTTAATGTCAACAATGCTATCACCAGCGATGACATAACACTGCCGACAAATGAATTGTCACTATCGGATCAGATTATGTCCAAAGATGAAATATTAGTCAATACAGGAGTAAATTTGTCAGTCATGGACGAGACTATGACTAGTAAACCAAATTCACAACCAGTTTATAAACCATACAAATGTGATTACGAAGATTGCAATTATTCAGCCGTCTATAATGCGTCCGTTGCTAGACATCGGGAAATTCATGATCGACCACACGGTAATCCTCGACCATATAAATGTCCGCACGAGTCATGCGGCATACGATTTGTCACCCTTCAGTCAATGGACCTACACCTGAGACAAATTCACACCACTAACCGGCCGTTCCGATGCGGTTATACTGGTTGTACCTATAGAGCAGCCGATAAATTGGTTTTGAAGCGCCACATGCGTTACCATACAAATCCACCGAAACGGCCGACTACACTATTGTACTGCAAATGGCCCGGATGTAAGTACAAGACAATACATGCGGCCTCATTGACTACACATCGGTTGGTTCACAGTACTGAACGCAATTGGCCGTGCAGTTGGCCCGGTTGTGACTATCGGGCCAAACGTAAAAGTGATTTGGAAAGTCATACGACAACGCATACCATTATCGATAATAACGTTGTGTGCGATTGGCCTGAATGTGGCAAACAGTTCCGGACTATAAATGCTATGCGCGTCCATCAGATCATACATAAGGGACAACTAATATCGTGTGAATGGGAGGGCTGTCGGTATAAAAGTATACGTAAAGATAAAATCAAACGACACATGAATACTGTGCACTTGAAATTGAAACGAAAATCGTAACAAAATATAAAATCATTTCCAAAATAGGCGGAACTAGATTTTTGGGAATAACTTCTCTCTGGATTGGAATTTTAAAAAAATATTTAATATGGAAATATGGTTTTCTGGGACGAATACATTAGTTTTGCTACTTTGTATGTATTCTGGCACTGGTATGCTAGCACCGGGATGTTCGATATCTCATAAACTATAAGAGATAGGAAAATTTTTTAAAAAGCAAATTTTACATCTTTCAAAATGAGTTGACACGTGTTTTTAAAATTTTTAAAATATTAATTAGTTTTTGTAAAAAATAATTTTATTCATTAAAAAATGAAAATTTCAAAATCTCATAAAATAAAAGTGTCAAGGTATTTTATATTTTTGTTAATTTTAATAAATTCTATATTTAAAATAGAACAAATCATCTGTACATTGTAACTACCTAGCTCATATAGTTTTAAAGATATTCACACATAAATGTTTTTTCATACAATTTTTTATTAGCTATTGGTATTAAATTTATGAATTATGATATAATAGTCATAAATTATTATAATGGTAAAATATAAAATTATGAATATCTTTAAAGCTATATGAGCTAGGTAGTTACAATGTACAGATGATTTGTTCTATTTTATAGAATTTATTAACAATTATAACAATTATTAACAAAAATATAAAATACCTTGACACTTTTATTTTATGAGATTTTGAAATTTTCATTTTTTAATGAATAAAATTATTTTTTACAAAAACTAATTAATATTTTAAAAATTGCCAAAACACGTGTCAACTCATTTTGAAAGATGTAAAATTTGCTTTTTAAAAAATTTTCCTATCTCTTATAGTTTATGAGATATCGAACATCCCGGTGCTAGCATACCAGTGCCAGTATACATACAAAGTAGCAAAACTAATGTATTCGTCCCATGAAAACCATATTTCTATATTAAATATTTTTTTTAAAATCCAAATCCAGAGAGAAGTTATTCCCAAAAATCTAGTTCCGCCTATTTTGGAAGTGATTTTATATATATTATTGTATATTTGAGAATATTTTTTATGTATTTTTTAAAAAAAAACAATTGTAAATAATTAATTTATAATATGAATTTCAATAATAATAATTAATTTAAATTAAAAGTTTTTTTATGTTTGAAGTGTCGCTAATTTTACTCTAAATTAATATAAGTTTACTATTGGCTTATAATTTACTGTAGAGTTTCATAATGTAAACAACTATACAGTAATGTAGAGGTATTTAATATACTGTACAATAAAAATGTTTTGTAAACATTAAATAAAAACTATTATTTTTATAAAAATAATTTATAAATAAATAATAAATTAAATGGTATTTTGTTAACTGATTTATCAATAGATTGTTACAGAAATATGTGTGAAATAGTTGTCAACGATTTGTTTGATGAGATTATCAATGAAAACAATAGACTTTGCAATCAATTGGTGTTTGCAATGAAATGTTTGGATGTTTTGCAAACATTTGAGACATTTATTAGAAAAGTGATGACATTTAAGACAATTATCATTAATGAACAACAATTGTCATCACAAGACATACAAACATTGGATCAATTGGACAATCAATTAACAGATGTGTTGACACAATTGAAGCAAAGATCGGTGCGAAATGTGAAGTCCTATGAAAAGCAATTGATTTCTGGAAAAGCGGATCAAATGAGTGGTGAAGAGTTGGTTAATAAATCAAGAGTTAATATTAATAATCAGTTAACAGTTAGTCCTAAAGTTATTAGTATTAAAGTATTGAAATTACAGACAATTAATGATAGCATTAAAAGTAAGCAACAATCAGATGAAAATGAAAGACAAACACAAAAATTGACTGATAATTCACATGAAATGCCATTTCCTTGTTATGTCATTAATTGTGATTACAAAAGCTGTGATATTCCCGGACTGATTAGTCATCTGAAGACAAGTCACTCAATTACTAGCATTCAGTGCACTCATGAGGGATGTACTCAATTATTTGGTGACCAACACGACCTCAACAGACATTTACAGTTAAAACATAAGACAATCAATAAAAATGTAAAGAAAAGTATTGACAAAATAACAAACAAAAGTCAAATAATAAGAAAAAGTCAGAAAATTAATAGATTGGTTACAAATCAGATGAATATCAATAATACTGATAATGAAGTGAAGACACAATTAGATTGTATTAAAAAAAAGTTTAATTGTTTTGTCGAAAACTGTTATTACAATTGTCTTAATGTGAATGAATTGGTTAATCATCTGAAGATACGACACTCAATCACAAACTATATTCAATGCACTTGCGATGGCTGTCAACAACTTTTTGTTGACGAAAAACAACTCAAGAGTCATGTTTCTGATGAACACAAGATATATGACTCGTCTCTTATAGTTATACCAAATGATTGTAATAAAAGACAAAAATCTAAGACAATTAATCCATTTGATTGTAAACAACTATTTAAATGTGATTATAAAGATTGCGGTGAAATGTTTAAAACTTACTTTCAATTTGATAAACACATGAAATGTCATCCAATCGATGAAAGTGTATCTCAAGACTGTGTCGTTAAAACAACAAAGACTGATGTGTTTGAATGTTTAGATTGTAATTTGAAATTCAAAACCGATTGGGAACTAGATTTACACACTAATGTCATACACAAGAAGTTGTATTCAATTAAGTGTCACATCGAGGGATGCGATAAATTATTTGATGCAACTGTTAATCAACGGTTTTCACAATATTACAAACGACACGTTTTGACACATTTTAATAGTAATCCATTTAAATGCGATTACGAAGGTTGTGATAAACAATATCTTTGTCGTTCATCTTTCTATAAACATAGACGTAGTCACACTAATCCAATAGTTACATGCGATTGGCCCGGTTGTGATTTTAGGACACCGTTTAACTATATATTGAAATATCATCAAAATAATAAACATCTTAAGGATAGACCTCAACTCAAATGTCATTTGGATGGATGTACTTACAGTACATTATCTAAAGGTTGTCTTCGAAGTCATATTAGGTATAGACACGGAAACAAAAAATTTATGTGCGATCACAACGATTGTCAAAAATCATATAAAACTATCTTTGATTTAAACTTACATAAATCGCGCTTTCATAACAACAATATTAATAATAGCACATACCGGTGCTCGTGGCCGGGTTGTGTGTTTGAAACAAAATATAAACCATATTTAAGTCAACACCAATTGATTCACAGCGACGAGAAAAACTATCGGTGCGAACATCCGGGCTGTCAGTTTCGTGCGAAACAACAAAAATCAATTATTTCACACCGAAAATCTCATCAAACAGGAAAAAACTACATGTGCTCGTGGCCAGAGTGTGGCAGACTATATAAATCTGATTATTCACTACGAGTTCATATGCAATATCACCGCAATACTAATTATGTCTGCCAATGGGCCGGATGTTCATATCGGACACATATTAAAAGTAACCTCAAAACACACATAAATATCAAACACGAAAAACTACGGTATTGTTGCGATTATGAGGGTTGCGATCGAGTATTTAAGGCTAAATGCACTCTTCGTTATCATAAGCTATCAGTGCACGAAAAACAGTCTACTGATAAGTACCAGTGCTCGTGGCCGGGATGTGAGTACAGTACCTGGAATTTGCGTGCATTGAATTCACATGAACTAATACATAGCTCAGTGAGAAAATATCGATGCGATTATAATGGCTGTGAGTTTGCAACCAATCAGAAAAATTATCTAAATAGTCATCAAAAAAGACATTCAACTGAACTAAAGTACCGGTGCTCGTGGCCTGACTGTCATAAACGATATAAGAGTCAAGAAGTTCTTAAATCACATGAAGTGATTCATTCGGAACCCAAGTATGTCTGCCATTGGGAGGACTGTCAGTATAAGACTCATTGGAGTACTAACTTTAGATCACATTTGAATCGAAAACATTTAAGAAATAAAAAATGTAAAAAATAATTTATAAATACTATAATTATAAAAATTAATTCATTGTATTAACAGAAAAATAAAGATTAAAATAAATAATTTGAAAATTATATAATAAACTAATAAATTGTTTATAATTTTTTATTAATTAAATATTATGTAAATTTTAAATTAATTTAAAGAAAATTGTTAATATTTTTTTAAAGAATTTTGTCGTTAACCGTAAATTAAATTAAAAATTAACAAAATTACGATTTATTTGTATAATATTGTATTTACTGTAAATTTTATTGTTTTTGATTTTATGTTTAGTTAATATATGTATGATTTAGTATTGAATTTGAATATAGATTTAAATAATTGCCGGTAATATAAGTCTTATAATTATTTTAAAAAATATTATTTGTTATCTAATAGTCATTCAAACGTAATGTTTGTATCAATGAATAAATGAAAACAAATAACAGTATAAATAGTATAGAAATTCTGTTTTAAAAATTCAAATGTTTGTAAACATTAGATAAAAATTAATAATTTTTAAGAAATGTTTGATAATTATATAATAAAATAATTGATTAAATTATTTGTTAATTTGTTTATCAATAGATTGTCACAGAAATATGTGTGAAATAGTTGTCAACGATTTGTTTGATGAGATTATCAATGAAAACAATAGACTTTGCAATCAATTGGTGTTTGCAATGAAATGTTTGGATGTTTTGCAAACATTTGAGACATTTATTAGAAAAGTGATGACATTTAAGACAATTATCATTAATGAACAACAATTGTCATCACAAGACATACAAACATTGGATCAATTGGACAATCAATTAACAGATGTGTTGACACAATTGAAGCAAAGATCGGCGCAAAGTGTGAAGTCTTACGAAAAGCAATTGATTTCTGGAAAAGCGGATCAAATGAGTGGTAAAGAGTTGGTTAATAAATCACGAGTTAATATTAATAATCAGTTAACAGTTAGTCCTAAAGTTATTAGTATTAAAGTATTGAAATTACCGACAATTAATGATAGCATTAAAAGTAGACAACAATCAGATGAAAATGAAAGACAAACACAACAAATGACTGATAATTCACATGAAAAGCCATTTCCTTGTTATGTCATTAATTGTGATTACAAAAGTTGTGATATTCCCGGACTGATTAGTCATCTGAAGACAAATCACTCAATTACTAGCATTCAGTGCACTCATGAGGGATGTACTCAATTATTTGGTGACCAACACGACCTCAACAGACATTTACAGTTAAAACATAAGACAATCAATAAAAATGTAAAGAAAAGTATTGACAAAATAACAAACAAAAGTCAAATAACAAGAAAAAGTCAGAAAATTAATAGATTGGTTACAAATCAGATGAATATCAATAATACTGATAATGAAGTGAAGACACAATTAGATTGTATTAAAAAAAAGTTTAATTGTTTTGCCGAAAACTGTTATTACAATTGTCTTAATGTGAATGAATTGGCTAATCATCTGAAGATACGGCACTCAATCACAAACTATATTCAATGCACTTTCGATGGCTGTCAACAACTTTTTGTTGACGAAAAACAACTCAAGAGTCATGTTTCTGATGAACACAAGATATATGACTCATCTCTTATAGTTATACCGAATGATTGTAATAAAAGACAAAAATCTAAGACAATTAATCCATTTGATTGCAAACAACTATTTAAATGTGATTATAAAGATTGCGGTGAAATGCTTAAAACTTACTTTCAATTTGATAAACACATGAAATGTCATCCAATCGGTGAAAGTCAATCATTGGAAACACATTTGATAAAACAAAAGTATAAAATTAATCGACAATATCGATGCAATTATAATGGTTGTGATCGTGTTTTTAAATTTAATAATAGTCTAATTACTCACAAAATAACACATAATATGAAAGGATCTAAATTATACCGATGCTTACGGCCAGAGTGTGAATACAAGAGCTATTTTTCGTGTGCTTTTAAACGACATCAACTAATTCATAGCGATGTAAGAGATTATCCGTGCGATTATCCCGGTTGTCAATATCGGGCCAAAGAGATGCAAATCATTACTAAACATAAAAAAATTAGACATTTTACTAATGAAAAAAACTATCGGTGCTCGTGGTCTGGATGTGCAAAACAATTCAAAACTGCTGACACTCTTCGAAATCATACGAGATTTAAGCACTTAATTGCTGAAGAGGACAGAAAAAAGTTTCGATGCGATTACGATGGTTGCGATCGAGTATTTAATTCCAAATGGAATCTACAATATCATACAATTTCAGTCCATGAAAAACAGGCTAAAATCTACCAGTGCTCGTGGCCGGGCTGTGACTATACCACTAAACATTATGTATCGTTGGGTCAACACGAAAGAATACATAAGCCAATGAAAGATATTCGGTGCGATTACGATGGATGTAACTTCACAACTAAATATAGTAGTCATCTAAAATGTCACAGAGATATACATTCAACTGAACCAAAGTACCGGTGCTCGTGGCCTGACTGTAATAAACAGTTTAAAACTTTAGCAGTTTTTAAGTCACATGAAGTGATTCATTCGGAACCCAAGTATGTGTGCGATTGGAAGGACTGTCAGTTTAGGACTTATTGGAGTTATAATCTTAAATCACATTTGAATCGAAAACATTTAAAGAAATTACTAAAATAGTTATTAATAATTATTTTTTATAATAATAATAAAATTAAATTTATGTGAATTATATTGAAATTTTCTGTTTAATCAATAATTACAGTAATATTTAATAACAAAAATTACATTTCAATCTACAGTAATTCAAACTAATATAATGTTTACTTAATTACTTTATGAGTAGTATTGTAGTTGAATATATAGATTCAATTAAATTACTACTAATTTTAAATTCAAATACGTTTTAAACACATTTTCTGAAATCAAGTGTTTCTCTAAAAAAATTAATAATAATTATTATTTTAAGGTATAATTTGTTGTCTAAAAGTTGTTTTATTAATACGTAATATTTGTATCAATGAATAAATGAAAACAAATAACAGTATAAATAGTATAGAAATTCTGTTTTAAAAATTCAAATGTTTGTAAACATTAGATAAAAACAAAATATTTTTTAACAAATGATTGATAATTAAATAATTGATTGAATTATTTGTTAATTTTGTTATCAATTGATTGTCACAGAAATGTGTGAAATAGTTGTCAACGATTTGTTTGATGAGATTATCAATGAAAACAATAGACTTTGCAATCAATTGGTGTTTGCAATGAAATGTTTGGATGTTTTGCAAACATTTGAGACATTTATTAGAAAAGTGATGACATTTAAGACAATTATCATTAATGAACAACAATTGTCATCACAAGACATACAAACATTGGATCAATTGGACAATCAATTGACAGATGTGTTGACACAATTAAAGAAAAAATCGGCGCAAAGTATAAAACCATATGAAAAACAACTGATTACTGGAAATGTGGATCAATTGAGTGGTAAAGAGTTGATTAAGAATTCAGGAGTTAATATCAATAAACGATTAACAGTTAATCCAATTCGTGTCAAAACATTTAAATTAACGACAATTGATAACAATTGTAGTCAACAATCACATGAAAATGATAGACAAACACAACAAATGACTGATAATTTCTGTGGAAAGCAATTTCCGTGTTTTGAAATTAATTGTGATTACAAAAGCTGTTACATTACCGAACTTATCAATCATCTGAAGACATGTCACTCAATCACTCGTATTCAATGCACTCGCGAGGGATGCACTCAATTGATTGCTGACAAACACGACCTCAACAGACATTTACAGACAAAACATAAGACAATCAATGAAAAAGTTAAGAAAAGTAATATTATAATCATTAATAAAAGTCATACAATAAGAAAATATAATATAATTAATAAATCGGTAAAAAAGCAGATGAATGTTAATAATAGTGATAATCAATTGCAGAGACTCTTAAATATTACTGAAAAAAGATTTAAATGTTTTGCCGAAAACTGTGATTACAATAGTCTTAATGTGAATGAATTGGTCGATCATTTGAAGACACTTCACTCAATCACTTGTTTGAATCAATGTACTTATGATGACTGTCACCAACTGTTTGCTGACGAACGACAACTCAAGAGTCATGTTTTAGTTGAACACAAGTCATTTGACTCATCTCTTATAGATCTACCGAATGATTGCAATGAAACGCATACTATTGATGAACACAAAACAAATGACTCAACACAAGTCGTATATGATTGCCATCGGACGGGATGTAACTTTTGGTCGTTTAATAGCCAATCATTGGAAACACATTTGAAAAAACATACTAAAAAAGATAAATCTATTTCGTCTGACAGTAAACTAAGTGTTCAGCACAAGCTTAACCAGCATTTGCGTTATGAAGACAATAATACAGACTACCGGTGCGATTATAATGGATGCGATCGTGTTTTTAAATATAATAATAGTCTAATTGGTCACAAAATAAGACAACATGATATGAAAGGATCTAAATTATACCGGTGTTTATGGCCAGACTGTCAGTACAAGAGTTATTTTTCTTGTGCTTATAAACGACATCAACTAATTCATAGCGATGTAAGAAATTATCGGTGCGATTATCCCGGTTGTCAATATCGGGCCAAAGAGAAGCGAACCATTATTAGCCACAAAAGGCTTAAACATTTTACTACTGGAAAAAACTATCGGTGCTCTTGGTTTAGGTGTGCAAAACAATTCAAAACTGCTGATAATCTTCGAAAACATATGAGATTAAAGCACTTAATTGCTGAAGAGGACAAACAGAAGTTCCGATGCGATTACGAAGGTTGCGATCGAGTATTTAATGCCAAATCCAGTCTACAATATCACACAATTTCAGTCCATGAAAAACAGGCTAAAATCTACCAGTGCTCGTGGCCGGGCTGTGACTATACCACTAAACATTCAAATAGGTTGAGTCAACACGAAATAATACATAAGCCAATAAAAGATATTCGATGCGATTATGATGGCTGTAATTTCACAACTAAACATAATACTCATTTAATTCGTCATAAAGAACGACACTTAACTGAGCCTAAGTACCGGTGCTCGTGGCCTGAATGTGATAAACAGTTTAAAACTTTATCATCTTTTAAGTCACATGAAGTGATTCATTCGGAACCCAAGTATGTCTGCCATTGGAAGGACTGTCAGTATAGGACTCATTGGAGTAAAAATCTTAAATCACATTTGAATCGAAAACATTTAAAGAAATTATAAAATTAGTTATTAATAATTATTTTTACGAAAAAATTATTATTTCTTAATTAAATTGAAATCTAATTTTCAGTTTTCTGTTTAATAAATAATATAATACAGGTATCACATAGTACTGTATAATAGTATAGAAATTCTGTTTAAAATTTTAAATGTTTGTAAAAATAGATAAAAATAAATATATAATTAATTAAATAATTTATTTATTAGTTTCCGGTAATTAGTTTATTAATAGATTGTCGCAGAAATAGTGCAGATTGTGTGAAATAGTTGTCAACGATTTGTTTGATGAGATTATCAATGAAAACAATAGACTTTGCAATCTATTGGTGTTTGCAATGAAATATTTGCATACAATATACAGTATATTATTTACTAGACTTGTTTTTGACTTTTGACTAAATTGCTTTTATATAGACTATAAATTATAAATCAATTTAAAATCACTGGACAAATTAGTATTTTATTTATTAAAAAAAAACATTTACAAAATATTTATTATTTTTTAAACTAATCAACTGATACCAGTCCTCAGTGACTGTAATCAGTTTCACTCAGCTTTAGAATTAAAATAACCTTAAAAATCATAAATATTTTTATTTTATTATAAAAAAGGGTATCAAATATCACACATTTAGTCAAATATTGACATTAATAACACATTAATTTTATCATAACTATTGTTACTATCATTTGGCGGTCTATTAGTTTCAATGATATGATTGATGAATGAGACGACTCTGTGATAGGCATCGCTGGTCTTGTCTTTTGGTTTGCATGTATTGAAGTGATCGACAGCCAGAAGATGAAAGTCGCCGACACCGGGATTTGCAGATTCTTCGGGCACTTAATAGTAAAAAATTTAAACAATAGAAAATAATTTATTAATACAAAACAACAAAAAATAAACGTAATATTAAAAAAATAAATAAATACAAAACAATTATAACCTAAAAGACGACTCCATTTGAACGGACGCTTAATTACACAACTTTTGACAGTTTCGCCAAAACTCAGACATTCGATGGGTTTGTCGCGAATCAACTTCAAGAAGTTTGTGTGCAATGATAGCAAAAATTGTGAATCTATTTACCGGTAATAATAAAAAAAAATAATACAATTTGTCTTTAAATAAAACACACACAAAATCAACAAAACCTTTTCTCAATTGCAAGAGTTCAGTGGACGGCGATATAATGCGCTGAAGATATGGCGTCCAAACAGCCATTTCGGTTCCCTTATGCGGTACCGAATAGAAGACAATGCCTTTTGTCTGATCCAACAGCGATCGCATTCGCGGATCGTTGCTTTCGGACACATCGACCAACATTTGTTTGACTATAAGACCGCCCATTGAATGAGTGATCCAAATGATAGGCTTATCGCCGATAGGACTGGAAATCAAATCGTTCAAGAATTGTGCCGATCGTTGCTTCAGAGTTGTGACACTGTTGTCGTCATTGCACTCGATATTCCAGTTACTCAAAAATGTTTGATAATTGACAGCAAATAGTCGAACGTCGGCCACGTCATTGGCCAGCCATGTCTGCGGCCAACATCGGGTGTATTGAGGAGAGTATTGTTTTTCGCTGTCACACTGTCGCCATGTCTTGAAAGCACCGCCAAGTAAGCCGTGAACCAGTATTATATCAAAATCTTTGGGTTGCGTGTCGTGAAATATCGGATGCAATAGATATATGGATTCGGGCAATAAGTGGTCATCCAATTCTTGACTTAAATTGTGCAGAACTTTAGCCGCCGGTAGACTCCATTCCAAACGATTCGAATGAAGCCAATTGACCAAAACGCCAAACCAATTGGTTGTCCAGAAATGTGAGTGAAACTCTCGATGAGCCGACAAATTGGCTAACGTCTGTGCAATCCAGTCGTGAACCGCTTTTTCCGTAAAATTGTTTCGTAAGTAATGAAGTATTAAAAACAATCCGTTGTTGACCAGTGTCTGGCACTGGAGCTTATCGGATGATAAAATATTTTGACTAATTGCCTGCAAATACACCCAATTGACCTCTGATGCCGACCGTCGCCGATGATAATGAAGATGAATATCAGTAAAGTCGACCATATCTTCCAATTGACGCGAATGACAACCTGTTTCAAGCATTTCGATCGACAATTTGGTAAAAAATTTCGTACAATCAGAGGTTCGGTGACCAGAATTCTGGGCATTTTTGAACAAATTCAACAAAAATCGTTCGAAGTCGTGGATCGGCGCCGATTGGTTGGTCTGAAAGTAGTATGTATTGAGTGGAGGCATAAATAGTTTGGGACTGACACCCGGTATACGGGCCAGTCGTAGGGCGGTCTCGTAATCACAGCTCTGAGCAATTTCCCGATACTGATGGTCTGTTGAACAACAAAAAAACAAATCACTAATTATTTATGAGATTTTTGTTTATTTGGTAAACAATACATACCATTGAAATTTGTGTTAGCAATGGCAGAGATGGCCACTTCGGTCACTTGCAGTCGATCGTGTGGCCGGTATTGAGCCAATCGTAACAATTGCAAATGTGTCCGTGAATCTGACGGCACGCCGTCCTCCGAGTATTCGGCCAACATTTGACTACTACTCTCATTGTTGATGTCTTTGTCTAAATAGATGTAGTCATTGCTGTTGTTGTTGTTATTGTTGTTGATATCAGTTGTCATCGGCTGTGTTGACGATGAAGAAGTACTATTATCGCTGTTGTTGTGGCCAAACGTTTTCAACTTTATGGACAACGAATTGCGGCCAAAATAGGCGGCACTGAATAAGTTAAGAAAAACGCGACAATCAATTAAAAAACTTTTTTCACATAAAAAAACTCGATTACGTTGATATCACCGAAGCTGATCCCAGAGTGGCGGCCAACAGATGTTTTCTATTGAGTAGTACAACTCGTTTCATGTTATTGTTGTTGTTGTCATTGATGACAATATTTGATCGGCGAGTATAATGAAGACATGTGTGTCCACACAAGTGATTGACTGATCAGCTGTTAGTTACAATGTATTTATTATTTACTGTTTTTTTAATATGAAATGAATTACACAAACAAAATACCATTTGTGACGTCAATTGTTTTAATATTTAATACATTTAATAATAACATTAAATTACATTATACTGTATATATAAAAAAAATTATTAAATGTTTTTTTGATATTCCAATCACATTTGAAAATCTATGATAAAATATATTTTTAATGACTTAGTTTAAAAATAATAATAATAGGCTATTAATAATTAAAGAAAAAATAATTAAAACCCATATTTAGTTAATTATGATATCATTTTTTTATTATGCAATAAAACTGTTAAAATCTAAAAATATGAGACTTGAAAACTTAATATTAATAAATACACATAAATTATAATAATTTAATTAAAAATAAATATGTCATGAATTTTTTTAAAAAATTTTGCTACGATTTTCGTTTCAATTTCAAGTGCACAGTATTGACATGTCGTTTGATTTTATCTTTACGTATACTTTTATACCGACAGCCCTCCCATTCACACGATATTAGTTGTCCCTTATGTATGATTTGATGCAAACGCATAGCATTTACGGTACGAAATCGTTTGTCACATTCTGGCCAATCGCACACTACGTTACTATCGATATGGGTATGTGTTGTCATATGCATGCGATAATCGCGGCATCGTTTGGCCCGATAGTCACATCCGGGCCAACTGCACGGCCACTTACGTTCGGTACTGTGCGTCACCTTATGCGCGCTCATTGAACACGGCTGTACTGTCTTGTACTTACATCCCGGCCACTGGCAGTAGAGCATTGTAGTCGGCATTGGCTTTCGCGGGTGCATTGTGTGTGACTTCATGTGTTGGCGGAGATAATTTTTGGTTGGCCCGCGATAACTGCAACCGGCCACTGTGCACACAAACTTACGTTCAGTACAGTGCACGCCAAGCACATGGTTACGCAAATTGTTTCGCGTAAAGAAGCCGCGGCCACACGACTCGTGCGGGCATTTGTATCGACGGACGCGTTCGCGTATTTGTCCGTTTTCGTCTTCGTAACTGTCTTCTGGCCGTTCGAGCCGATAGGTACTGTCGCTGTCGTCGATTTTGTGTGACCTATACGACAGCTGCTGGTGACCATCACTCGCCGGTTCGTGACAATTGCGTATGTGATGGTCCAGACATTCTTTACTGATGTATAGTTTGCCGCAGTCTTCAAATTGACATTTAAATACCTGTCGCCGACTACTCATTTTGATTACCGCCGTTGACGTCGGTCTTGACTCTGATGTCGATAAACTGATTCTTTTGGTTACTTTACTAGCAATTACTTGATCATCAAAGAGAATATCTTTGGTCTCTATGTTTGACAGCTTTACTTGCGGTACATTACGGATGAATTTGTTATGAATTTTTGATAAATGCTTCCGAAGATCGTCAAAGTCAAAGAAAAGCTGATAGCAATCATCTTCAATACAACGCAACCTATCAATAGAGTGATCGGACTTCAGATGATCGACCAATTCGTCAATGTCTTCGCTATTAAAATCGCAATCGTTTTCAAAACAATTGAATTGTTTTCCATTAAAACAATAATTATTGTCTGTTGTCTTCTGTTTGCTATAAGTCTTCTTTGAGTACAATAATTGTGATGTCTTTTTGCGTTCACTTTCAAAATCAAAGTCAATCTCTTTCAACAGTTTATGCGAATCATCACTCATTTGATCTACAATTTCAAACTTTTTTGGTCTTTTTCTTTTGCTATCGTCGACAACAATGCAATCACTTTTCCGGACATTACTATGACATTTGAAGACATGTTTTTCAAAATCACGTAAATCACTAAATAATTGATTACATCCCTCACGAGTACACATCTTACGAATGATTGCGTGACACGACTGCAAATGAAAGACAAAATCATTGATTTGATGACAATTGAAATGACAGTCTCTGACAAAACAGGGAAATCTTTTTTCTTGTATTTGTCTATTGATTTCATTTGTCTGTTGTTCACAATTATTGATATCTTTTGATTCATTAATTGTAATCAAATTTTTCTTTAAGACAATCGGTCTATCAGTCGATAAAATGTTTGCCTCGATGTCTGACTTCTTCAGTATTCGCCATTTGGTTATCGATTGATTAATGTCTTTATTAACAATATATTTACTAATAGTTTGTTTTTGTTTATTTGATCCACAAGTGACAACTTCTTCTGCTTTGTCCGAGATTTTGATAAACTTTTTATTTCTTTCTTTCCATTTCGGTATTTCTGTTACCACTTCTTGTAATTGATTGTCCAATTGATCCAATGTTTGTATGTCTTGTGATGACAATTGTTGTTCATTAATGATAATTGTCTTAAATGTCATCACTTTTCTAATAAATGTCTCAAATGTTTGCAAAACATCCAAACATTTCATTGCAAACACCAATTGATTGCAAAGTCTATTGTTTTCATTGATAATCTCATCAAACAAATCGTTGACAACTATTTCACACATCTTTATCTCTTCAAAAAACAATATATAAAATCATTTAATATTTATTGTAATTAATTAATTAATTATTAAATTTTTATTTATATAATATTTACAATTATTGTTATGAAATCAATGTTAACATACATTACGTGTTGACAAATGTGTAATAATTTACAGTAAATATAAACAAATAATAAATACAATGATTTCATAACACATTTGAAATTTATTTAAAATAAATATTATATTAATATTTAAATTAATATTTCGTATAAAATGTTTTTAAAGTAACGAAAAAAATGTGTGAAATAGTTGTCAACGATTTGTTTGATGAGATTATCAATGAAAACAATAGACTTTGCAATCAATTGGTGTTTGCAATGAAATGTTTGGATGTTTTGAAAAAATTTGAAACATTTGTTAGAAAAGTGATGACAATTAAGACAATTGTTATCAAAGAAACACAATTGTCATCACAAGAAGTACATCAATTGACTCAATTGGACGTTCAGTTACGGGAAGTGATGACACAACTGAAGCAAAAATCGGCGCAAAGTATGGAATCAAATGAAAAGGTGGATCAACTGATGGTTAAGAATATTATTGATAATAACGACAAACAAAGCAAACAAATATGGATTAAATGTAGTGATAAAGGATTCAAATGTATTCGCTGTCAACACATTAACGATACTATTCATGGTTTGATTAGACATCTGAAGACTAATCACTCCATCACTTATATTAAGTGTACAAACAATGGATGTAATGAAATGTTTCTTTGCGATCCTAACGTCGAGAAGAAATATATCTGTAATAAACATATGGCGCGAGAGTTCAACAGATCTGAAGAAGTACAGCAAAACAAATGTGTCGGTAAAGTAGTTATTAGACATAAAGATAAACCTATTGATTGTCAACTGATTGAAGAAGGGAAGAGAAAAAAATCAAAGGCTGTCACTGAAGATGATGTTCAACAAAACAGAGACATCGAAGTGTTGTCTATAAGACATGTGGATCAACCTATTGATTGTGAACTACAGACTTTGAGATCACAATTGACAAAATCAACGAAAACCTATAGTAAATTTGTTAAATCTATTGTTGAATTGCAAGTTAACGATAACAATGGATCAGATGATAACAATGATTTGTCAGCAGTGGTGACGGCAAAGACTATCACTGGAGATGATGTACAGCAAAACAATTGTGTTGGCAGAGAGTTAATTAAACTTACGGATCAATCTATTAATTGTGAACTACAGAGTCTGACAAAATCAACAAAAACTTATAGTAGAGTTGTTGAATCATCTGTTAAATTACAGGTGATCGACATTGGATCAGATAATGACAATGATTTATCAGATAATTGTCATAATCAGAGTCAAGATCATAGAAAAACAGTACAACAAATGACCAGCAATTTACATGAAAAGCGATTTCCATGTTTTGACAAAAATTGTGATTATAAAAGTTGTGATATTTCTGGATTCATCGATCATCTAAAGACATGTCATCCAATCACTCGCTTGCAATGCACTCACAAAAGATGTTATAAACTGTTTGCTAACGAAAAAAAATTAAAAAGACATTTACTGATGAAACATAAAACATATTTTGAAGATTTCAATGAAGAAGACATTGTTGACAATCGGCAAGTGTCGGCACCGAAAGACAGTGTTGACAATCGGCAAGTGTCGGCACCGAAAGACAGTGTTGACAATCGGCAAGTGTCGGCACCGGTAGTTAACAATCAGACAGTCATTGATTGTAAACAAACAACTGAACGTTTCAAATGTTATCACATAGATTGTGGCAAACGGTTTAATTTTAAGCAAGGTTTAGGCCATCACCTCATCGAAGGTCACGTGCGAACTGATGTCAACAAACTTGTCGCCAGAGATGATATATCATTGTCGACAAATGAATTGTGTCTAACGGATCAGATTATGTCAAAAGACGAAATATTGGTTAATACGGAACTAAGTTTGTCAGTCATGGATAAGACGACCAGTAAATTAATTTATAAACCATACAAATGTGATTACAAAGGTTGCGATTTTAGGGCCGCCTCTAATGCTAGGGTTGTCGGACATCAAGCTTATCATAATCAGTTGCTTCCATACGGCCGCAGCCGACCCTATCTATGTCCACAAGAGTCATGCGACAGACGATTTGTCAGCCGTGAGTCAATGGATCGACACCGGAGTCAGTTTCACAGTACTAACCGGACGTATCGATGCGATTATATTGGATGCCGTTGGTTAGCACCTAATGAGTTGATTTTGAAAAAACACATGCAATCTCATAAACAGTTGAGGTGCAGTTGGCCCGGATGTCAGTATAAGACAATATTTAAGTCTGTATTGAAAAAACATGAAGTGGTTCACAGTACCGAACGTAATTGGTTGTGCTGTTGGCCCGGTTGTGACTATCGGGCCAAACGTAAAAAAGAGTTGATAAGTCATACAGTAAAACATACCGTTACCGATAATAACTTTGTATGTGATTGGCCTGAATGTGGTAAACGATTTCGGACTGCATATACTATGAAGACTCATCAGACTATACATAAGGGAACAGTACCCGTAATGTCGTGTGAATGGGAGGGCTGTCTGTATAAGAGTATACGTAAACAAAATATGACACAACACATCAATAGTGTGCACTTGAAATTAAAACGAAAATAGTAGCAAAAATACTAAACATTAATAAATTAATTTATTTATTTATAATAATAATGTAATTTAATGTAAAACTACCTGTAATTGTCTGATTGTACTTCCAATGCATTTATACAATACTTGAGTATATCTCTAACTACAGTACAGTAGTATAGAATTTATTTGTTATAATTGTAAAAAACATTGTATAAAACAAATGTTTAAAAAAAAGATTTTTAATTAAGTAATTAATAGATTAATGAAATTATTTTTCCCCAATTGGTTTATCAATTAATTGTATGTGTAAAATACAATATTTTGTAAACGATTTGTTTGATAATAAAATAGTTAATATAATTGAATGGTCTATTAAATTGAAACTCTTATTATATTTTCAGTTTTCAGATAAATAAATAAAACAATTTACTCAATAGAAATTCAAATTAATTAATTAAAATTATAAAGATTACAATAATATGCAAATATTGTAAACTACCGGTAATTGATTGTTTTGATTTTATGTTTACTTTATTTTATGTTATAATACGGTAATTACTGTATGAGTAAGTATTGTATTTAATTATAGATTTTGTAAATTAATTTTAAATTAAGATAATTTTAAATTTCTTAAATCAAGTGTTTCTTTTTAAAAAAATATTATTAATATATTATTAAAAAAATATGATTTGTTTTCTAAAAAAAGTTTTTATTTATTTATACGTAATGTTTGTATCAATGAATGAATGAAAATAAATAAAAAGTTGTATAAATATTAGATAAAAACAAATTATTTTCTTAAATATGATTAATAATTAAGTAATTAAGTAATTGATTGAATTATTTGTTAATTTTGTTATCAATTGATTGTCACAGAAATGTGTGAAATAGTTGTCAACGATTTGTTTGATGAGATTATCAATGAAAACAATAGACTTTGCAATCAATTGGTGTTTGCAATGAAATGTTTGGATGTTTTGCAAACATTTGAGACATTTATTAGAAAAGTGATGACATTTAAGACAATTATCATTAATGAACAACAATTGTCATCACAAGACATACAAACATTGGATCAATTGGACAATCAATTGACAGATGTATTGACACAATTGAAGCAAAGATCGGTGGGAAGTGTCAAGTCTTATAAAAAACAATATATTACTGGAAATGCGGATCAAATAAGTGGTAAAGAGTTGGTTAATAATTCAAGAGTTGTTATTAATAAGCAATTAATAGTTAGTCCTAATGTTATTAGTGTTAAAGCAATTAAATTAACGACAAATGATATAAACAAATGTAAGCAACAATTAGATGAAAATGATAGACATATTAGACTCAATTTGAAAGACTCAATCACTCGTATTCATTGTACTCACGAGGGATGCACTCAATTGTTTGGTGACCAACACGACCTCAACAGACATTTACAGTCAAAACATAAGAAAATAGACAAAAAAAATTGAGAAAAATGAGAATAAGAGTAATAAGAAAAGTCAAATAACAAGAAAATTTTCTGAAATTTTGAAATTCAAGACCGATTGGGAACTAGATTTACACACTAATGTCATACATAAGAAGTTGGATTCAATTAAGTGTCACATCGAGGGATGCGATAAACTATTTAATGCAACCAATCGATGGATTTCAAAATATTACAAACGACACGTTTTGACACATTTTAATGATAATCCATTTAAGTGCGATTACGAAGGCTGTGATAAACAATATCTATTGTTATCATCTTTTATTAAACATAAAGAAATACACACCGGAGTAATACATTCATGCAATTATCCCAATTGTCACTATAAGACAAATCTTAAAAGATCATTGAAAAGCCATTCGTTAAGACACTGTAGGGATAGACCATTGTTGGAGTGTCATTGGGATGGATGTACTTTTAGTACACAAACCAAATCTAATCTCGACATTCATTTAATTAACAAACACTCGAACCGTATAGTTATGTGTGATTACAAAGATTGCGGAAAATCATTCAAAACTGTAGTCTATTTAAATGCGCATAAATTGCGTGTTCATAACAACAATAATATTAGCGATGCTTACCGGTGCTCGTAGCCAGAGTGTAATTATACAACAAAAATTAACATTATTTGAATAGCCATCAAAAAGTGCACAGCAATGATAAAAGCTATTGCTGTGAATATACTGGTTGTAAGTTTCGTACAAAACATTACAAAAGTATTGTCCGTCACAATGAAATTCATAATGACGTAAAAAACTACCGGTGCTCGTGGCCAGACTGTGGAAAACTATTTAAAACAAATAATGCACTTCAAAGTCATACGCAGTGTCACAGCGATAATAACTATGTCTGCCATTGGCCCGACTGTTCATATCAGACACCTATTAAAGGTAGACTCAAAGTACACATTAGTTACAAACACGAGAAAATTACGTATCCATGCGATTATGATGGTTGCGATCGGGTATTAAGCACCAAATATGTGTTGAATACTCACAAAATATTTGTACACAACAAACAGCCGGGTAACTACCAGTGCTCGTGGCCGGGCTGTGAGTACATCGCAAAAATAAAATCTAGTTTGCATTTACACTAAAGGATACACAGCGATGACAAAAAATATCGGTGCGAATATCCGGACTGTCAGTTCCGTACGAAACATCGAAATGTTTTGAATACTCACAAAGAGACCCATTCTACTGAACGAAAGTACCGGTGCTCGTGGCCTGACTGTGACCAACGGTTCAAGAGTAAGCATAATCTTATATCACATGAAGTGATTCATTCGGAACCCAAGTATGTCTGCCATTGGGAGGACTGTCAGTATAAGACTCATTGGAGTACTAACTTTAAATCACATTTGAATCGAAAACATTTAAAAGAAAATAAATAAATCACTGATTTGATCAAAAATTTTAACAAAATTTACAAATTTGTAAAAATTAATGCAACTATACATTGATTATCAGTCAATTTTAGATATAGTTGTACCCATTATTATGTAATTTTAATAAAAAATACTGATTCCTAAAATTAATATTAAACTATAAAAAATTAATTAATTTTTGTTAAATTATTACAATTAATATCCACTTTCTTTTTGTAATTTTGATAATAAATATGACATATAATTTAAAATAACATTTAAAATAAAGATTATCTTAACTGATGGACTTAAGAGTTAATTTTTTTTATTTGAATTATTTTTATAGTTTGTAGCAATGAATGAATTAAAAACAAATAAACATTGATTTGAAATGATTTTCAAAATATAACTTTGAATTGAATTTTGAATGAATTTATTAATATATTAATAAATAAATTTTTGGTTCAACTGTTTGTTGTTTTGAGTAATTGTTTGAGAAAAATGTATGAAATAATGATTTGAAAGATTTGTTTGCTGTCATAATCAATGAAAACATTAGACTATTATAAATAAAGTTTATATAAATTTAATTTTTATTTAATAAACTTTTGATTTTGAACTTTTTAAAAAAAATAATTTCAATATTTTCATTTAGTGTAAAATTTAATTGAAAATTGATTTTCTAATTTTATTTTTTTTAGATAACAAATTATATTTACTGTAAATAATTCAGTTTTTTAAAAAGTTAATACAAAAAAATGATTAAATTTATTATTAAAATTTTTTGTTTGTATAAAAAACATTTTAATTATTCAAATGTTTTTTAAATAAGTTTTTTTAGAGACCATTGATGTCTAAAATAATTTTAATATATCAAAAATTTTTTTTAATAATTTAACAAAATAAAAAGTTAATTTAAATAATAATTTCTTTCTAAACGAATAATTTAAATAATGTAATTTTTATTATTAAATAATTATACATAAATTTTTAACAAATTTCTAAATATTTATACATTATATAAGATATTATTATTTATATTTAGTTAATTTGAATATTATTTAAAATATTATAGATTCTGATTTTTTTTCCTTATTTATTATTCAAATAATTCAAATATAATTTCAATTTTAAAAACTTTTATATTTATTTATTAATATATAATGAGTTTCTATAGATATTCGCTTATTAGATGAGTATAAATTCGTATTTATTAAAAAATTAGAAATTAATTTCTTTAAAATAAAATTAACAAAAAACTTATACTTTGGTGTAAAAGTTTTGGTTTAAATATTAGTGGAAAAAATCACTTTTATTTGAATAAGACTATTATTTAGGTATTTTTAACAGAAAAATTAAAATAAAATCATTTAAATAAATAAATTTATGACTAATCAAAGCCCAAATATTACGGTATATTAGGTTCAGTGGTGTTGTTATTAATGGCAACAAAAGTTTTTTTTTAATACAATATATCATTATTTTTGTTGTTGTTGTTAACAATTGATTTAATATAGAAAGCTATAAATCAATAAAATTGATAAAACAAACAAAAAATTATATAATATAATAATAATAAAACAAAAAAAAGTGAGATTATTTTTTTATACATAAAAACAAAATATAAATATTTTTCATTTTCATTTATAAAATCTCTTCATTTAATTAACATAATATAGAATTAAATATAATATTTAAATATATATATAATTATATAAATAAATCTCGGGACAAAATATAATAATAATAATAAAATTATAAATTTGAGACTCAAATCACAGAAATATTTATCATTTTTATAAAATAATAATAAAAACAAATATAATTATAATAATAATGAAAACTTTTGTTCGAGTGTTTCACAGGTATTTGAAAAAAGGCTTTGAAAATAATGTTAATATTACTGTATAAATAGTAATAATAATAATAATAATAAACAGCTAAGTAAAGCCATCGAAAAATATTGGAGGACAGGTAGGTATACAAACAAACAAAAAAACGAGAAAATAATTAGTAAATAAAATTTATAATTTAAACTAATTATACAAATAATGCTATATAAGTTATAGAGTAAATTATATTATAAAAATTAAATTAAAAAAGAGAGCAAAAAACTAAATAATCCTAAATATTATAGAAAAATGAGTGAAAAATAAACTTTTTTTTATGACATTTTATGTTAGAAAGTTTTCTTTGTTTTCTTTAAAATAATTGTCTGGAAGTCCTATAAAATTATGTCATTAGGAGAGAGAGAGATAAATATATATAAAGAGATTGAAACTCATATTAGATATCAATATTAAAGATATATTTAAAAGACAGTCTTCAACATGAAAGCTGCAGCTATAAAGCGATCCATCGATTTGTTTCTCATATAAATTACTAAATCGTATATATATTACTATAACAATAATCTTATGAATATATTATTTATATATATATTTATAAATATAATATTAAACAACATGTCTTCTTATGAATTGAAGAAATCGTCGGCAAACGGATCCGATTTGATAATAAATATGTTTCTGTCCGGTGGAGATATATGGTCCTCGAGTGCTGCAGAGGTGGACATTGATTGTTGTGGTAGCGGTGTATCAAAATTAGATTCAAAATCCAGATCTAAAGTCGACGGCTTAGACACCATTGGTTTGTTGTTGTCGGCAAAGCCGTCGGGCGATGAAAACACTGAGGAAAAGTCGGCCACAAAACGTTTGTCAGCCGAATCAGTACTGGGAGTCGTCTCAGTTTCCGTTGTTACCGAAGACAAGTCAACCGTTTCGTTAATCCATTCGTATTTTGAGTTGATTTCAGACAATTTCAAGTCCTGTTGTCTAATGTTTGGCACCGTATCTGACAATAGTTTTGGCGTTGACTGACACGAATCATGAGGTGTATCACTGGTTAAAGTATTGTTTGGCGAAAAAACACCAAAATTTGTTGTCGTTTGTTGTGATTCACTCGATAACACCACAGATCTATTAGTATTGATCGCCGGAACTGACGATATGGACGACGACAGATGAGAGTCAACAAAACTACAGTTAAACGGATCATAATTTTTTGCGGACAACTTTCGCGCCATCGGTTGTGGCCGTACGACACCAGCAGAGTTGGTCACTACGGGAGGCGATGAGGCCGGTGGTGGCGGCTGTTGTTGTTGCAGTGGCATTGGGTTTGTCGGCACTTTTCTCTGTGGATTAGGTAATGGAGGCGCTGATGAATCACTCATTATATTAGCGGAATTAGTAGCATAGGAAAAGGTATTATTATTGTTTGGCAATATGTTTGCCGAAAACGGATCAAATGCCGACTGACGCGACATTGTATCAAAGCTCTGGTATCGATGCATTGCAGTACTATTATCTGGAAGTATTGTCCGTCTTCTGGGAAGCGGTGGCGCCAAGTCTGGTGTCGGAGCCTTTGGCGGCGGTTGCGGTGGCGTTTGCCTCATGAGATCACTGCGCGGCGGTACCGGCGGACAGCAATCTCGAGAGGGAGGTCGTGGTGGCGGCGGTGTTAGTGCCGATGGCGGTGCCGTTAATGGAAGTGGCGGCGGCGGTGGAGTTTGGCTCGTGTTTAAAGCACAGGTAGCGTTGTTGATGTTAAACGGATTGAACGGATTGGGAGAAAAGCGACTCGAGTTTGTCGACTCAAGTGAAGAAGTGGAACTAAAAGGATTGGCGGCTGAAGAATGCGGTCTTGCGGTGGATGGAAAAGTAGTGACAGACGACACGTTTGACTGGTTTTGGTGTGCGATAGAGACAGTGATTCAAAGAGAAAGAAAGTGAAACATTTATAAGAAAAAATGACACGAAATGGGAACAAATAAAGAGAAAAAAGCATTTATGGATCAAATGGATTGAGGATTTTTAGCAAAAACTATTTCTAAGAAATATAATCATTAATTTACATACTGTTTGGTCAGCAATAACACTGATTGGACCATAAACTGTTGGAACCGTTGATCCGCCAAAACTATTTGTATTGTTGGTGTTGGTCACAACAATATCGCCGTTCAAATCCCGTAGTGTCGGTGGCCTTTGCTTTTGATCCTTTTTTTGTGGTTATGATACAGACATATAAGAGAAACAGATGTTTAATAATACACATTATATACAATTTATTATATCAATAGATTAAATTAAAACTCACGCTAAAGAACAGCGACTTATCGAGAAAAGGCCTGTCCTTTCCTAACGGATCCAAATCGGCAAACATACTGAACATGTCGTTCAAACGATCTGTCGATTGGTTAATATCACTGATACTATCGCTGAGAGTGCTGGGCGGCGGAGTCGGTGCTGCAATGTTTGGCGGCGCAGGAGATGACGTGCCCGACACTTGACTACTAGTGGACACCGACGACGACGTGTTTGACCAGATTGTTGACGAATCTCTTGTGCCGTTAAAACTTTGCGCCCAATTGTTCGTATTGTTGAACAAATCGTTCAAATTATTACTATTGTTGTTGTTTTGTTTTGACATTTGGCCAAATGTTTGGTCAAATTGCTGTGAATTTCGGTTACTATTATTGGACACTATTATTGGCTGTACTGTCGAGTCGTTAAACACCGACTGATTATTGTAACGACTGTTATCCTGTTGACTGAAGAGGAAGTTTTGGCGCTGCTGTTCACTGTTGAGTGGATTATCAAATGAAAAATAAAATGGATGTCCGGAACCAGTATGTGATTGTTGTTGATGTTGTTGTTGTTGTTGTTGCAAATGATGGTATTGTTGCTGTTGTTGTCGATGCTGTGGTTGATATTCTTGACCACTACTACCAAAGCTACTATTTAGTGAGCTATGATAAGACTTGGACTGTAGTGACGAATTGGATGTCGAACTAGCATTAAAATCCGATTGACTACTACTATCAGTGGTGCCATTATGATGGTTGTCCACCAATGAGTCAAATATCGAGTTACTAATTGAGTGGATCTCAGCAAAACAGGCGTAACTAATTGAGATGTAAAATTCAAACGGGTATTAAAAAAAGGATAATTCGTATTTAAACTATTCATTACCGATCAGCTGATGAATTATTGGAACCATTGGTTGACGGATTGGTGGCAATAGTAGACGCCAGATGTTGCATATAACCGCTAAGTGGTGTTGTATTAGTATTGTTTGGTGTGACCGGTGCCGCAGCCGGTGTAGATGTCAATTCACTGCTACTGGTGCTGATGGCGGGCGACGGCTGCTGTTGTTGATTCAATTGTGAAGTACTTTTCTGTATAAGAATAACAAAAAAAATCAAATGACATAAATTACATAATAAATTACTTTTACTGATATGTGAAACAAACAAACATTTAGTAAATGTTGTGAATCACGTCCTGAAGTACCAAACGGCGAATTGAGTGCCACCGATGATGATGACGACGACGTGTTGCCAAAACTCGACGATACAGTCGGAGTTGTTATGTGTAGTGGTTGTTGCAGTTGTTGTTGCTGTTGTTGTTGTTGCTGCAGATTTTGTTGTTGTATTTGCAGTTGTTGTTGATTCTGCTGCTGCTGCTGGTGGTGATGATGATGGCGTGGTTTTTGTGCGATAAAGTTATTATTGCTTTTAGTCTTCAATTGTATCACAAACGGTTTGCTACCAAAATCGGCATTATTTCTATTAGTATTATTCGTATTATTATTGTTGGAGTTATGGTGTTGTTGTTGTGGTGACGCTGTTGAAGTCGATGTATTGTCGTCATCAAAGTTAGCCCAACCATCGGAAGACACCGACTGTGATCCGAATGATGAGACAAATGGATCCGCTTCTATAGTTGTAGTCATGTTATCGATGGTCAGCTATTTTTTTATTAAGAATAATAAAAATTAATTATTCGTCAAATTAAATATTTTTAAAATATATAACAAATTTATTTTTAATTTAATATATAAATAACTATTAAAATAGATTTAACTACCGATGCTTTGAGAGTAATAGTTCACTTTAGGATTATAATGTAAAACAGTATAACTGATAAGTGAAAAGTATTATTTTATTTTTTTGAAAAATAAAATCAATTTTATACACCAAATAAACTTTCAAAAATATTTCAACATTTCTTATCTGTTAAAAAAAGTAATTTTCCAACATTTTGGTCGTTGAATACATATTAATATCACATACAATCTATCACTACTTGCTTATGAACAGGTCATTTAATACTATACTTAATTTTATCAATAAAAAATAATATTTACTAAAAAAGCTATAGTATCAAAACACCCACTTTTAATCTTATTTTTATAGTATAGTATTGATTCTATACTATAGAATAACAAAAATAATTTTGTTTTATCTTTTGAAACTAAATTCATAAAAATATTATATCAAAAAACTAAAAATATAAAATTTTCTGTATATATAAATTATATTATGCAGTATAATAATACTGTATATTATTAATATAATAGCACCGGTATGTTAATCGTTACCTTTTCAATGTTATCCCTTTTCATATTCCAGTCGGACTCAAACACACTGTCGTCGTGTGGCTCAAAGTTGGCAAACAGGTCCAGTTCCTCGTTAACAACAGAACCTGTATGTGTAGTACTACTACTACTAGCAGCACCGGTAGCAGAAGCATAGCTACTCCTGTTATGGTGTAGTGATGTCGTCGTTGTCGGCGGCGGTGGCGCCGGTATTGTTGGCACGTTTGGTGACTCAGAACGCGACGGTCTCAATGTCACACTGGACTCGCGTCGCGGCGTCGTTATCGTCGACGAAGACGACAACGACTTATCCTCGTTTATGGCACCGATAGCTATATGACTATTGGTTTCGGTGACCACACTGGCTGTGGAACCGATTGTTTGCAAACTAATTGGCGAACTGTTGACTGCGGCGATAGAGTTGGTAACATTGGTGCTCTGATTGGTCAGAATTTCAGCCCTTTTGCGTTTAAGTGTCGCTGCAAACAGCTGTCCGATCGTTGACTATAATATTAAAAAATGCATACAAAATAAATTAATTGTTATTAAACAAAAATATTTTTGAAAACAAATTAAGAGTTTCCTAAAATCATTACCATTATAGGCATGGCTTCCTTTTGAGTCTATTTTGTTTAGTAATGGTTCAGTGATAACCATAATTCATTAAAGCAACAAAAAAAAAGACAATAAACAAAAAAACATCATATGATTAACATAAAAAAATATATGATTTGTCTATTTTAAGGTGAGATATCTCAAGTGATGTGATTGCAAACCTTGAATGCAATAAACTGATGGCCAGTACTACTAGAGCCGAACACATAGCCAAAGGCTCGACTGTCCGTTTCGTCGCGCGATATGAACGATATTTGTGGCACCGAATGATGGTATAGTAGTTCCGATGACTGGGCGTCCCTGATCTTAATGCCGTCAAATGAAATAAATAAATGAGTTTTGCGTTTGTGACCTCCCAGTCCTCGTTGGAGTATCTGATCGACAAACACATAAACATACATTTATATATCAAATTTATTATTATTAATAAATCAGTAAAACTTTTATAAATAAATATATTGTATATAATTAGATAAGCGAGTTATCATTTTTTTTTTTGATGAAAATTATCAAATAAAATAAGTCACAAGAATTACATTAATTTTTTATGTCAATATATATATAATGAAAATAAATAATATATACTGTAATTATGACTTATTTTTTATATCAATGATATAGTTTTTCCTTTATTGTACTAAAATATAATTTTGTTGAATTTTATTAATTAAAAATAATGTTAGTTTAATTATATGTATTTGATAATCTAATACAATACATAATTACAAATTATTATTAGTAGTAATAGTAGTAGTAACAGCCAGTCAACTAAATAATAGCACTATTTTTTATGATATTATAATATCAAAGTATTTGAAATCAAATTGTTAAACAAAAAATACTTAATTAATAATTACTTAATAATAAAATACAGTAATCATTGAATTATTATTAATGCGAATCATTGAATAGTCATGTCTTTTTGTATGCATGTATAGTATGGTATGTGTCATCCAAACATGTATTATAATAATAATTCGCATAATTTTAATTTATGGGGAAATAACTAAACGTATAATAAATGAGATCAATGACACTTACACAACACATATGCGGTTTGATTATCGATAGGATTTTTAATTGATTATGTAATCAAAAACAATTTTTTAGCAAATTTGTATGGGTTTTCCCTTACAATAATACTTACAATAATAATATATTAAATTTTAAGGTCTGTTTCAATTTATATTTTGAAAACATTATACTGTACATATAAAAAATAACAAAATTTAATCAAAAGATAAATATTGAATATAAATCAATTGGATTATACATTGTCATCAAAAAGCCACATCTAACTTTACTTTTAAAATAATATTATTTTTAAAAATAATTATATATAGAGTATTTATATTAGATTTAGATAAACAATCAAATCTAATATATCAATAAATTGCTTAACACAATATATATATATTGCAAATCAATAGGAGGTATGACCTAATAATAGAGAGAGAGAGAGAGAGAGAGAGAGAGAGAGAGAGAGAGAGAGAGAGAGAGAGAAAGAAAGAGAGACTGTATGCATATAACACCCGGTTAGCTAAACAGTAGGAGTATTTAGTCTAACTGTAAATTTAATTTAGCATTTAACTATTTAAATAAATCATGATTTAAAGTGATAAAAATATGTGTACTAAAGCGTACTATAATTTATAGACTTTAAACTCAATATTTAGATAATTATTTAATTAGATTTTGCTATTAGTCTATTAAAAACAAAATTTTCTCCTTTTTAAAAATTTTATGTTATGTTCAACGATACGTTTATAATGCCAATAATTTGTGCAATTAATTTATAATAAATTTAAATATTTACATATTATGGCTATTAAAAAGTAATTTCAAAATTATGTATTTATTCAACAAATTTAAAAAATAACAAAATATATAATTATTTATATATTATGTTAAATAAATATTTTATTTTCTCATTTGTTTCATTCAATCAATACTTTTGTATGTATTAGATATTTTTGTATAAATAAAAAACATAAATTGAGGGGAAACATGCATATTAATAATTTTTATACACTTAAATAAGCGGTTATATTATATAACTTATATAATAATTGTCAATCAAATATATTAATACAAATTTTATAGATTACAACACGTCATTAAAAATCAGTTAAAAAATTTTCGTAATAAAACTAATAAAAAAATGTTTTGGGAAAACATTTTTGGTATAAAAAACAAAATAATAAAAAATACTAACACAACAAGCAATTAAAATTATTAAATAATAAAATCGCTGAAAGCATTAAAAACTATGATAATATTAAAATAAATATTTAAAAATATAAATTATAAAAACTCAAAAACATAAATTTGTATATTTATACAAACTTTTGTTTTAAAATTAAAAACGCTATTAATCACTTTTATAATAATAATAATACAACTACTGTTATTTAACATTATAATTATAAATTACAATAACTTATAATAAAAATAATAATATCTATTTATAAGTTTATAAATTACAAAAATCTATTGACATTCAATGGATCTATAAATCAAATAAAACTATTAATGAATAAATGTTAAAATAATATTTAAACAAAAAAATAGTAATTACTATAAATTATTTTAATAATAAAATAAATGAATTAAATAAATAAAAAACAAATTTTTTTATCATTAATACCGATTAGTTGGCCATACCTTTAATTTTTTGAGACTCTGCTGACACATTTGTTCGCCACGGGCTTCGGCCACAAACTCGTGTCCAATCAGTTTGGCCACAAACTGGACGCCTTCGTCGATAAATCGGTCGTCGCTTTGGTCGCCACCAGTGGCCGCTAAACTATTCACGCCGTTAGACTTGGCCGACGATTGACCGCCGCTAGTTGGTGTCGACGCAGCAGAACTAGACAACTGACCGCTACTATTACTACTGGCCACGGCTGGCCATTTATGATTGGCCAGAGCTGATGACTGAGATTTTTTGCGCGATGTACCACTTTTATGGCCGCCGCCGCCGCCACCACCACCGCTGACAGTGGCGACGTCTCCATTGAGCTTGTCGTCGGCCGCGGGGGCGGTAGTGATGGTCTTCGAGCGGCCAAAGAGACGCTTTTTGCCGAAAGTTAATGTTTTGTTCATCTGTTGGTCAATACTACTACTACTACCACTATCTCTACTGTCTATCGGCGGCCCGTCGGTCGCTGACCGCTCTTTATTACTGTTGCTGTTATCGGTTGCTAATGACTTGTTTTTGTTATCTTCATCGGGGTCTTCATTGTTGGTATCAATTTGATAGTCATTGTCATCATCGGTATGTGTATCGGTGTTATTGCCATCAAAATGATTAGCAATTTTTGTATCCATTTTTGAAATAATTATTATTGTATTTATGGCCAAAAAAAAATATTGAATAAAATATAAAGTAAATAATAATAAATTATTTATAATTTCGTAAATTATATTTTCAAATTAAATATTTATTTAGTTTTTGTGTATATTTTTGGTGTCAAATTGAATTGATATGTAATTTTTGCATTCAATTAATATTATAATAATAATACTGATATGATTTCATATATATAATGACAACAATAATAACAAACAAAAATAATTTATTCAAAACAATTATAACATTTGCAAAACAGAAATCAAACACAAAAATTATAATAATAAATAAATATTATAACTATTATTATTATTATTATAAAACATGGTAAGCAAGCACAAAATTATTAATATTAATATATTGTACAAACATATTAATAAATTAAAATAATACACAATCAAAAAAAAAGTAAATTAATCAATCAATTTGTGCAATACTACTACTATTTTTTTTAGTAATAAAATTATTACAACTAATAACTACTATATAGTTATGGTTAATAATAATAGACAAAAAAATTATTACTAAACAAATCATCATGCACACAATTTATGTGGCAATTAAAATTATTATTTTTTCAATGTATTAAATGTGATGCATTTTTTAAAACAAAACAAAAATTGTTATTTTATAATAAATTATTATATTGTCAATAGTGTTAACATAAAAATAATAATAATAATAATTGTGTGATATATATTAAATTTCAACAAGCAATTTTTGTTTTAATATTTATGATTTTTTATAATAAAAAAAATATAATAAATTATTAAATACATGTATCAAATTATATCCAAATTTTTATTTTTTTTTTGTATAATAGGTAGACGACACACACACACACAATAAACTAGAAAATTATCAATTATTTATAACTATTATTATTATTATTATTAAATTTATTTATAATTATCTAAATCATTACAACAATAGCGGTTATAACAATAATAATAATAATAATTGTAACAAGACAATTTATTATTATTATTATTATGAATTAATAATACTATCATATTATTATTATTATTATTATTATATAAAGAGTATTTTCAACTTGGAGTAAATTTACAAATAAAATAATTGATAATAATAAACATGTTTAGTTTGTTAAATACATATCATATATATATATATACACACATTGTCTCAATTATTATAATCACTAATAAAATAGATATTATTATTATTATTATTATTATTACATATTAGTTGTTGTTATGATTGAGAAACAAAATTTGTTGTGTAGTGTAGTGTTGTTGTTGTTGTTGTGGACGTGAAAGACATTTGATTTGATTACAGAGTCTATGGCATAGCAAACATATAATACATACAAACAGAGTGTATGGCCTAATATAACGCCCCGTTATGTCTGTGTGTGTGTGTAATAGTGTTTGTATTATATGTACAAATAGTGTACACATACTCTACGTCCCGATAAAAAATATATATACAGTATATCTGTAACACTGTTCAGTGTGTATAACATTGTACAATACGTTACAGTATAGACCAATTAAATGCAATGAATTTTTATTTAATTTTAAAAGTTTTGTGTGTGTGTGTGTGTGTGTGTGTGTGTGTGTGTGTGTGTGTGTGTGTGTGTGTGTGTGTGTGTGTGTGTGTGTGTGTGTGTGTGTGTGTGTGTAATTAAATTTGAATTGTAATTATAAATAAATTTGAATAATTATTTATCTAGATTATCAATATATATATAAGTTTCAAAAATTTCTAAATTACTTAAAAATTTTAATATAAAACTAAATAATAAATTTAAATTATAAGCTAGCTACAATATTGCATATTGTACAGTATAAATTACATGTTTTTAAATAGGTTTAGGTGCAAAAAAATAGCTAAATGTTTAATACTAGTACAGTATATAATGAAAGTTTGTAATTATATATACGAATTAATGAACATGTTACATTAAACAAACAATATCATATACAAATTGTATAATACAATATATATTTATTATTTAATCAGTGTAATTTTATATATAAATAAAAAATATATCTTTTAATATATTTTGTAAAACATTTATGTTGCACATCAACTGTTAGTTTTTATTAAATATGTTACTTTTAATTTTTTAAAAAATTATTTTAATAATTTCAATAATCGCATCGCTGATAGATATTTACTATGTGTGGTAATCATCATTATTGAGAATTTTATAAAAAAAAATTAAAAAAAATATGAGACAAAATTTGTTGTTGTTGTTGTTTCAATATAAGGAAAATAAAATAAAACTAAAATTTTTATATGTTATAATTTATTATACACTATATATACCGGTATATATTTAATACAGTATTATTGTGGCTTTTTTACAAATAAAATATTAATATATTGAGACACGCATTTAAGGCTAATGAAAATACCCTAATGGCTAATACAGTATATATAGATTATATGATATGATAGGGATATGATGGTAATCGATATATATATATATATTGATATGATATATAATAAATGAGTTAAATATTTATTGATATAACTGGTTTTTCATAGACACAACATACATATTAATTTATAAATAAAAAAATATTTAATAATTTAATAGTTATTAATATTATTTTTTATTGTATATTGATTTGTGTGACAAAACTATTAAATATTTAGTGTATATAAACTTTTTTATTACAGAATAACTTCTATGATTATATGCATTAGTTATATACAGTATTTACTGTATTTACAGCACACACACAACACACACACACACACACACACACACTAGCCTTTCATTTCAATGTCATTAATTTTTGCAAAAAAATATACAGTATATACAATATATTTATCTATTTATTGTATGGCATTATATTATATATTAATAGATAAATAAAGAATATACTGGTAATAGCATTGAAAAAATATATATTGTATTTTAAGCTAACATTCCTCTCCCTCACGCACTGTTTGCTTAACATATTTATTATAATAATACAGTAAATTATAGAAATTAATTAATTGTTGAATTTGTTGAAAACAATGTAAAGTAAATGTAAATTATTAAAAATGATAGTTAATTACACTTACCGTTATATGTTATTCCTACTAAACAATAGTATTGATTCTACTGTATGTACTCTATATATACAGTTCACCGGGAGGTGATAAACCTGATAACAAAATTAATAGTAATATTAGTATCCATCAAAAAATTACTACTAAAATACTTCATTGTGTACACTACTATCTTATAAATTTTCAATAAAATACAAAAATAGAAAACTACATCAAATTGTGAAATAAAATACTAATAATACTTTATGCAGTTATACAAGTATCTTATAAGTACATAATTTTTAGCATATTTATTGGCATATCATGCAGTGTGTGTGTGTGTGTGTGTGTGTGTGTGAGAGAGAGAGAGAGTGTGTGTGTGTGTCTATGTGTTTAATTTATAACACCTTGAAGTTTGCTGTTACCAAACATTGCCAACAATCCCCAAAATACAGTATTATTATTAATGATATGTATTTACTTATATATTTTACTTAAAATACTGTAGAGTAGTGTAGGAGTGTATGTAAAAATGTATTAATAATGTTTATTTTTTATAGAAAGTTAATACATGTTTAGGAAATTAGCAATTTATTACTTATGTTATGATATGTGTTTGTTTTACCTGTTTTTATGTCTGATTAAATAAAAACTTTAATTATTTTTTAAACTTTTAGTTATCTAATTTATTTTCTTAGTAAATTATATTTAATGCGAAATTCTAAATAATAAATATATTTGTTTTATAATTTATTATTGCAACAAAATAATATAAAAATCTTTTAATTTTTAATTATAATATCTAATGTTGACATAAATAAACTATAATGTTTATAATTATTTTTAATAAGTTTATATTTAATAAATCATGAAATGTAGTGAAAATTATTACAAAATCCATGTTATTTTAATTATGCTATTAGATTAAATGCTATTATCTAATTAAATTAGATTTTCATAATTTTCTTTTTATTTATTTTACATTAATTTCTATCAACTTTTTTTTGCTTTTATTTATTTTAAATATTTATACTCTAAATCTACTCTAGCTTTAAATCTAAATTCTTGATGTATAATGCAATTTTAAAAAATATAATATAAGATTAGTAGATAATTGCCCCTGATCACTGTTAAAATAAATGACTATTAAATTCCATATATTTTTTAAAAATTAGTATTTAAATAATAAATAAATTTATATTTATAAATTTACTTTTTTGATTGATAACAATTATGTTTTTGATTGAATGCTAAATCAATTACATATGTTGCATATAATTTATAAATTAATATATTATTTTTATTGAAATTAACAAAAAATAAAAATACTAATATTTTTATTTTATAAATATTTTAGTTTTTAACTTTAAATATTTTTTTCCAAAGAAACAAAAATTAAGTTTGAAATATTTATAGTATTTTGTTATTATTATTAATAATAATATTATATTAATTAGTAATTACAGTATTATTTAAATATATTACACGGCGTAATATTTAAAAGCAATATTTGTAAAATCTCATCAATAAATTATACAATATTAATATCAATATAAAATTAGTAAAAATCACTGTAGTGTTAGACTATTTATAATAAACATTATGACAAAACCACTGGCCATTGCCATAAGCTGTACTATCGGTGCCAGTTTGCAGACCCGATGTTTTTGTAATAATTCAAAAAATACAATATACAAGACACTGCCGGAGGACAGTGCGCTAAACACAATGACAGTCAAACTGGTCTCAATAGTTGAATCTAGAGAGCCTTCGGCCACAATGATTACTAATAGTAGACCAGTTGGCGACAGTGCGGCAAACAATGTTATGTGTAGCACCAGTAGTCCAATGGTACGGCATATTTCGTAAAGTTCAACACTTATTGTCAACGCTATGACCAACTTATGTGATGTTATGGCTAGAAATACTGTCCACATCTTAGACGCATCGGTTTGTACGCCAATGGCTATGCCGTCAAACAGACAGTGAACGGAAAATGTCAACACAATGACCACTCCGTGTACAAGACGTCGCCAGAAGGGCTCAGTTAACGATTGGTTGTTTGATCCGGTATTTAGTACTGTATATCAGAAAATATAATAATAATTGTCTGTAAATCTAACTGTTTGTTACCATTAGTCGGATGTATCCGGACTGACACCCGTTGCTGTTTATGATCCAACTGTTTGTTGCACTGTACGGACGGCCTATTTTTGTCGGTATCTGTTGGCAAACTGTTTAAACCAATTGATGACTTAGGTGTTGCCTTATCCACAATACTATTGTTTATATAAATAAATAATATAATATACTGTATATATGATTAAAAAAACAATTAATTGCCAATGAAGTGCCAAACTCTACCTACCAATCGGGACATCCAATTATATAATCCATCAGTACATCGGTAGAGAAAATCAAGAAAAAACCGAAACAAATAATCAAATCGAGAAACGGTAAACCATTAGGTCGACCGTCCGAATTGGCCCCAAATATCGAGTGATTACTTGTGAGGTAGACATCAAAATTGGTCCGCACTTCGGGAATCATGTGTGCCATTACCGTAAAAAATAAGACACCACCGCCTAATTGGGTGACCAATTGTACGCAATAGTTATCGGCAAAACTGAACAACTTTTCACTACTTTCACTATCATTGTCGTCGATAGCAGTATTGTTATCATTGTTTGTCAAATGCTGTCTTTGTTTGCGATATTTGCGTTTAATCTGTGATCGATACCAAATAACAGGTACCGTTCCGGCCAATAGTGTCACCAAAAATAATATTGAGGCCAACAGTAGACGAACTATTAATAAACTCATCCACAAAAAAAACACAAAAAGTATTTGATTTAATATTTAAAGTTTTAATAATGTTATGATTAATTGCAAATACAGTATAAAAACCGACAAATTTTCTTATTATAGTTTTGTCGGTTTGTCTTACAATACGACAATTGTTTTTAAATGTGTCGCGCGATTATCATAATTATTATTAATTTAATTAATTAAATATAATTAATAGTAAATTTTATATATAGTAAATATATAGAAATATTAATCGCGTGCCAACAAGTGGCAGCTATACTATACAACAGCCTTTATATCTGGTAGATATAAAATATCAATAAACTTCTATAATATTAAATTTTATTTTATTAATAAACTATAGTTTATATAATTTTAATTTTATTATTTATTATTAAATTTTGTTTTTCTTCACAATTGTTTCACTCATTTGTTTTAATGGCCGGTTATGAGACCACAGCCACCATATTGTCATTCTGTACGTATGAATTGGCTTTTAATCAGAATATTCAACAAAAACCGTACGAAGAAGTCAAGTCTGTCATCGACTTGAATGGACAGATCAGTTACAATGATTAATCACTTCTGCCATATTTGGATTCATGTCTTATGGAAACATTGGGCTTTTATTCGCCGACTTGAACGAAGAACCATCGATGACTATAAACTGGGAGACACTGGTATCACAGTATATAAGGGATAACCGATAGAAATTCCCATTCATGCTATCCATCACTCGAAAGAGTTTTATACAAATCCATATGAGTTTAAACCGGAGAGGTTTATGCCTGAAAACAGATAGAATATAATTCATTATACATACCTTCCTTTTGGTGTCGGTCCTCGAAATTGTATTGGTATGCGATTTGCATTACTTGAGGCTAAGTTAGTTTTTTGCGTACATTATAAAAAATACCGACTTTTCCGACCGACAAAACAGATGTTCCGCTAAAATACAAGATATCTTAACGACCGCTGAAAAAGTTGTCGTCGGTATTGATCATAGAAAGTAGAAATTTTAATAAAATATTTATTTAAAGTTTTGTTTACCAACCAATTGTATATTTTAGTATTTTATTATATTATATAATTTTTTTTATCTATCTAATAAAATGTAGAATATACTTATATTAATACAATCTATTGTATTTAATGCTTATTTATTAAAAATAATGCTAAATTAAATATAATAACTTATTTATTAGTTAAAATTGAAATAATTATTTATATAATTTTTGTTAATTAGGTTTAAAAACTGCTTTAAAATGCTAAACATTTTAACAGTTTGTATGATATTCTATAAGGCGTTGTTCACATATTACGTTCGCACTTGAGGGAAGGGGGGGGGTTGGCCAAAGCGAACAATTGCGAACATAGGGGAGGGAGGGGGTCTAGATTTCTTAAAAAGTGCGAACGTAATATGTGAACCACGCCTAAATATATTTTATTTAAATTAATAATTTAATTCATATTTATAGCTATATTAACTCTAAAATTAAAATTAATTAGAAATATTAATCTTAATGTTGTTATCTTAAATATTGTATTTATAAACTGGTTTACTATAATTTATTAGTTTAATAACTCAAAATATTTTTAGTTATTAATATTCATTTTAACACTTTATTGACATCTTTCATAAATATTATTATTGATTTTTTTTAACTTGATATATGTCTAATAATTATACTTAATAAACAGTACTAGGTTTAATGAAACTTAACTATATTATTAATATAATTAAAAAACACAATAATTATTACAAAGCATTTATTTAATAAGTTTTTTTTCTTAAATTAATGTTTAATGATTAAAAAAAAATTTTAGACCTGTTTTGAATTATAATAGTAATAAGTATTAATCAATAAAATGTTTATTTATAACTCAAACTTATTTTTTTTTTAATTTGAAGTAATTTTTTCATATATAAGTATATTCTATAAATACAAGTTAACATTTAGAAATATTTGACTAATTGGTATATATTTTTATATAAAATAATATTTTAAGGAATACTATGGATCTATTATTTTCATTTATTTCATTTGTATTTGCATTAGTAATTACAATGCTTTATCGGTACATAAAAATAAACATTGTTTATATATTTAATTTTGTTTGTTTTTGTCATTATTATTATGAAACAGATATTTGACACGAAATGTTGACTATTGGTCCAAACGTGGCATCAATGGACCCAAACCGGTGCCTATATTTGGAAATTTGTTGGAATTATATTTTACCAGATCTAAGATAATTACAGAAATAAAATGGTTTGAAAAATATGGCAAAATATATGGGTAAATAAAAATTAAACAAATAAATAAAAAACAATAATTATATATATGTATAAATTTATATATACAATATATTAATATAAATGATTTACTTTAGAATATCTAACAATAATAGGATATAAATTGTTATAATTTAGATATATTGGTGAAACTGGTCCCATACTGACTGTTGCTGAACCCGAACTCATCAAACAGATATTGGTTAAGGACTTCCATATATTAGCCAATAGAAAGGATCTTAAGATTTTGCCACCAGATCTGAGCAAAATATTAGTCAATCTGAATGGCGATGACTGGAAACGGGTCCGATCGATAACGACGCCTACATTCACTTCGGGTAAAATTAAACGAATGTATCCATTGATGAAACAATGTGTCGAAGATTTTGCCGAATATTTGCGTCCATTGGCTGACCAAAGATCACATATAGATGTGAAGAAACAGTTCGGTAATATTACATTGGATATGATATCTACCTGTGCTTTTGCTACTAAACTTAATGTACACAATGATACGGAAACAAATATGTACGTTAAATATGCTACCGCAGCCTTCAATAGTAATAAACTAATAGATTTAGTTCAGATGCTGATACCAAATAAATTAATAAAATTATTGTATATATTGGGTCTATTCAAAAACCTGTCCGCAGATTTTTTTATTAAACATTTACAACAATTACTTAAAAATCGTCGCAATAATAGAGATAAACAATATAATGATTTGTTTCAGTTGCTCATTGAAGCCGAAAGTGATGACAAAAATATGATAAATGAAAACGATATCAATGAAGCACATCATGTCTATGAAAGTTTGTATAGATTTTTAATATTTTAATAATAAATATATTATATGTAAAACTCGTTTATTTAGACGCCGAAGAACTGGAATACCAAAAACGTGCCCTAAATTTAAGATTAATTAATAAAAAGTTAACCGAAGAAGAAATTATATCGCAATCAATATTAGTATTATTGGCCGGTTTTGCCACAACAGCCGTCACATTGTCATTGTGTTTGTATGAATTGGCACTCAATCAGGATTGTCAACAAAAATTGTATGATGAGATCAAGTGTGTCATCGACTCTAATGGACAGATCAGTTACAATGAATTATCACTTCTGCCATATTTGGATTCATGTCTTATGGAAACATTGCGCTTACATTCGCCGGCCGAACGACTTGAACGAAAAACCATCGATGACTACAAACTTGGAAACACTGGTATTACTCTATATAAGGGACAACAGATAGAGATTCCTATCTATGCTATCCATCACTCGGAAGAGTTTTTTACTAATCCCTATGAGTTTAATCCGGAGAGGTTTATGCCTGAAAACAGACATAATATCATTCCCTATACATACCTGCCCTTTGGTGCCGGTCCTCGTAACTGTATTGGTATGCGGTTTGCATTACTTGAAGCTAAATTAGTTTTGGTAGACATTATAGAGAAATACCGATTTTTTTCGACCGACAAAACAGATAATCCGCTAAAAATTAAGTCTAATCTCATTATTACTGCTCCTGAAAGGGTAATCCTCGGTATTGAACACAGATATTGCTAAAATATTATGAATTATTTTAATTATTTTATGTATGAGTTATTTTAAAAACATTTTTAGCTAATAATTTATTAATTAAAATTATAAAAAAATATTTTTAAAAGTAATTAAACTATTTTTATGTATATATTTTACAGGTATATATAGTATTATTTCTATGTCTATATATCAAATTAAGTAATATTATCAAATAGTAAGTTATTACTAAACTTAATAAATTCATATTTATTTTTAAATATTTTATTAAAATTTTATGATAAATATTAATATTTTGGTACTTCTTTGTGATAATAATAACAGTAATAATTGGCCTATTTTTATATTAATAAAAAATAATCAATGATTGTTTTGTCAGATTATATTATTTGCAATCATTAATAGACAACATTTTTTAACATTTTAAAATAATTATTATAATGGAATTTACTTATAATAAAATTCTATTAAGAAATTTACACTGATTAATTTAGAAATTATTTGAGTAATGAAAATATTTATTAAATACAATTGTATAACAATTTAAATGTTATTATCTGTAAGATTTTATTCATAAACTGATTCAATAATATAAAGGTGTTTGCATTAGTTTAATAGTCTTAAAATGTTTTTATAATCATAATTGTTAATATAGCAAGTCATTCATAAACAATAAATTATAAAAAAAATAATTAGATTTTGAAGTGATATATGTTTAATAGTTATAAATATATAATGTATTAGGTTTAATAAATACTAAATTATATTACTTATAAAAATAACATGAATATATAATAAGTCATTATTATTAAGTGCATATTAGAAAAATATTTATTTATTTATTAGACTTATTTTTAAATTACAATTTTTCATTAAATATTAATTAATAGATTGTTATTTTTTAAAACGATCACAATATATAAAATTTTCAAAAAAGATTTTTAAAAACCAGAATAATCTATAAATACAAGTTAAAATTTAAAAATTTAATTATTTAATTAATCATTAAAATTTATTTCAGTAATTTATAAGTTATATATATATATATATATATATATATATATATATAGTATTTCCAGTATATAATATGGATGAATCATTTTTATTTATTTCAATAGCATTTGCATCAGTAATACTATTGATTTATCGGTGCGTTAAAATATTGCTTATATATATGAATATCATTTTTTTATTTATTAATTATTATGAAACAGATATTTGACACGAAATTCTAACTATTGGTCAAAACTTGGCATCAATGGACCCAAACCGGTGCCTATATTTGGAAATTTATTACAATTGCATTTTACCAGATATAAGATATTAACAGAAATTCAATGGTTTAACAAATATGGCAAAATATATGGGTACATAAAATAAAATACAATAAAACTAAATATACTGAATAATAATAATAAACTAACAATAATATCATTAATAATATAATTGTATAATTGTCTGATCAGATACTATGGTCAAAGTGGTCCCACACTAACCGTTGCCGAACCCGAACTCATCAAACAGATAATGGTTAAGGATTTCCATATATTTCCTAATAAATCTGTCCGAAAGAATCCGCATCCAGTTATGAGCAAAAATTTAGCCGATCTTAATGGCGATGACTGGAAACGGATCCGATCGATAACCACTCCTGTGTTTACTTCGGGTAAAATCAAACGCATGTATCCACTGATGAAACAATGTTCTCATGATTTTGCCGAACATTTGCGTTCATTCGCCGACCAAAAAACAAATGTCGATTTGAAGACACAGTTCGGTAATTATACACTGGATGTGATATCTACCTGTGCTTTTGCAACTAAACTTAATGTACATAAAGATATGGAAACAAATATTTTTGCCAAAAATGCATTCAAATCTTTCAATTCTTTTATAATGATTTTTTTGGCTCAATTAGTGTTACCTAAAATTATAATAAAATTACTGTATATAATGGGTTTATTCAAGACAGTGAACATAGATTTTTTCATAACATTTTTGCGACAAATACTCGATAATCGGCGCAAAAGTGATAAAAAATATAACGATTTGTTTCAGTTGTTCATTGAAGCCGAAAGTGATGACAAAAATATGAGACATGAAAACGATATCAATGAAGCACATCATGTGAATGAAGGTTTAGATAGATATTTGTAATATAATTTATATATAGTAGAGTCATATTTATTTATTTATTTAATTATTAATCATAAATTAGGCGCAGAGGAACTGGAGGCTGAAAAATGTGCGCTTAATATAAAATTAGATAACAAAAAGTTAACCGAAGAAGAAATGATTGCCCAATTGTTTGTTGTTTTAATGGCCGGTTATGAGACCACAGCCACCACATTGTCATTCTGTACGTATGAATTGGCACTCAATCAGGATATTCAACAAAAACTATACGAAGAAGTTATGTCTATCATCGTCTCAAATGGACAGATCAGTTACGACAAGTTATCACTTCTGCCATATTTGGATGCATGTCTTATGGAAACATTAAGACTTCATTCACCGGCTCAACGAGTGTCCCGAAGAACCATCGAAGACTATAAACTGGGAGACACTGGTGTTACCATTTATAAGGGACAACAGATTGATGTTCCCATCTATGCTATCCATCATTCGGAAGAATTTTATGCTAATCCATATAAGTTCAGTCCGGAGAGGTTTATGCCTGAAAATAGACATAATATAATTCCCTATACATACCTTCTTTTTGGTGTCGGTCCTCGCAATTGTATTGGTATGCGATTTGCATTACTTGAGGCTAAGTTAGGTTTGGCGCACATTATAGAGAAATACCGATTTTTTCCGACCGACAAAACAGACGTTCCTCTAAAATACAAGATATCTATTCTAACGGCTGCTGAAAGGGTTATCGTTGGTATTGATCATAGAAAGTGACAAAATTTAATATAATATTTATTGAGATTTATTATTGTATTAAATATTTAAATATATAATTTTATTTTATAATTTTTTTTAATTTATATTATAAAATTTAGTAAGTCAAACTTCTAAAAATATTATAATCTATTGTTTTAAACAATTGTTTTAATTATAAATTTTTAATATCTATTTATTAAAAATAACATGAAATAAAATTAATAAAATTTTTAATGAATAAAATTATAACAATTACTTAATATTTTATTAATTTAAATATGTAGTTTGAGTAGTATTGTAAAAATTTTATGAATATTAAGATAAAAATTATGTTAAGAATTATCGGAAAATATTATATTTAAAATTTTTATTTATAAACTGATTAAATATTATGAATTTAATTATTGTATCTAATTATTTTACAATAACATTTTTACAAATAGTTTATTAATTTAGATTTTTAATATCCTTTTTAATTAATTTGTTTTATTGTTTTTTCTTATTCATAGATTATATTGTATTTTATGTACAAAATTATAATAAATGAATTAATTTTATGCTATGATTTAGCAATTTATTTTAATATACTGTATGATATTTCAAAAACAATATATCCATATATTTGAAATATTGTATTTTAAAATTATTATAAGAATTTTGGGATATTAAAAATAAATATTTATATCTAAGTAATTGATATTTTATTAAAAATAATTTAGTATTAAAAATTATAGTTATTTATTCGTATAATATCGTAATTTTAAACAAAAAAACTACATATTGTATCAAATAATAAAATCAAGTTCATGAACTTTTATAATAATAATAATAATATATATTAATTGTTTTTTGCAGATGTTTACAAAAACTAAATTATTAACAATAATTATTAGACAACATTTCATAACATTTGAAATTATCTAATTAATTATTAAAATAATTCTAATAATTCTAATAATAATAATAATGGTTTTTACCAAAAATTTTATTAACTTTTTTACAGTTATATATATTATACTCATTAATAGATTATGTAATACAAGTACCACCAGAAATACATCGGTTCCCATATTGATAGTCATATCATTTGATGGGTTTCCCTATGATTATGTTCAACGAGAACTGACACCTAACTTATATCGTTTGCGAGCCACTGGAGTTAGCGGTCAGTTAGTTATTAATTAATATTTGTGTTAATAAGTGAATTATTATTATTATTACTACTATTATAGGCATTTATATTAAAAATGAATTTCAATTTTTAAAGGTCATATGATATCGCAGTTTATAACAAAAACATTTCCAAACCATCAGTCAATAGCCACCGGATTTTTTGAGGAAAGCCATGGAATTGTTAGCAATGAGTTCTATGATCCTAAATATGATGCCGTCTTCGATGTGGACACTTCGCCCGACATTTGGTGGACGGAATTTCCGGTCACTCCCGTTTGGGTATTTTTTTACAGTTTTTAATGTTTTAATTAATGTTTTATTATCATTTTATTTAATTAATGAAACAAATTTTGATGACTTAATATCTATAAACTAATATATTTTTAATAGTTATAACAATTATCTACCAAAACAAATATTTTAATATAATTACAAAAAAAATATATTTAAAATAAAAATTATCTATCAGACAGTCAATGAATTGTATGGCCGGCACAGTGGAGGCTATATGTGGCCGGGAGGTCATGTCAAGTATCGGAATGTATCGCAAACGTATAATCAAGTTTATAAACACGGCTTGAATTGGGAGATGAGGATCGACACAATAATCAATTGGTTAACCAGCACAAGTAAACCAGCAAATTGTATATTCATGTATTTCGAGGAACCGGATAGTGATTTACATCAATGGGGACCGTATAGTATACAGACTATGATACAGATGCGTCGAGCCGATGATATTGTAGGCTATTTGTTGAACAGTCTGCATAGGAACGGGTTGTCTAGTATAACAAATTTGATTGTATTGTCTGATCATGGATTCGCTAAAGTGAGGCATGAATTTTATACACGTTTTTGAAATAATTTTTCTTAATTATTAATTAAGAAAATGATTTGTCTATTTTTAGCTCTGAACATGTCATACAATTAAATGATATCATTAATCCAAATTTGTATGCCCTCTACGGTCACTCACCTGACTGGTCACTACTGCCAAAGTCGGGATATGAAGATCTGGTTTACGAGACACTGTTGAATGCGTCCAAAACAATGCCGTTTACTATCTATCGCCGTCAAGACATACCTATTCATTATCACTACACTAATAATCGTCGAATTTTGCCGCTATTTCTTACTGCTGACGAGGGATGGGATGTATTTCAAAATGACAGTCAATGGCACCGACCAAAAGGCTATCCAGTTTGGGGTAATCACGGATGGGATAATAGGCTACCGTCGATGCGTCCAATGTTTCTGGCCAATGGACCGGCATTCAAACGGGGCTACTATTTGAACAAAGTGTTTGCCAACACCGATCTCTATCCATTGATGCTAACTGTGCTTTCACTACCAGTGCACGAGTTTCACAGTAATGGATCACTGGATGCTGTCAAAGATTTATTAAATTAAATAGCTTTTATAAATAATTATAGTTTAGATTATCATTAAAACATAACAAAATTTATTTGAATTTATCTAAATACCCAGAGTATTATTTTATAGCACATGTATTTATTTATAAGTGTCATTTATAATATTTATAGATGACATGGATTGATAAGAGTACATATGCTACTATGAAATATCATTTTTTAATTAAAGTAAACAATTTTTAATTTATCAATAAAAAGCTACTTATTTAATAAAATTTATTTGAATTTGTATGAATTTATAAAATTGATTGACATAATCAACTGCATTGGATTTATTTAAACGATAAGATATTTTTATTATAATATAATGTTATAAATTTGATGTACTATTATGTTATTTTATTGTGTGATTTAATTTTTATGAAATAAAATAAAATTATATATATATTAATTTATAATAGCTTAGTGTACTATAAACTTTGTAATTTAAAAAAAACAAAATGATTTACAATATTAATATATTAATAATAATATCCATATTATTATTAATCAACTCAACAATAATAATAACATCTAATAATCCAAATTTAATAGTCATATCGTTTGATGGTTTTCGCTATGATTATGTAACCAAAGATTTGACACCAAATTTATATAAATTACGAGAAACTGGAGCCACCGGTTAGTTATTATATGGTTAATCATAAACAAAATTACAATTAATTAAATGAAAAAAAACATAATATATATTTTTAATTCAAAATTTAGGTCATATGTTATCGCAGTTTATAACGAAAACATATCCAAACCATCAGTCAATAGCCACCGGTTTGTTTGTAGAAACTCATGGTATTGTTAGCAATGAATTTTATGACCCAAAATATAACTCCGTCTTCAATGTCGACACTTCACCCGACAGTTGGTGGACTGAATTCCCCTCTACTCCTGTTTGGGTATAAAATCTGCAATATATTTATAATTATTTTTTACAACTCCTATCACATATTATCAGGGTTTTAAAAATGGCATGCATAAACAATAGATGCCAATTTTGCCAAATGCCTGCCCTGCCTCTGCCATGCCCTGGGCATCTATTTTCATGTGGTGACACCTATTATTTTAATTTTATATTATTAATTAATTTATAAAACATTGTTTTTATAATATATTTGCATGTATTTTTGTTTTGTATACCTTTAATTAAAAGGTAATATAATTGGAAATAAGTAAATTAATTGTAAATTTAATTAACACGTTAAAACACTAAATTACATTATTTTTATAAATACAGTTGCTTTTTAGCAATTTAAATTGGCAGGCAAATAAAATAGATGCCCAAAATGCCAGGCATTTATGGCATCTATTTGGGCATTGCCAGGGCAGGCATTTATTTTCTTAAAACCCTGCATATTATACATAAACTAACCGTTTAATAGACAGTCAATCAAATTCATGGCCAATACAGTGGTACTAATCAATGGCCGGGAGAACACGTCAAATATCGGAACATAGGACCGACACACACACGAAGTTTCAATCCGTCCATTTCGTGGCACTCGCGTATCGACACAATTGTCAAATGGATTACCGATCCGCACAAACCAGCAAACTGTGTGTTCATGTATTTTTGTGAACCCGACACACACTCACACAATTACGGACCGTTCAGCAAACAAGCCTATGAACAGGTAAAAAGAGCCGATACGTTGGTCGGGTATCTCGTCGATAGTCTGTCCAGACATAACTTATTGAACACAACTAATCTTATAATACTGTCTGATCACGGGTTCGCCGAAGTTAGGTATTACTATAATTATTAATAGTTATAAAATAATATCAGTCCTATTATTATATATACATTCCTAACTTTTTTTTATTTACATTTATTTTTCTAACTCTAATACTCTATATTTTTTGACAAATATTTTGATACATTAACTAAAAAGATCGTCTACAGTATTAAAAATGAATTCAATAATCAATCCTCAGTGGTATACCGATTACGGTTCGACACCCTCTTGGTCTATAATACCGAAACCCGGCTACGAGGACAAGGTCTACGAAACACTGTTGAATGCATCAAAAACAATGCCATTCACTATTTATCGGCGCACAGACATACCGGACCACTTTCACTACAGTGATAATCGTCGTATTCTACCCCTGTTTCTGATTACTAATGAAGGCTGGGATGTTCATCACGACACTTACGCTCATCCACCTGGTTATCCTCTGTGGGGTAATCACGGATGGGATAATAGATTAGCATCAATGAGACCACTGTTTGTGGCCAATGGACCGGCATTTAAGAAAGGCTATAATTTGACCAAAGAGTTTATGAACACTGATCTATACCCGTTGATGCTAACAGTGCTCAAACTGCCAGTTCAATTGTATCCCAGCAATGGATCACTTGATGCAGTCCGGGAACTGCTATCTGTTTAATAGACTATTCTTATAATCAAAATTTGTAATAAAAATATTAATATAATAAATAATAATAATAATGTATGTAATTATTAATAGACTAAATTTATTTTTATTAATTTCAATTTTCAAAACTTAGATCGCATTATATATTAATTATTATAATATATTTTAATAAAATTCAAAATATAATATACTGTATATTTAAAAAATTAAAGATAATAATTTGATATTAACTTATTAGTCCATTATCAATTTGCAATGTTATTTTTCTATATTTCAAATACTATTTATAATATGATAAAATTTGTATTATAAAATAATTGCATAAACATGTATCCATCAATCTAAAAAATTATTATTATTATTATTTAATAATCTTAAATACTCATATTTTTAGTATATGAAAAGTTTACTTTATTTTTATAATGATAATATTATAAAATTTACTTTTTCATAATAATAGTAATTAAAAAAACATTAAAGATCTATTGTCTAGTATTTTTACAATATAAAGGTTAATTAAATATGATAAGTGTATGATAAAAAATTTTATTTATATTTAATTGACTTTTTAATTCAACAATTTGATATTTTTTTAATATTAAAAACTAATTGAATAAATCGTCTAATCAATATTCTACTTTACTTTATAAATTATTATATTATCATTATTATTATTTTGTTCAATTATTATAAACAGTTAACACCTCGATAAGTGTTAAAGGAAATTACTACAATAATAATTGTCATAAATATATTATAAAATAAAAAATAATTAATTTTAATTAGTTATTACAATGTATATTTCAAACAAACTAATAGAACTATTTGTATATCATTTTATTAATATAAATTAAATGTATTAAAAGTTATTTTGTTATTTAAGTATATAATTATTAAATATTATATCTTTTTATTATTTACAATAGAAAATGTATTTAATAATAAATTTATCAATTAATTTAATTATATTAATTATTACAATAATAATAATATCTGTTCAATTTGTTAGTCAAACTAATGGCAAATCCTTATATAATATTACATTACAATTATCAATTAAATCTAATCAATTTATTACAAACCAATCATCAACTAATGTATTTGAATGGGTGTCCGAAACGTGTGGCAAATGTTTGCCCACTGATCACAGGGTCTGTATCGATGGCAAGTGTTTCTGTGAACCGGACTTTTACCCGATCGGCGATGAAAACTTATGTTCATATTATTCGTGTGTTACCGACGGTGATTGTCAGGTCAACGGTGACACCAATCGCCAGTGTGGAGACAAAAGCCATTGCGTATGCAAGAAGTACACAGTGGCCAATCCGGTCAATCACGTGTGCGAATCGGTTACCAGTCTTCAGTGGTGGATGTGGTTACTGATAGGACTGGCCATTGTGTTTATAGTGACCATTGTTATTGTTTGGTACTTTTGTTGGTACCGACGCCGAAAAAAAACACGCGTTAAGAAGACAGACACACAAAACAAGACAATTGATCCACAAAATGATGGTTCAAATAATAATATTAATAATAATCAATCGGCCAATGAATCTGTCAATGATATCAATGAGATATCCGATAATAATTCAGTCAATACCACAAGTAATGGTAATAATAATATTAATAAGAGTCCCAATGGTGAACAAAACTATCCAGAAACACCTGATCCAGATTATTAAAAAAAATAACACTAAGTGAACATGCTAATTTTAAAAAGTAAAATAAGCTAAAAATGTAAAATAATTCAGTTGACACTGCTATAGATAGCATTGACAAAACAAACTTATTTAAAAAAAAAAATATTTGTAATTGTTTGTTTAAATAATTGTTAGTAATAAATAAATAATAAATAATAAATAATAATTGTTTGAACTGTTTATTTTAAATTACTTATCCATTAAATCATTTTATTGCTAACCCACTAATCAAATCACTAATCTATTCATTTTGTTACCCACTTATTAACTCATTTGCTACTCACCCACTCATTTAATTATCTATCGTATACAGTATATACTATACACAATCTTAATAATAGTAGAAAATTATATAAATTTGATATTTGATAATTGAAATTTTAAAAAACAAGTTAAAATTCATCTAATAGTCTAATAAAATATGTTAAACAAAAAATATTATTTGTATTAATAGTAATGTAATTAATAAATAATAGAAATAACAATATATGAGTAGTAACAATTTTTAAAATAATAAAATAAAATTTAATATTAATTAAAAAATTCAATTTTATAATTATTTTTTTGCAGCTCATTGTACAATAGTTAAAATATTCAAATAATTAAGAAACTATTTTAATAATATAATTAGAATATAAAAAACTAAATCTATTAAATAAATAATTTTATTTAATTTATATTAAAATTTAATACTAATATTACAACAATTTGATATTATGTAATTTTCTAATTAATTTAGAAAAAAATAACTATTAATGTTTCAAATAGTTGGCAATAAGCCCAACAAAAAATTATAAATATGCCAACCTATGCTGAAATACAATAATTATAATAAATTGAGTCAATAATAATTATACTAAAACTAAGTTATATTTAAAACTACTTATAACACGTTCAAAAAAAAATTAAATATTTTTTTCTTATGTTATGTTATTTGATTAGATATTATACAAAACATTTAACAACAGCATAAATACCGTACCGTTTTATAAATACTTATATATATAATATACTCAATACTTGACATTTTCATAGTTATATTGTTTTTTAACTATAGATACTTGGCTTAAGAAATATTATGTTTAAAAAATACTTGTAATACTGTATAATACAGTGTATATCATAAATGGGAAGTCAAATAACACATAGTTATTATCAGTGATGTGTTATATTGAATATATAAAACAAACACAACTTTTTTTTAACTATAATAAAAGTATTTTTAGTTATATATATATATATATTTTAAGATAACAACGTTGTCAGTCATTTCAAACATTTTTTATCAAATAATAATAATAAAAAAAACTAAATATATCTAAATATTTTGTTTTATTTATAAATAATTTTTTAAAAATAGATTGTATCAAATGTATTAATAAATATTTTTAAAAAAATAAGTTACTATTAAAAAAAAGTTTTATAGAAAGTGCTATAACTGTATAATAATAATAATTTAAGCGAAAAATAAATATTTTGTCATCAATTGAATTGTATGGATGACAAGCAATGGCCATCACTAATGTTAACATTAAACAAGATATTAGACAATCATTTGGCGATACAGTTGGCGATGAAGAGCTGATGAAAGTCGACAATAGTGTCGGCATTTGGTCGTCAATCTTACGTCAGGTACAAACCGGATCCACTGCACGATTGCCGGCAAACAAATCGGTTGTCGTGTTGGGCGAAAAGGACGCCGGAAAGTCATCACTGATAGCCAAACTACAGGGCAGTAGTGAATCCCGTAAGGGGACGGGTCTCGAGTATCATCCGCTTCTTATCAGAGATGAGGACAGGGATGACCAAACACAGTGCGGCGTTTGGATACTCGATGGTAACTTCGAAAAGAGTTCACCGTTGCTTAGGTTTGCCATAAATGAACAGACATTACCCGACACGACGGTAGTGTTGGTCACCTCGTGGACCAAACCGTGGGAAATGATTGCCAATCTCGAGAAGTGGTCTGAAGTATTGCGAAATCACATCCAAACACTTGATCTCAAGCCAGAAGTTTTGAATACATATAAGAATCAAAGTATTTTGCATTTATTAATCCATAATAAATAAAAGTTTTAAATATTACAGTATTTTTATATTTTAGTTATAAAACGATATCAAGAGTACAAAGCGCCGGTCGATGATGTCATGTCATCGGTCTCTTTGGATGAAAATATAATATCCGTCGATACGGTATGTGATACTCTAGGTATGGATGTGTTAGTTGTGATAACCAAATCGGATTACATGTCGACACTGGAAAAAGAGTACTATTATAAGGAAGAGATGTTTGATTTTATACAACAGTCTGTCCGACAGTTTTGCCTAAAAAGTTAGTGAAACAACAATTCTAATGAATAATAAATAAAATATTTAATAATAGTATTCAATAATATAATATAAATATAAAATAGTATTTAATTTAATCATCTTTTGTGATCCAAACAGTCGGTGCCGGACTGGTCTTTGTCTCTGTAAAAACGGGTCGCAACTGTGATCTACTCTATCGATATCTTTGTCACCGAATCTATGGACTGGATTTTCAAACACCGGCTCAGGTGGTCGACAAAGATGCACTGTTTGTGCCCATCGGTTGGGATAACGACCGCAAGATATCGATACTCTACGAGAACATGCATTCCGTGTCGCCGGACAACGACTACAACGATGTGATCGCCCGACCAATTGTACCACCGGTTCCGTACTATGAGTTTACGGCCAACGCCGACAACGATCAGGAATTTCTTCGCCAAATACAGACAATGTTAGGCCAGGAGACGACACGTTTCAGTAGTACCGAAGCTAACGGATCCAACCATATGACACCTGTCCAGCCAAAGACAACGGCCGATTTTCGGCGCACACCTATTAGAAGTCCATCCAATAAAAGTGGTAACGAATCGAATAACAATACTCCCGATGGACAGGGAGTTCTGAAGTCGTTTTTTGAGGGACTGCTCATTAGAAAGTCAGGCGGAACTCCGAGTCCACGATCTGCCCGTTCGCCCGATAGTATGGCTGAGCATAGGCTGTCGGCACAGGAAGAATTGGAACGTATGACTGTTCAAAACAGATCGACACCAAAATAGACGAATAATTATCTGTATATTGTTTTTTAGAGTATTCCTATTTAAATGAAATTAATAGATAATTTTCATATTTATAATATTAAAAATAAAATATTTAAAACTAATAGAATAAATAATAGTAATATTTTTTTAATAATAATTCAATTTGTTTTTTATTTAAAATTTTTACTTGTATTTACTTGTTTTGTTTTTGTTCAACTAATAATAATAATAATAATAATAATAATTAATAATATTTATATTATTTATAAAGAATGGTAATAATTAGTATCGTAATAATAATAATAATCGTAATAATCATATCATCATACAGTATCATCGAAATTTATATGTATAAATTTATAAATAATAATTAATATTATAAATTTTATCATTAAATTATAATAATAATCATTATTATAAACGAGAGAAGGAGTACAATATATTTTACTGGTTGTTGTTGTGAACCAAAAAAAAATATATATATATATTTAATAATAATATTATCAATAAATGAATAATAAAAAGAATTAATAAGAAAACAAAAATTAAAAGCCGAATCCAAACATAAAATAATAATGATTTAGAAATAAAAAGAAAGAAAAAATTAAATAAATTTTAATAATTATAAGGAGAAAGACATCATTTTTTTTCATCGTATATCATATCAGCAATTGATTTGTTGTACAAAGTATTTGAATAATTGTTTCACTCATTATTATTATTATTATCATTGATTTTAAGAGAGAAAAATCAAAAAATTTTATATCAGGTTTTTATTTTCTATTGTTTTGTATTATTAACACAATAATTTAAAAATTTATTTCATTTAATTTACTTAATGTTTGTTTATTTCACTAATCTAATAGTATCTTGAAATTGTAACCTAAACTTGATTTCTTATAAATTAAAATATTGATAAATAACTTATAGTAATATCATTGAAAACATAATTTTTTTTACATATAAATTACAATAAGAATAATAACAAAATTAGATTAATTAATTAATTAATAACAAAATAATTGATCATTTTTTGTTGGAAAAAATACTCAATACATTTTTTTGTTGCTAAACTGAGATAATATTCAAATAGTAGTAATAATTAAAAATATAAATTAAAAATAATCGAGATTTGTGCTATTATTTATAAAAAATAATAATAATAAATATATTAAATAAATAAATAAACAAATACTTATTCATCACTAAATATATTTTCGACAAAAATTATTTTCTATATACATATAAATTGTTTCTATATATATATAAAATTAATCTCATTTAAAATTATTTGAATTCAAATGTGTTGTTTGTTTTTGCCTTAAAAATATAAGACAATATTTTTCATTAAAATCACAATTTAAAGCTAATATCAATTTATGAATCAATAAATTTGTTTAATCAATCTTTTTTTATACACTTTCTTAAACACAAATTTAGTAGAGTGTCTCAAAAAATTGTGTTAAATATAAATTTTTTTAAAAAAAAAGTATAAGTAAACTGACTATTGATTATCAATTTCTTTGAAAACAATAATTACAGTAAACTTAAAATTTGTTTTATACCAATAAATTCATAACAGTATAAAAAACATTAATTTTGTAATACTACCGGTAATAATAATTATTAATATAATCATCAAATAAATAAAAAGTTATTTACTTTTTTTGCATTAAAAAAATTACTATTTGATTTTTAATCAATTTTTTAATATCCAATTATCCAAGTGTGTTAATATATATCAAATACCATCAATTAGTGCTATAATTGTTTTGTTTTTTTTAGATTTATCCAAAAAGGGTTGCAAAAAAAGCTACCAGTGCTCTGAAGTCTGCAAATCAAACATCGCGCACAGTGTAACTTTATATTATCAATATTAAATATATATAATAAGATTAATAATAATAATAATAATATTTAGAAACAATAAATTTGTATGAAAAGAGAGGTTAGGCCTAAAATCCGGGCGGTGGCTGTCGAGAGCCAACACCACTGGAAATTGTCATCTGTTGTGATGGTTGTCCGCCATGGGTGCCGCCCATTGGTGGCCAATATGTGCTCTGATTTGTTAAAAAGGACTGCTGTTGTTGTTGTTGTCTATGAATCGGGTGTTGTTGTTGCTGTTGTTGTAGCCTTAAGATGTGATCTCTCTGAGAATTTTGTTGTTGTTGTTGCTGATGCTGTGATTGGTTCCAGTATTGTGATAAAACATTATTTGTATTGTCGGCACCGGTAGAGCCCATATTTGACATCATATGTCGACCCATCATTTGGCCGCCCATATGACCGTATTGTTGTTGTTGTCTATAATAATGTTAAAAATAATTTATTACAAAAAAAACAATTCAATTAATAATTAATAAATATAATTATACCTTAAATTATTTGCCATAATTTGTTGCTGTTGTGTGCTATTTGTATGTGAATTACCGGTAAAGTTATTACTATTGGCTAATAATCCGGTGCCGCCACCGACGCCGCCCATTAATGGTTGGTCGGGTGTTTGTCGGAACGCTATGTTTACATTAGGTAACAGTTGTCTTAGAGAGTTCTGCTGTTGTGTTTGCCATTGAGGGCTCAGAGATTGTTGTTGTTGTTGTGGTGGTTGCTGTTGATGGCTTAGTTGGTTCATATGCTGTAGTTGCGGTCCTCCTCCCTGTCCTGTAGATTGTAATCCTGGTAACTGTTGATAGCTATTGTATGCATTATTTGATGATAACATTTGTTGTCTATTATTATTTACAAAACCATTATTTATAGAAGAAAACTGATTTGTTTGCTGAGAAGTCTGTTGCTGTTTCGATAACGAAGAATAAAAATTATTTGAATTTGAAAGAAGTTTTTGATTCGAAGACATAAATATATCATTAGTTCCTCCGCCGCCACTGTTTATATTATTAAAAACATTATTATGTTGGCCGCGATCTCCTCCCGTTCCCATCATCGATGTTGACGACGATTGTGGATGAGTTGTTATAAACGTATCTCTTAGTAAGTCTTGAAGTCCGCGACTGGATATAGATATGGGATCAAAGTCTAGTCCGTCTTCATCGCCAACATCGTCTTCGGCGTCATCGTCAATAATGTCGTCACTATCGCCGACACAATTATTCGACATTATTTGTCCGTCCATTGCATTGTCGTCGATATTATTTATAAGTTCACCATTACTTTTAACAAATGTTTGGGTAAGTATTCGCTGCTGAAGTCGCAGCGGTTGTTGACCACTCTGTCCTTTCCGTACTATTTGCTGTTGTTGTTGAGTATCGCATGATTGTATAGTGGGTATAGTGGAGGTCTGGTTAGGCGTTGAACTTAAACTATTGCTATTGGACTCGGAATTTGACGAACAATCAGAAGACATATGTTGGCCGCCGGCTGTTATCGGTGTTCCCCATCGACACGGTATGACAGGCGATGTCGATCGCGCTGTACTGTTGTCACCGACCTAATAGATAACATAAGATAAGAAGATAATTAACAGAAATTTAAAAATAAATAATTTAATTATGTTTACAATTTCAATATGTAATTATCTAAAATAATTATCAATGAAAAACACACTTAATTTTAAGTATTTGTAAATATACTGTAATAATATTAGGTGAAAGTCAAATATAATTAAATATTAAAGAGAGAGAATAAAATCTTATCATAATATCCATCATTGACTGCAAAATTTCCTGCGAAATGTTTACACAGAAGAAAAAAAATATTGTGTAAATAAATGTTTTAAACAACAAAATCAAAACTCATGAAAAAAATAAAAAATTGTTAAAATCTATAAAATAATAGATAAGTGGAGTTAAAACACACACACATAGCAAACACAACTACTTATTAGAAAACTAGATATTAGTTTTTTTTGTTTTGTTAAAATACATAATATATTTGTAAATAAAAATAGCATAGAAAACAGTGAGATTCCGGGCAACTGGTATACTAAATGAATTATATGTGTGTCAATACTCTGCAATTGGTTTTTTTGTTGTTGTTTTGTTAAACAAATCAAATACACATTAAATAAAAAAAGCTAATAACTTATGGTAATTATGATAAAGGGTTTGGAAATCTCATTCATAATACTGTAAAAATAATAATAATAACTGATTGCATAAACTCTATTATATATATACTCTTGTTTTACTAACTTTTATATAATATCAATAACAACTCTATGTATTTAGTTATATGTTCAACACATTGTTAATCCATATGTAAATAATTAGTTTTTTTTGTATATGAATACACAAAAAATAATAGTAGTTTAAACAGCAATTGCAATTCAAACAAAAAAAACAAATAATACACACAAACATACAGAAAAAATGCTTAAATAAATATATAAACTAGAAATCCCCGAAACTGCAAATATCTTTTAAAATTCACAGTAATTACCGAATCATTACTGCCGTCATCGCCGCCGAAGCCGTTGGTCTGTATTATCGATTGCTGTTTGGGTTGTTTTTGTGGTGCGTTTTTGATGACAATTGTTTTGCTTTGCATTTTGTTGTGATTTGAATTATTAGTATTTTTATTATTATTTGTTGTTTTATTATCATTTTCATTATTATTATTATTATTACTATTGTTGCTATTATTCTTATTATTGTTGGTCGTAGTCGTCGATGTATTATTTGTAGTCTTACTGTTGGCCGCATTCTTGCGGTTTGTCTTTTCGGCCTTTTCTTTGGCCAACAGATCCGAATAATGTTGAATAAGTCGTTTCTCATAATCAGTGTGTTTGCCTAATTGCATCTCCTCTTTCGTAAACGATGCCTCCTGTTCGGCCATTTCGTGCAAATACATACAGTCGGGCTGTTTAGGACACGACTGACTTCTCAGCCAATGTGTACAGTATTTAGTAGTTCCTAACGACGCCCGCAGTGGCTGCTGACTGCCGCTGTCTTTATTACGATTGGATTTGGTATGCGTTTCGTTCAGTGCTTTGATGGCCGCAACCGCATCTTCGGGTCGCGAGTACGTAACGTAAGCCGACGAAGCATTGATCACCAGTTTGATTATCTTTCCGTATTTACTGAACTCTTTGCGGAGATCGTCCTGTGATAGACGTTGAGGTAAACCGATGACAAACAACAGGTTCTTCTGAACGACACGTATTGACGATAGATTTGATGACTTAGCGGCTATAAAATAATTGTAAGACAAAACAGTAAATAAAACAAACAATAAGACAGTAGTACTGTCTGTCACTTATGAAGAATGTATACCATCTTTGAGTTTTTGTTTCTCCTTTTGTTTCTTTTTGCGTTTCTTCAGCTCTTCCACAGTCTCTATACTAATTGAGGTGAACTGTATGGGACTGTCCGGATACGGCTGACGACAGGCCGGACACAGACCTCCATTGGTGTCGTCATTCTTCAATCGGTTCCAACAGAAACGGCACACCTGATAGCCGCAACCGCACGGGAAAAAACCGAGATCATCGAAGTCCAGTGTTTCCATACATAGCGGACACTGTATATCGCCGGCACTGTCGTCCGTATGACTGTCCCCGTGATTATCCATATTATTCAACAACAAAAAAAACAATAGATATAATTGATTGGCGCGTGTCTTGCAATATGTGTCACACGATTTTTGCAATCTTGTTGTCGATGACCACAACTCTTTGATTTGTTGTGTCTATGATTATACACACAATAAGGACAGCTGTTATTGTTGTTGTTGTTGTCGATGATGTGGTGATCAATATGTCGTTGTTGTTGTAGTTGTCGTGGATTACTATATCACACACTTAAAGGCTTTACTATTACAGTACAGTATATATCCTAATCTCCTAATGTATTGTTAATCCAATTTTTTTTTCTCTCTCTCTCTTTCAATGATAACTCATATGCAATACAAGTAATAGTAATAATAATGAAAATAATCACAAAAAAAATTTGTTGCAATGTTTAAACAAAATTAATATACAAAAAAAATGTATTATTAAATATGTTTTTTATAATTTTAAATAAATACAATAATTATTATTTATATATATATTTAGTAATAATAATAATAATAATAAAGTCATAACTTATAATACAATCACATAATAAGTTATAATGATTTATATATGATATATAAAAAAAACAGTATTTACAGTACAATTCAATGGACTTATTGTATGCATTAAAATGTTATTATATATGAAAACCAATGGCTGACACATTAATACAAACATATAGTACATACAGTAAACACACTAAACACTATACATTTTTTTATTATTATTGCCACACAAAACAGTCATCTGTTTTATTATTATTAAAACTGTCTCACTTTGTGCTAAACCAAATCTATATGAGTTGCACCACAAATACATAGATATATCATAGATTATACTTAATATATACATACAAATAAAAATTAAAACTCCTCCTCTAAGCATTAAACGTTATAATATCGCGCCCATATATATTGCTGTTATACTATAAAGCGTACAGTAATAATGTAAAGATTTATATATAAGATATTATTTTTTAAATTAATTTATTAACTAATAAAATATAAATTATAATTTTTTATTGAAATAGAAATATTTTAAATTTTTAACAATTATTAAAATTTAATTTTATTTATGAATATATTAATTATTATTTAATTATTATATTTTAATTTAATAATTATTTAAATTTGTATTTAATAAATTATTAATTGTATTAATTATTAATATGGAATATATAAAAAATTATTAATTATACAAAATTATTATAAAAAATATTAATTATAAAAATATTAATTATAAAAAATATATATATTTAATCTAAAAAAATGTAGATATTATATGACAACTATGACATTAGTTTTATTATTATTATTATTAGACATTTTAATTAACTTTAATTAACTTTAAAAACTATATTATTGCACATAATTGATTGTTATTAATATTGTGTTGTATTTATCACAATATTTAGTACTATTTACAACTAATATTTATTATTTAATCACATTTGTTATCACAAATCTAAAAGTACTTAAACAACACGTGGACTTAGTTTGTTTTCAATGCCACACAATGTCATCCTATAATACAGTCAATAGTATATATGCGCGCAATATTATAGCGTCTAATGCTTAAGGGGCGGAGTTTTTACATGGCATAGTTATTATACACACTAAGTTGTATTGTTTGTATATATTAAGTATAATCTATGATATATCTATGTATTTGTGGTGCAACTCATATAGATTTGGTTTAGCACAAAGTGAGACAGTTTTATTATTAACTAACAAAATGGAGTTATATCTGACAATCACTTAACACTAAAAATTCGTTATATATAACATTTGAACAAAATGAGCTAGCTAAACATTTTTAAAAAAGTCTAGATTAGTTTAAATTTTAAACACTTAGCATGGTTAATTTTATGATTAATAAAATTGATTAATTATACTAAATTGTTGTTTCATTAGAATAAAATCTATTTTGTTAGCTAACTAGTGTCTACTGTATATATAGCGTATACTATAACTATACCAGTTTGTATCCTACAGTTCACCGTACAGTATATTATACGCCATATATTATATAGTATTGTACAGTAAATGTATGTATATATGTGTGTCAAATGCATAAAACGTCACAACCCTTTTTTGTTTGTTTTTTTGTTGCTAAATGTTATATTAAAGCGATTATAGACTGTAGATCCGTAACCAAACTGTGTATGACCTTCACAGTGAACAGCTGTCACATCTATACAGTACTTAAAGCTATTGAACGAATCACGTGACACACACTTACATACAATACTATGGTATTGTGTGCGCCATAAAATGTACGTGTACAAAATGTATGAATACAATCAACTTATACTAATAGATACAAAATCGTTAATTTTTTAATATTAATACATAATAATTCACAATAATTTTTTTACTATACATGTTTGCAATTAAATTTTTTTTTAAAGTTAAATTATTAATTATTATTACAATTAGATAGATTAGTGTAATCAATAATTACAATTAGTTAAGCCATTTTTCAAGCATGTTAAATGATGTCATGTACAAAATATTAATAATAATTATTAATAATTTTTTTTCATAATGCTAAAAATAAAAAAGAAATATTTTTATAAAATTTTTTCATAAAGTTTTTCAAAAACAATTATTTGACGCAATGTTAGTTAGTTAGTGATCAGTTAGTAAGTAATATATATATATATATATATATATATAGTTGAATTAAATATAATAATTTTATTTATTTTAAATTTTTGTGTATAAAAATTAAACAAATATATATATATATAATTCAAGGTAATCGCAATTATTATTAATAATAATTAATTTTTACATTGAATATAATTTGTAGTATAGTTTAGTTTAGTTAAAAAAAATACTATACACTTTATATACAGTAGTATACAGTATTATATAGGGGTTTAATATTTAATAATTATCAAAATGTTTTTTCAAAATAATTAAAATTTATAGTTTAATATTATTTTTTAATTATAACTATTACATTGTAAAAAAATCTAATTTAACTGTCAAAATGAATTTACAAAATAATATTTTTTTTTGTGTAAAATTTCTAAATTAAAACTATTTTATTTATTAACTACATAATTAAATAATACTGTTTATTAAGTAAACTATAATAATAATATAAATTTGTAAATTTTATTAATAAATATGATTACAAGATATATCTAATAATTGCTAATCATGCATGGTGATCTACTAATTAATAAATAATTAATTAAACCATTATTAATTTATTTCCATTGGAAAATTAAAATCTATTTTGCAATAAGTATATAATAATTATAATTTTTTTATGGTTAACTAGATTGACATAGTTAAATTGCCAATTATTGTACTTAGAAAAAATTATTTAAATTTTTTGATTTTTAATATTTGAATTTTTGAATTTTTTTTATCTTGTTAACTGAAAAAATAAAGAAAATACAACTTTTATTTATATTATCGCCATCTATTGAATATATATAAATAAATTACAAATTATTAAAATAATTAATTTATAGAATATTATATTGAATAATGTTTATTCTTAAATTTTTTAACTAATTGACCAGGGATGACAAATATAGGTTAAAAATAAAATTATATATAAATTATTCAATTAACAATTATTTTATGTATGAATTTTATCCATTAATATAACAATTTTTAAAAAAAATGAATAATGATATTATTATTTTATAGAAATTATGTTTATATCATATGATATTTATTATTATTTTTTGATATAATGACAAATTATTAAATTTTTTTTCTAAATATTTTATTTTATTTATTTAGTAATCTGCATTGATAAAATTTCATAAAATAACATAATAACACTTATAGCAAAATATATATAACATATACAATAACACATAAATGTATAGATTATAACCACTTGTCGTTAATAAATTATAACAATATTTTTTATAATATAATATACCAGTATATATATATATACAGTACTATATATTAAATAAAATTATATCATAGTAATTTATATTCAATACATACAGTATGATAACACTTTACAGTATATAGTATAATATTTCAATACAATTTGTTAATAATACTAAAATTTATGATTTATCAATTGAAAACACAATCTACAAAAATTTCTAATTTATATTTTCATAAAAAAAATAATTATTGTATATATGATATTTAATTTTTTATATAATTACTTTTTGTATATTATAACAAATTATTTTATAACAAATGTTGTCAAATATTAATATATATATATATATATATATATATTTGTGGTTACATTATCACTAAATATGTGACTGAATAATAATATTTATAAATTAATTTTAATACTAATATGTGGCACACAGATTGTACACTATATTTATATAAAAAAAAAATTTTATTCACAAATTATATTATATTTATTTTACAAAATAAAACATTTAGTTATTTTAAAATTAACAAAATATGTTGATATTATATAATAAGATGAATTATATTATGAAATCAATATTATCTATTAAATTGTTAGTATTAATAATAATGATAATAATTTTATTCACTGATATCTGTCATACCGTTCCCATTGATATTGTTATCGATGAGAATAATAACATAAATGTATTAAATATGGATTCAGTGGACAACTCGGGTCTTGAGGCGGTCGACATCAAACAGTTGGAGAATAGCATAAATGGTGTTAAAACGGAAGTGCTTTCGGGTGACAGTAGAAAAACAACTAACGGTGTTATTGATATATAGAGACAAAGTTGACCCATTGAATAACAATATTTAATTTTAGATTAATATTTACAATAATATCTATCTGTATAATTTAAGTTATTTCTTAATTAATTTGTTTGTATTTTATTTATAAAAATATTATTTATTAAATAAGTGAATAAAAAAATATATTTTTTCATAATTATTGCATAATTATTTACTTAGTCATCTTATTGCATCATATTTTAATTTCTTAATTGTATATATTTTTGTAAAAATGTTATCAATTAAACTATAAATAAATAAGTGAATTGTTAAAAAAATAATAGCATAAAACAAAGTTCAATTATAATATCAAACAAATATAATTATAAAACTATAATTCAAATAATTTTATAAAAAAAAATCAATCAAAACAAAAATTTTGATATGTTTATTAGTTATAAATATATTAGATTTATAATAAATAATAAAATATTGATTAAAAAACATTTAATTTATAAATAATATTCAGGTCTAGTTAAAATTTCAATTTTCTAATACTGTATTAAAATTGCACTATAAATAAATATGTTATAAAATTATTATCATCTAAATCTTGCTTATAAAATATTTTATTATAGACTACTTAATTAATTAATAAATGATAATATTAATCTACTAAATATTTCAATAATTGAATTCTAATGAAATACAAACATGTACCGGTACTGCTAATATTCTCATATAAATATAGAAACAA